CACTATAAGCTTAGGCTTGCCAAGCAACACAGGACGTATGCCATATTTAGAGTGGTTTTACACCTATCACATGACCATACTAGACAGAATTGCTGATTCCAATTCCAGTTGAACCCCAAGCATCTAGGGGTCGCACGAGGTCGGTCATGCTGGTCGCGTGGTCTCATCTGGTCACAAGAAGAACTTATCACGTGTACGATCTTACGGACCATAATTAAGATGGCATCAACAAATCACCATAGGGTATCATGCGGTTGGATTTGTGTCGATACAATCAACTAGCCCATCTATCTGGTTGTTCCAGCTACATTGTACACATGTCGCTAGCAACAGATACAATGTTATGTGCATGTACACAGTTAGTACCACGCGCGTGCCCCGTATGGGTTTATGGGTGCCCGGAACCCCCCCCCCTTCGCTCAAAAATGCAGGATTTTGCTTCATTTTTTTGAAAAATTTCCCAGGGGATGCCCCGGAACCCCCCCCCCCCCTTGAAGGGCACCGGCGCATGCGCCTCAGTACAGTAGCCCTTACAGGACACACGGTGAACAGTTTAGGGGTGAGAGGCTCTAGCGAGGATACTAGCAGCCTATTTGTACCTCCCCCGCACAATGATCAGACACTGGACAATCTGTGAAATCTGGCGGTGCTAGAAACCGGTACGGCCATAGCCGTACCAGTGGCGCAGACCCTGGGTCATAGTACTGTAAAACCGGGAATTTTCGGTGCTGTAATGTTTTCCGTATTTCCCAAAATCAACGGAGCGCGAAAATTTCGATAAACCAGCTTTCCAGATCCAAAAATGCACCTCACACAATGTGTGGCATGGCATGGTTGAATTTTAGGTCGGGTTTTATTTTAGGTAAAAGTTACCTGTACTGAAGTTACCGAAAATAAATCTCCACCGAATTTTTCCGGTTTTACAGTACCCGAAACGATGTGCGTCTCGAGTCCGACTCTCGACCCCGGATTGGGAAGTTCTACGTGGCCAGTGGTACATGCGATTCGCAATCACCGCCTTGACCTGCTGATGCCAAGCGCGGCTCAGACCAGTGATGCCGACAGCCCTATGTGAGCGTGTATTGAATTGTATTTTTTTGTATTGTATTTTATTTTTATGAATAAACGCCGCGGAAACAACATTTATTGCTTTATTATTGTCCTTGGGCATTCCCAACAGACCCTAAGGTCTTCTTACAGGGTGCCCATCAGCCCTGCACCTAGGGCGACTGGAACTGGCAGACCACAAGCGACATCCACATCGTTCCACATTACAGTCACTCGGGTCGTGTCCCTAGATGCCAACCCTCCTGATGCACATGTACGCATATATAGGGGAGCTTGTTTCCACGTAGAGTGTGGCAGTGATTATCAATTAAATTTTTTTAAGAATTTTACGCAGAAGCTATCTCGCTACAGATGCCTGGCCAAATTCAAATGTAACGTGACAACTGTACGACTTACCCATCTTGCTCTTTATTGACAAAGTTGACAAATCTTGTCATGCCCGCTCCCCTCTCTCTATCCGTCCGCTTGGGATCGCAGGCGCGATCTGCGCAGGACAATAAAAATCGTGCATAATAAACGATCCAAAATCCGTGCAGCTCCGAACAAGAATTGGTGACCTTCCAAATGTACCCAATTACGTGTATTTACAAAGATTTTTCTCAATAACGATTTGGTGTTGTTATGCAAATTTGAGCACTATGAAACTTACCCAATGCGGCGTCCATGGCTGCGGCCTATGAAGATTAGGTCTTACTAGAGGCTGCACTTTGTGCAGCAAGCAAGCAGCAGCTGGCCACGAAAACAGCAGCCCCAAACCCCCTTCCTTCAACAAAGCCAAACCACTTGAAAATCAGGGAAATCAAGTCAAGGCCGCCCGTGACTCGACTCGATGTAGATCCAGCCAAGCCCCGTGCCGTGACATGCATGATCAGGATCAGGATGATCGATGACGAAGCATCGTGTTGACGGTGGAAGAACGACTCTACGTCACTAGCCGCAAAAGTTTGCGATATCTCTGACTCGAAATAGAATCTGATCTCGAGCTGATTATCGCGCTATCGCTAGAGTAGAGCTAGCGCGCTAGCCTATCTGGGCACGGTTGCCATGGATTCGTACGCACGCAAGCCGACACTTGCCGTGAAATAATCATTATTGTGCAAAAAAACGTCGATCTCTGGAAAATCAAACTTTTATCTGAACATTTTGTTGTGAACAGCCTGTTTATCAGGAAGTTTGTAGTATTTCACCTCCAACGCTCAATCCTGGAGCACATTCATTGCATTCGTGTTACTTGCTGTAATATCTACACGTCTGCGAATTACAGACGCCTTCACTACACGCGACAGGAACTATGGATATCGGTGGCTTTCGCACCGTTCGTGTGAAGTTTGACGAGACGTGCCAGTCATCGCACTGTGTGTATATCAAGAAGCACAATGTGCGTATAGAGTCGGATGCAACACCACCAGATCGCACCCTATTCGTGCTGAATGTGCCACCATTTTGTGATGAGGTAAATGAATAAGACTTTCTGACTGCATTTTGAAACTTGTTTCGTCTAGGATTTGGAATTTGAAAAATAATAATAAATTATGGCGAATAGACTCTTGGTTGGAGGAAAGCAAATCAGCACACGAAGCACAGAAGCCATATAGTTTCGACTAGGCCTTTCACCATTGTATTTGACTTGAAAAGTAATAGTATGAAAGGCCTAGTCGAAACTATAATTATGGCTTCTGTGCTTCGTGTGCTGAATAAGATGGTGGTATTAAAAGACACACCGACATGGCAGTAATATTATTTTACGCCTTTCCACACACGTTGTCCAAGCTGCAAAGTACCAATCTGGCACAGAGCTCTCCGTCTCAGTGCCACCACCGCCATGAGATTGTATACGGCGCATGGTTGGAGCAGGGCTGATGATATCTGACATAGCAGGCTGGTACAGGGGCGGTGGAACCTTTGACCACCAACTGGTGTCACGGGTCACCTGTACCCACCGTAGGTATGAACGGCGGTGGCATGGCCGGACCGATCAAAAGCTGCTTCCGCCGGTCCTGCGGTACACCAGGCATCACTTGGTGCATAGAAGATGGCACGGCTAGGACTTGGCGTGACTGTGACATACATTTCGTCTTCATTGGATTCTCGTTGGACGTCGTCGAACAGCCACTGCGGCTGTATTTATGGCTGAATAATAATGAGATGGTGAAGGCACACATGCCTAAAGTAGCCAAACAGCACGCACATCAGAGGGTAATCTGGGTACTAGTACCGTTACAACGTAATCATTTGGCAAAACAAAACAAAAACAAAAAAGGCGAACATTGTACGTACGTGTAGTGACGTACAGTGAAATCTGTCTAAGGGCATGTTCGATTGGTAAGGATCGGGATCGGGATCCAGATCTCAGATCCTTCGGATCCTTCAGATTCAACTGAACACTTTATTTTGGACCTTGACTGTTGCCATGTTGACAATGGCGCTCACAAGTCACCCAAAAGGGTGAACGTCGTACTCATCGCGTGCGTCGTACCAAAAGTCAACAAGCTCTATCTCTATCCACGTGTGCGTACCACAATGTGTACAAAAATGATTTTTACCCGCCATATACGCACAAAGGCCACATTTGGATCCGTTGGATCCGGTCAACCCTGCTCCCCGAGGTGGGTTGACCGGATCCAAATCCGAAGGATCTGGATCCGGATTCGACCAATCGAAAGGGTGCGAATCCAGTGGATCCGGTGGATCGGGATCCTGATCCTACCAATCGAACATGCCCTAAGCCGACCGACCAGTCAACATTTTTTTTTAAACTCACGGTTCGCGTCAGACTTGGCTAGAGGCCGGGTTTTCCGCATCCGTAGGATTGCTATCACCCTTCAAGGATCAAGGCCCAGATGCAGCTCCTAAAGTGGCGGGAGGTGAGTAGATCAGCTCACCAGCGAGTGGTCAAAGACCGAAAATCCCATTCACTGCATCCATGTTTTCCTCGTGCCACTCAAGGGACCTTACAGATCTGGTCCCTTGCATAGGTGGTCTTCTTATCCAGGGTCAGTTGACCAGAAATTACAGTCATACTTAATCCCAGTTGTAGTGGTCCGCTTGGACAGGCGGTTTCACCTTGACAGGTTTTTACCAAGAGTACATAACCCCCCAGAGTGTGCAACGCCTGATCCAGCTCTGCATTGGGTCTTGGTCGAGCGTAATCGGATCTTAGCGTCATAATACCGTGCACATCTGAGGGGAACCCGGGGAGTTGCAGGCTCTCTCGGATCAAAAACAACGGTGCCCTGCCTCGAGACCGGCCTTGTGCTGGTGTGGAGTATACGCATGACATCAGAAGATTCGATTACGCTCGACGAAGACCCTATGCAGAGCTGGATCAGGCGTTGCACACTCTGGGGGGTTATGTACTCTTGGTTTTACTGTACATGCGAAAGCCCAGCTTGAATAGAAATGTCTTGTGAATGTGACCTTTGGGCACATGCCCCCCAGTCTTGGGCTTACACGCACTTATGTCGATTAACAAGGTAGCAAGCAAGTCCTTATAGCCGGCAATTTGGCGGTCAGAGCATTGACAAAATAGCACTTTGAAAGATAGCGCTAGTGGCGCCAACTACGCACTCATGTAGAAATACATGTACCTGGCTTGAAAGATTGCAAACCTGATGCTAGACTAAACATTGTGAACAATGCGTCCATGAACACGCCGTTGACAAAAAATCTTTCTCCCCCAACACAATCCCAGGTATGTTTACTGGACCTATTGTGTATGGTTGTTCTTCATGTTTTGAGTGATTCTGTTCCAACATGCACAATTTATCTCGCTATTCCCCGCAGGATTCAGTACGGCACATATTTGAACGTTTTGGTCCCATTTCTGCCGTTCACTTGCGGTCCAAGCCAGGAAACGTGACGACAGCAGAGGAGCGCACAGAGGAGGAGGATTACTTCAGACCGCCCGCTACGTCACCCGTACGTATAGTGCTGCGCTGTGTGTGTGTGGGGGGGGGGGGGGGTGTGAGGATGTGTGTATGTATCTGTGTGTGCCTTCGGGTGGTAGTGGGTGTGTCTGTGTCTGTGTGTGTCTCTGTGGTGGTGGGGCTATCACCAATGTCGTTATCGTCGCGATGGCCCTTGGACAATGAGAGAGTCACCTCCACCGTTATTTCATTGAATGCCTGAACTAGTCTTGTTGTTGTTCTTTATCCAGGGTTTTCGCTGTGGCTATGTGGTGTTCGAAGATGGGCAACATCTCAGCACAGCAGTCAAGGACAAGTACAAGGATGTTGTCGTTCTGTCAACAGAAGCTCGGCCTCTTGCATCGGGCATCACAAGTGAGTTAGCATTCAACTGCACGCCGTTTCTTGCTGGGGAAAACAATGATTTGCGTGCTCCACACAACAAAGCACAGTGATCATAAATTGCTGTAAATCAGAATGTGACGCTTGAAGTATCCCTCAGACAATGAGAGAACATCGTGTTGCACAAGTATGTTTGTATGTCATCAGTGACAGTGGCCTCTCGTGTAGTCGGTTTTCTTTTGCAGGGAAAGAGGTGATCTGTTTCCTGTGCTGTATAGCCTTGTCATATAGGCTTAAACTCGGATGCTGAGTAAAAAAAAGAGAGAAGAAACACATGAGAACGAGCTATGCAGCAACTATCCACATCTGTAACAAGATGATAAACAGTCAGAAAGTGTGATAATAGGGCACAAAGCTGACAGGCTTCTCTCTCTCTTTTACATATCGGCTTCCTTTAGTCTTTTGGAAGTCTGTGCATGCTATTCCTCAGTCAATGCCTCAATGGAGGCCTATGGCTGTACAGTAAAAACCAGAACTCAAAGGCATCATCAGTTGCTCTCTAGAACCCCTTCTCACTGATCAAAATATGAGGAGTAACATCTTTGCCTCTGTGTGTGTGTCTCTCTCTCTCTCTTTCTCTCTCTCTCTCCCTCTCTCTCTCTCTCTCTCTCTCTCTCTCTCTCTCTCTCTCTCTCTCTCTCTCTCTCTCTCTCTCTCTCTCTCTCTCTCTCTCTCTCTCTCTCTCTCTCTCTCTCTCTCTCTCTCTCTCTCTCTCTCTGTCTCTGTCTCTGTCTCTCTGCCTCTCTCTCTGTCTCTGTCTCTCTCGCTGTCTCTCTCTCTCTCTCTCTCTCTCTCTCTCTCTCTCTCTCTCTCTCTCTCTCTCTCTCTCTCTCTCTCTCTCTCTCTCTCTCTCTCTCTGTGTGTGTCTGTGTGTGCGTGTGTGTGCACTTGTTTCAGAATGGTGCCAGGATTATCGTCAGCGGTGGCCTGACCCTGCCCTGCTCCATCGCTCAGCGTCAGCGTACATCGAGACCTACGAGGCACGCGTAGCCCAGGAGAAGACTAAGGCCGAGAGGGCAGCCGGACGGCCGGATGAGGAGGGCTGGATCGAAGTCACCCGCGGCTCGAAGAAGTCCGTGGCCACCACGACCCTGGCGAAAACGAGGCAACTCACTCCCAAAGAGCGCCGTCGCCTTCGCAAGGAGCAGAAAGACAAGGTTAGTTTACTGTAAAAGCCTAACGAGTTAACGAAGAGGAATCGGTCGTTAAAATAGAAAACGTTATCCAGAAATCGATACATATACTGTTGCGAGTGAGCATTGAGAATGAGTGAGAATCGTTACCTTTGGTACGCGTAAACTGGTCAAATTTAGGAAAATCGGTATACCGTATTTCCTCGATTAATAGACCCGGTCTTTTGTTTTTTGAAGAGGGTTGGACCCCCGGTCTCTTATTTGGGCATGGTCCATTATTTCAGCGCGGTCCACTATATTTTCATCGGCACATCGCTGGAAATGGTGGATTTTTAACACGTCATAATATAGAACTTATAGTGGACCGTGCTCAAATAATGAAAGAAAGCACTAGCCACTACAAAAATTGTAGTTGCGCAACCTAATATCGCGTACTTTTTTGATCCACCACGTGCTTTCTTAGTGTGCATGCGCAAAGCGATGAACTCAAATAAGAGACCGGATCTCTTATTCGGGCATGGTCTACTATTTTTCCGTGAGGCCTCGAGGAGAGTCTACTATTTGAGCATGGTCTAGTATTCGAGCATGGTCCATTAATCAAGGAAATACGGTATTTGCGGCCCGCTAGAATAATGGCGTTAACAGTATTCGTGTGTGTTTGCACGGCGTTTGCTACCACTGGTGCCAATGCAGTGGAAATTCATGGTTGCCAACACCAGAGAGCCAGTGCACCCTTTGTGCTGTATACGTACAGGGGGGGGGGTGCTGGTTACTGCATGCGCTACGAATTGATTGTGCACAGTCGGGCTGGGTTGAGCAACTGTGCGGGTACGGTGGAGATTGGATATAGCGACACTCCTTCGGGAGAGAACAAAATGTCACTATATTCGATCTGTCACTAAACCCGATCTTCACAAAGGACTTACTATACGACTTGGGCAACAGAATTGTGTCCCTAAACTTCACTCTGTCGTTATATGCAAGGTCGTTATATCCGATCTCCACTGTACCCTATCTGAGAGGCGTCTTCGTGTACTCGATCTGCTCTGCCAGGCATTGCTTTCTCAGTACGTTAGGATTGGCAATGGCTGGGAAAATGACCCGTCCTTTTTCCCGTATCCAATAGCTCTTGCTCTTCTGCCGTCAAGTATCAGCAGTCTGTGCTGCTAACCTTACTTGTGACTGTAGACTGGTTGAACGGCGTTCGGTTTGAGACGCCGCTTTATCCATCGATCTAGTGCAGTTGCCATCCTGTGTCTAAAATGTGTCTGCATACCTGTGTGCGTGTGGGGTGTATTTCCAATACAGGAGCTGCTGCACTTCTACCAGTTCCAGCATCGCGAAAAGAAGAGAGAACGTAAGTGAGAGCCCCTGTTGGCGTGATGGTCTCACGGATGTGCAGTAAACTACAGTGCTGCTCATTGAAATCCGATCGTGTGGCTCAAGTTTGTGTCCCGCGCTATTTCACAGCCCAGTGTTCACAAGTCTATGGCTGCACAGCGCCTGGCGCGTACTTTTCCCACGGAATCGGATTTCATTGAGTACTTGCACTGTCTGCCACCCTGGTAGCACAGGCATGGTGGTGGCCTGGCACATGCGAAACTTCCTAAGCTGGTTGTGTTTCTCAACGCAATTGTATAGCCGGTGGTAACGCGGACGTGCAAACTTTACTTACTAGCACTGTACTATGTATGTGCATGTCAATCTATGGCACTGTCACACTGTGTTCGTCTTTTCCTTGCTTGCGAGAGCCAGAACTGTGCTGCGTCGGACATTGACAAGGGGTTTGCGCCAAAGTTTCTCCTATCCAGGATCTTGTCCATTCATTCATCCTGTTGTCACACGCTTTGGGGGGGGGGGGGGGGGGGGCATCAAAGCGTAACCATGCCTGTCAATATAAACTGTATTAACCCTTTGTGTACGGACTGTACACTTTTCAAAATTTCAATCGATCGTAACTCAGTCGTTCCTGGGTTATATCCGAAAACTAAAGTATGTAGACAGTTTCCTCTGAGACAAAAATGCGATAATACTCATAAAAAGGACACACTTCAGGCTCATTACAAACATCTTGAAAGTTTTTGTCTTCACAAGTATACTTTCAAGCCTTCTCATCAGGTGAAATACAGGCAAGAGAAAAGGAACAGGAACAGTGGATTAAATACAGTAAGAAGGTGGTAAAACAGCGCAAAAAGAAAGAAAGAAAGAAAGAAGATAGCTAAAGTAAACAGCGAAAATTGCAATAATGACACAAAGGTGCAAATGCGAGAAAACTCAATAAGCGCGACATGTAGTGCGACAACAAGAGACAACCACTGGACATACATGTAACTAACGAGGTTTTGACGACCTACCTAACAGCCTAAGTGTGAATTTGATTTGTTTCTGTTTGCAAAGGTTGGGTTTCCTTGTGTGGATGTATACAGCTTCCAAAACATTCAGCAATCTAGCACTGCGTACACGTGACACAATCGAAAAACAATCATCCGAATACACAGCACGACAATCAGGATGCTCAAACAAATGACTAGCAATGGACGACTCATACTTATCAGAACTAACATCAGAACAATCAGCATGTGCGGTGGACACATCCGATTTCACATGGCTAGTCGAGTGGACCCTAGCCGTTGCCTCTGTCTGTGCTTTAGTCGCTGCCATCGCCGCCGTTGCCGATCTTGTTATTCTTCTGGTTGATGTGGTTCCTGTCACTGCCACGCACGTAGGTGTCTTGTCCGGTTGTTTTTCTGGTGGTCTAGTTAATTGTGAGGTGACGTTCCTTGGTGTTGATGCCGCTGCGTTGGACCATCTTGTACCAGGATGATTCTTTGCTGGACGTCCCCTCCGTGGTCGAGTGGATCGTGCGTGTTGTGGAATAAGGTGTAGCGGTGCGTGTTGTCGGATGCGTGCGTCCAGATGTTGAAGAGTCCTACCTACATATCGGCTCTCACATTGCCGACACTCGAAGTGATAAATCAACTTGGATAATTGGCCTGTAGGTAGGACGTCCTTCCTCACCGTGAACGCACGCACCGTGGAGTAGATGAAGCGAATATGAACATTATGGTAATTGGACTCCACGGCAGACTTAACCCGACGCTGAACCATACGTGATACTGACTCGCCCTTCCACGGTAAACATAGGTATACTGGATTAGCGGAAACTTCAGCATTCTTCTTTGGACTGGTCTCAGTTACATACTTCACAATAACAGACTCGGGGTATCCATTGAGACGAAAAAGCGCACGTAACTTCTCCAACTCCTGCTCCAACCTTGAAGACGAACAAAGGCGACGTGCACGATCCACCAAATTACGCAACAAATTGATCTTATACAGTGTCGCGCAAAACGAATCCCAAACAATGTACAAGCCAGTGAACGTAGGCTTGCGATAGACCGACGTGACAACACCACCATCAATTGACTTCTCAACGAGCACATCAAGAAAAGGTAGACGATCTGACTCCTCAAATTCACACGTGAAATCCAACATACCATCAACAACCTTCCTCAGCAGATCACGAAATTGGAGGCACTGAGCCTCAGACTGAAAATACGAGAAAGAATCATCGACAAATCTCACATACAATGGGGGCATCAAACTAACCGGAATCTGACATTCGTAATAACCAACAAATATATTTGCCAAAACAGGACCAAGGGGCGAACCCATAGCAACACCATCAATCTGTCGATACATGACACCATCAAAGGAAAACTCCACACCTGACGTTACCAAGCGGATCATTTCGCGGAACGAATCTTCACGTAACTCGCCAGGCGGACATAGTGAGCGATGATATAGCGTTTCGCAGCAAATATCAATGACTTCGTTTTGCGCGACACTGTATAAGATCAATTTGTTGCGTAATTTGGTGGATCGTGCACGTCGCCTTTGTTCGTCTTCAAGGTTGGAGCAGGAGTTGGAGAAGTTACGTGCGCTTTTTCGTCTCAATGGATACCCCGAGTCTGTTATTGTGAAGTATGTAACTGAGACCAGTCCAAAGAAGAATGCTGAAGTTTCCGCTAATCCAGTATACCTATGTTTACCGTGGAAGGGCGAGTCAGTATCACGTATGGTTCAGCGTCGGGTTAAGTCTGCCGTGGAGTCCAATTACCATAATGTTCATATTCGCTTCATCTACTCCACGGTGCGTGCGTTCACGGTGAGGAAGGACGTCCTACCTACAGGCCAATTATCCAAGTTGATTTATCACTTCGAGTGTCGGCAATGTGAGAGCCGATATGTAGGTAGGACTCTTCAACATCTGGACGCACGCATCCGACAACACGCACCGCTACACCTTATTCCACAACACGCACGATCCACTCGACCACGGAGGGGACGTCCAGCAAAGAATCATCCTGGTACAAGATGGTCCAACGCAGCGGCATCAACACCAAGGAACGTCACCTCACAATTAACTAGACCACCAGAAAAACAACCGGACAAGACACCTACGTGCGTGGCAGTGACAGGAACCACATCAACCAGAAGAATAACAAGATCGGCAACGGCGGCGATGGCAGCGACTAAAGCACAGACAGAGGCAACGGCTAGGGTCCACTCGACTAGCCATGTGAAATCGGATGTGTCCACCGCACATGCTGATTGTTCTGATGTTAGTTCTGATAAGTATGAGTCGTCCATTGCTAGTCATTTGTTTGAGCATCCTGATTGTCGTGCTGTGTATTCGGATGATTGTTTTTCGATTGTGTCACGTGTACGCAGTGCTAGATTGCTGAATGTTTTGGAAGCTGTATACATCCACACAAGGAAACCCAACCTTTGCAAACAGAAACAAATCAAATTCACACTTAGGCTGTTAGGTAGGTCGTCAAAACCTCGTTAGTTACATGTATGTCCAGTGGTTGTCTCTTGTTGTCGCACTACATGTCGCGCTTATTGAGTTTTCTCGCATTTGCACCTTTGTGTCATTATTGCAATTTTCGCTGTTTACTTTAGCTATCTTCTTTCTTTCTTTCTTTCTTTTTGCGCTGTTTTACCACCTTCTTACTGTATTTAATCCACTGTTCCTGTTCCTTTTCTCTTGCCTGTATTTCACCTGATGAGAAGGCTTGAAAGTATACTTGTGAAGACAAAAACTTTCAAGATGTTTGTAATGAGCCTGAAGTGTGTCCTTTTTATGAGTATTATAAAGTATGTAGGTCAAAGATAAAACTCCCAGCTGTCCATTGAAACAATCGCTGAAGCGCTCCGATGTGTGGTTCCAGAGTTACGAAGCTCGAAAGTCGAATCGCGGCAAATGTCGCTCAATAGTCGCTCGCGCAAATTTGAATGAGGGATTTCCCCATCATTCTGGGCATGCAGTGACGTAGAAACACGTTCAAAAATGGTAAACGGACTCATGGCAGTTTGTGAAATTTTTTTGAAGTAACAGTTAGTTGTTACGAGCAAGGAGAGCGAAATGGCTGATGCAAGACGACTTCTGTCGAAATATTGGCGTTGCAGCTAAGACGCTGGGCTGTAGCGCTGGCGTTTTGACCTTCGTGGTGGCAAGCGTGGGCTCAATGTGTTCCTCTTGCGACGAGCTTTCCAGGAAGCCCAAGATTGAAAAAATCGTCAAAAGGAGACTAAAGTTATGACCCAGATAATACGGACCTTTCGCTAACGATTTTCGTTAATTTTCCTTTGGTCTGGATTACGTACCGAAGTTTCGTAAATTTTTCGTTTCGCTCGCATGTCCACATTTCGTTGCGTTGTTGTCGTAGCAACATATTTCTCACCGGCGGTGCGCAGTTCATGACCTGAACTTTGCACCCTTCTATTCCCCACGCTGGTTTTTTGATTTCCTCCTATCTCCACTCCATGATCACTCAAGCTACGACCGGTCTGTAATTGTATGCTATAGCCAGGATCTGACTCAATCATCAAAAATTCAAAATGCTTTTATCTCTGTTCCTTCTTGAGCACGAGAATGGAATGTTGGATGAAGAGGAGCTCCTACTTCTCATCCATTGCATAACTGAAGATACCTGTGCGAATCTCCCTCAGCATGTGGGTAATCGATTAAACTTTGAAAAAATTGATGAGGAGACATGTTCTCGCAGATATCGCTTCACGAAAGCACAGGTTATGGAGTTGCTTGAACGGCTCAGCCTCCCAGCGAGGTTTCGTGCTCCGTCACGACACTGTTGGACAGGATTGGAAGGGCTGCTGGTGGTTTTGAGGCGTCTTTCGTATCCTAACACTCTTGGTGATATGTGCGAAGAATTTGGGAGGTCCAAACCATCACTGAGCGTCGTGTTCAATATCACCCTGCAATGGATTTTCAGGAATTGGGATGGTTTGTTGACTGATCCGTTTACCCACCAGTTCCTGACACCTGCCAGATTTGCCAAGTATTGCCAGGCAGTCCGACGAAAGACAAGTGTGCCACTGGATGTATGGGGCTTCATTGCTGGCACAGTTAGGAGTGTTTGCAAGCCGTCTATTCACCAGCGCATGTTCTACAATGGACATAAACGGGTTCATGCCCTCAAATACCAGTCCTGTGTCACACCAGATGGCTTGATTTGCCATTTATTTGGTCCCGTTGAAGGCAGACGGCATGATTCAGGTGTTCTCTTGGAAAGTGGTTTGCTGCCTAGGCTGCAACAGTTTGCCAGGAAACCAAATGGTCAGCCATGTGCACTGTATGGAGATCCCGCATACCCACTGTCGCCGTTTCTTATGAAGGGATATCAAGGAGCTGCGTTAACAGCTGAGCAACAGGAATTCAATACAGCTATGAATTCTGCACGTATGGTGGTGGAATGGAGCTTTGGTGACGTCGTTGCACAGTGGGCGTTCAATGATTTCAAGAAGCAGCAGAAGATCATGCTTCAGCCCGTTGCTGCCTACTACAAGGTGTCTGCACTCCTCACAAATTGCCGTACCATCTGCCGAGAAGGCAACAAGACATCAAAGTATTTCAACTTATCTCCACCTACCTTAGCAGAGTATCTACAATGATGTCAGCACTACATCATTCTGTTGCTGTGCCATCTCTCCATTTTACAACAAACACTTAGACCATGAAAGAACTGTAAACATCTTGGCTGTGGATATTCCCTCTACTTAGCAGTTTTAAAAACAGACTACGTTTAGTCATTCATTCAATTATGGAATGGTGAAGACTCTGTTATATCTGTTCAATGAAATTCCATGGTGAAATTGGTCAAAAGGCATTGATAACACTGGTTAGAATGACGTTAACATTGGAATGGTTACAGGTATACAACTGTGAAGTGCTGGGTGAAAGCGGGACTAGTGGATAAGCTACAAAGCAAGGGCTGTTCCTTCGTGAAGAAGTGAAAAAGCTATTGCATTTTTTTGACAGTGGCTGCCATTAGCTGCAGAAACATACTGCGTTCCTCGCGGTCCTGTTCTGCCTTTTGCTTGCGATCTTGACGGTCATCTTCTGCTTTCTTGCTCTCTTCTTGTTCCTTTTTCTTTTTTGACGCAAGCTCGTCCCGTTGAGCCTCTTCCTTCAGGGCCATCTCCCTCTCCTGGGTAACATGAACAGAATCACCAACAGAAATCAGAAAATTCAATAAACAAAAAAACAATTGAACACATGAACAATTTAAAGCATTTTCTCTTGAAATTTATTCTATACAGCATGAAAGTAAAAATGGGTCATACCTGCAGCGCGAGTCTTCGCTCCTCCAGTGCGACTGCATTTGCACCATGAGAAGCAGCAAACTTCTCCTCCTCCAAATACACTTTTCTCTCCTCAATCTTGAGAAGAGCATCATTTTTCTTCTCGAGGTACGTAATAATAGGATCCGCTTGATCGTACGTGCTGCTCCGCTTGGTTTTCTGGGGCCGGTCTTCCGCTGAAGATTTCTCCGAAAGGGTCCTACAAGCATCGGCTCGCATCTGCTCGGCCACAGCCTTTTCCGCATGCTTGGCTGTCACCACTGCCACTGCGGCTTGCTCCTTCTCGGCCTTCAGCTCCTGTAGCTCGGTTAGAAGCACGTCTGCTTCGGAGAAGTCCTCTACAATACCAGAGGCCGATTTGCTTTTGCTATCTTTGGATTTCTGCTTCGACATCAGCAGGTGCAGCCTATCTGAAGCGCCTTTCTTTTTTAAATTGCCGAATCGCCGGTCTTGTGAGGATAGTTCATCCACGACATCATCCATTACCGACGAACCACGGACAAAAGGATTTCCTGATCCACGAATCTGTCTGAGCAGGACCAAGTCCATGCCTGAGTCCCAAACTATCCGTTGCCTATCCGGTGTAATAGGTGTCGGAGGAACAGGTGCAGGTAAATTTGAAGCCATAGTACACTGACACGTTTACGGTTAGGGATAAGAGAAAGAGTAGAGGGAAAAGTCTGAAAAATCTGAAACAAATCCCGCCAAACAAGAACGAAAGCAATATTCGTTGAAAGTGGCTTTTTCCGTCCAGATCAGACGAACTTCCGTAAGATCTTCGTAACCTCGTTCCCGCACTACGAAAATGGTGTACGAAAATCGTTAGCGAAAGGTCTCTAATTATAGAATTCGAGGTGAGTCGAGATCAAATTCAGTCTGTGTACAATTTTTTCAGTACATAAAGGGTTAATGTGAGTGTGTGGAGTAGTGCTTTCATTTTCGTATTATTTGCTCCCTGTGTTGGTTGCCACTTGCAGAGATTGCGCAGCTGCGTCGCAAGTTCGAAGAGGACAAGGAGAAGATCAAGGAAATGCGCTCCGCACGCAAGTTCCGACCGTTCTGATCATGGAAGCGCACCGTGTGTGTGTGTGTGTGTGTGTGTGTTGCCTATTGTCAGCTACTCGCCTTGCACGTCTTCTGTTTGTACAGTACTCGTCTCTTTCGTTCATGCTCCCCAACTTCTCGTTTGTGCAACCTGAACAACTTGACGTCATTGCTCAGGTGTATTTTCAGTTTCACCAATGTCGCTAGTAGTAAAAAAAATTAAATTAACCCTCCGCCCATGCTGTGTTCCATGGCGTGTTTACATGGTGTGTGCCAAGGGTGCCAACGGATTGTTCAACATTGCATCTTGAAGTATACTTGCGGCCAATGGGTTCCGATGTCATGAATGCATCGGCGGGTTGCGTAGTGTTGATGTGGCTACAGTATACTGAGTGGTTGTGCCATGCATACGTGTCTTGTAGGCTACGGTCTGTGCAATAGATGCCTTGGTCACAGTAGCTGTGCAATATTGACAACAATAGTTGCCACCAAGGCAAAGAAATCTAGACATTCTGTCACGTCACTCAATCAAATGACCCACAATGAAAATAATACGAGTGCTCCAACACACTGCCTGTGCGGTTTGCAGGGGTGTACTGTATGTGCGTGTGGGGGGGGGGGGGTGATGTGTGTGAGGGGGGTGCGAGAGCTGAAACAAGCACGAAAGTATCCCCCATCTCGTCTTCTTTCTAGATTGCACCTCAAGATATGCACGGTTGCATCCTGTGTGATGCAGGCCTGGTTTCATACAGGGGAGGGAAGCTTGTAACGACTACTCCCTGCTTGTAACATACCACCGAATATGGACTATCTGAACACGCAAAGGCCAGTTCACCAACATGCATAAATTGCATGAAAGATCCCAGAAGACCATAGCCGCACACTGTCAGGCAGTTGTCAGCGGATGCATAACCCACACGAGAATGATGAGAAGGAGAGCTTTGTGCCGGTGTGTTCTTTGCAGCTAAGGGCAAGAGAGCATGTGAAGTTGTGTGGGCAAGTGTGTGTGTGTGTGTGTTTTACCCCATGGTAAAGACACTATTATTATTCATGACCAGCTATAGCTTGAAAAATGAAAGCCGCATCAAGGCTACTATGGCTACCAAGAGTAGACAGTCAATAGGAGTAGGACTGGTCCTTGACGACACCCAGGGCCAGAGACCCTATCCGCTGTATACTGATGATGAGATGATCGTGCAACATGTCACACCATTGCACTAACAGTTTACTAAAGTAACTGCAGTCAACTTCGCGAATATAAGGACACTCGGCGGGGCATCAAAAAGGTGTCCTTATTCGCGAAGTGTCGTTATACCCGAAGTCTCATTATAATAATATTATGTACTACAGTGGGATGGGACTTTGCTCTGGGCATGGAAATTCTGTCGTTATTCGCGAATTGTCGTTATATCCGCAGTCGTTGACTGTACTTACAGTACTTACTATCTAACTCATCTCATCTAGATATCTGCGGTTGCACAGATCAGATGCGGATGGTGAATCAGTGCACTCACTGAGGTGTGCTTTTAGGAGGAGTCCAGGTCACAGGTGTTGGCAGATCGACTGGTTCCTCATAATGCTTTGCCTTCCTTTCCTTCTTTCATGTGTGTCGCGATGGCTAGAATCAGCAAGTGCTATCCCAAGATCTTCCGAGCAGGCCGCCAGCCATGGATTCTCTCTGAACCGGGTTTCGGCTAACTTCTTTGATGGGCTGTTAAATAAAGCTGGGACTGATTATGACCATGGCATTCATGACCACACTTTAGGGATATGATACCGTTGGTGTCGCATGGTGCCATCATCAGTGTCAGACATCAGAGTCCAGGCCAGGCCGAGGGTGCAGTGGGCACCATACATGTCAGTACGAGCGTGGCTGTTGCATGAGAAGAGAAGATAATTGATTCACCATCGCTTTATCGTCATTACCGCGCACGCATGGGTGGTTTTCTTGGCGTCCTGAGGCAACTGAGGGCCCCAGTGCAAAGGATGAGAGTCATGTTACTATCTGCTTCGAGTGAGTCAGTCAATACTCGTAACGATACTCACGGTACACATGTACCGCTCATGAAGCATTTTGTTGGGAGACGCGCAATAGTCTGCTTGACCAACCGCTAGCCCTTGGCGGACAATGCTCGAAAAATTGGCAGATTCTGCTCGAAAAGCAGTGAAATTGGCAGAACCATACAAACCTTATGGCGGGCATTTCCTCGAGTTCTGCCTTATTTCTTTGTCCACATACCAAACATGCATGAAACGTACGTGTACCAGAAAAATACCAAATTCCGATGTTTCTGCTGGTGTCATCCGCCATGAGCTACCAACCGCACACGCATTCTGGCTGGCAGTTCTTGCCTCTGCCAGATCGCTAGTGACCCACCCATTTTGTTCACTGATTGAGGGAATGGAAAAGGGAAAAGTCTGACGAAAAAATTGACTGTCACCGCCAGGACTGGATCAAGGGACCTTCCCTTGAGGCCAGCGATGCTCTAGCCACTGAGCGATGGTGTAGCTGCCATCCATGCAGGGCTTTGAGTCATCATTGTTCGCGGTTCGCTGCCTAGGGCAACTTCCTAGCCCGGTGATAGTTCTCCTGCTCAGTCCAACCTGTTTTGTTTTACGGTTCTGATTGCCTTAAATACTTGCCTTGGCTTGCCCGTTTGTGTTACTCATGTGACTAGGGGCTGGTGACACAGTGTAACTGTGGACACTTGATTTCTCGCCAGCTGAGTGCGTGGCCAGAGCTAGAGCTAGAGCAGTAGAGGTGGTTTCTGGTTTGGTGGTGCTCGATTCTGTAGTGGGGTAGTAGTAGGGGCATCATGCTGGGACTCCTTTGCGTGCTCTTGGAGATGTTCTTCGTTGTCGTTCTGGGACGGTTGTACACACGGTCGGCTGTGTTGAGGGGATCCTGGTTCTGTTCTGCTGTATCGCAGTCGGTATTACCAAGAGTACATAAAAAGGGTTATGTACTCTTGCTGGTCTGGTTTTAAAGGGGAAGTGCATCGATTTTTCAAGTAGGGCTCAGATGAAAGACAATTGGATATCGGTTCCGATGGTATATCTCTCGCTTGCGTACGGCAAGGGAAACTTGCCATATCGCCGATTTCCCGATCCCGTTTCCATGGCGACTACAGGTGATGACGCACATTCTGCTTAGCTCCGTGAGAGAGAAGGTCGATCACTGCAGAATTGTGTCATTTTCAGTTGTCTTCTTGTATTCACGAAGTGAAAGAAGTACTGTGTTCAATGCTGTTAGTGCCGTGAACTGTTTATCAGTAGTCCTCTCCGTTGTGTACTGGGACGTGACACCGACAGGGGAAAGCTGGAGTGCGGAGACGTTAGCTGGCAAGCGAAAATCGTGACGAACCAAGTGCTGAAATCTTGGTTGGGACAAATCAAACGTTCAGCATTTACCTCAACCAAGGACCATGCCGTTTGCTCTTTCCACTTCCTGAAGATGAATGCGCTGCCTGCTGGAGACTCTCCTATCTCTCGTAACATCTTCTGAAGCCAGGTGAGACGACGAGTAGCGGAGATTAGCGAACGAAATAATGTCGTATTTTTTGAAATTTTTGCTGATTTCTCAGGAGAGATGGCGAATACCAAGCATCTTCTCCTAGTCTAGAGAAACCATTTCGTAGGCTACATTCCGCCTAGGGAAATGCAGGAGACGGCCTGGCTGGGGAGGACACACTTGGAGGAGAACGAAGTAAGTGATCTTGTTTATGTTGTTCTTTGGTATTGCAATCTTATGTTTGACGAACATACGGCATGGTGCATAGTTGGTCGTTGAGTGCCTGCATGTGCATGTATAAGTGTGTGCTGATAAACACTTCCTATGCAAGAATCTGACACTCATGCTCTCTTTCTTTCTTGCAGTATGTGCGCACGCGTCACGGTGTGTGTTGTGTGTGTGTGTGTGTGTGTGCGTGTGTGTGTGTGTGTGAGCGAGAGAGAGTGTGTGCAGGAGCAGCGTGGAGCATGCCAGTGTGATCGCTGTGGCCGTTGCTTTCTTAGCTATGGCGTTCTTGCCTGTCACAAGTGTGTGGCTCAGCCCCCAACGACAGTGGAGCCGTGTTGTGGTGAATACTGTGTGTCCTGCGACCGCTGCTTCCGTTCGGTCCAGGGCAGGAATAGACACCGCTGCTAAAGCTCTCCGCGGCCGTACGTCAGTCTCGTGGCAGATGACCCGAACTCTCATTTTGTGTGTGTGTGTGTGTGTGTGTGTGTGTGTGTGTGTGTGTGTGTGTGTGTGTGTGTGTGTGTGGTGTATGTATGTATGTGTGTTGCTCCCTACATAGACAAACTCTTGTTTTTGTGTCCCGGGTGCCATGGGGCGGCGTTCTCCCATTCTCTCTCCACTGCCCCTCCGGGCCCACGTGGCAGTGACTCGACAGGGCAGGGCAAGTGTGTGTATGGTGTATGGTGCATGGTGTGTGCTGGCATGTCTGTATAAATATGTTGGACAGGAATTTGTTCACCCACAACGTTCACGGGAAACCATGCTAGGTGTTGCTGGAACGTATGGAGTCTGCAAGCACTTACAATAACTTACGTCATGTCACAACAAAGAACGGTGCAGTGTTTGATCCTCATGTAAACATGATGGTGATGGTACCTCACCTAAGCTACCCATGAAGCTAGAAAGAACATCAGGTCAACAGAATTGTACCAGAGGAAAGCATCTATTGCCCGAACTTCTTCATATGAAATGAACAATACCCTTTTCCATAGAGACAACATGCAGATGAAGTGTATGGACAAATAATATATAAATGGGCCATTCACTGAGGGCATGGAATGATCTCTACGTGTAGATTGGATAGACTCATGCACGTCTGCAAGGAAAGCATTTGTTCATGGGTTAGTTCATGGGCTGATTGAGTTCACATGGACTAAGTTCATACATGCCATCTCTCCTGAGATATGTTCAGCAAAAATTTCAAAACATACGACATTATTTCGTTCGCTAATCTCCGCTACTCGTCGTCTCACCTGGCTTCAGAAGATGTTACGAGAGATAGGAGAGTCTCCAACAGGCAGCGCATCCATCTTCAGGAAGTGGAAAGAGCAAACGGCATGGTCCTTGGTTGAGGTAAATGCTGAACGTTTGATTTGTCCCAACCAAGATTTCAGCACTTGGTTCGTCACGATTTTCGCTTGCCAGCTAACGTCTCCGCACTCCAGCTTTCCCCTGTCAGTGTCACGTCCCAGTACACAACGGAGAGGACTACTGATAAACAGTTCACGGCACTAACAGCATTGAACACAGTACTTCTTTCACTTCGTGAATGCAAGAAGACAACTGAAAATGACACAATTCTGCAGTGATCGACCTTCTCTCTCACGGAGCTAAGCAGAATGTGCGTCATCACCTGTAGTCGCCATGGAAACGGGATCGGGAAATCGGCGATATGGCAAGTTTCCCTTGCCGTACGCAAGCGAGAGATATACCATCGGAACCGATATCCAATTGTCTTTCATCTGAGCCCTACTTGAAAAATCGATGCACTTCCCCTTTAAGGAAAGTTGTACGGGTTCTTTTTCTCTTTTCTCGGGTGCTTTCTTCGTGTGGCGCCGCCGTGCACAGTTGAGTTGTTTTGCTATGCGGCCAGCCCTTCCGCATGTCCTACACGTAACGTTTGCACGTGTCCCGAGTGCCAGATTCCGCAAGGTGTGGTCCCTTTGATGTAGCTGGGCACGGTTTGTTTACAAAAGGTTTTTATCTTTTTATGATGAAACTGCATGTATCGTGTGCCTGTTGCCAGGACTTGCCGAACGTATCCGGGTACTGTACTAGTAACCAGATCAAAGTAACCAAAGTAACCAGATCAAAGTAACCAAAGTAACCAGATCAAAGTAACCAAAGTAACCAGATCATGTAACTATTACTTACAGTTGGCGAGTGCGACAACAAGGCTAGACTATCTCACCATGCTCGCTGAGCACTGGGAAGCTGTCTATGCCTTTGATGAGGCCACAAAAGGAGGAATGTCATGTACGTGTACATGCAGAGCATGCAATGACCGGTGGCGCCAGATCTGCAGATCTACGTTCACTTTTTTCTTTCTTTCTTTCTTGATTGATTTTTATCTAAAAGCTGCAGTTCTTACGAGTCAACTATAAGTATAACTGACTTGACAAGTTAGTTGTCACGGTCGATGGGTAGTGATCTTGCATTGCCTGCCGCTAAACTGCACTCCAAGCGGAACATCCTGGAGCCGAAACTTGACATGCCTCATACATCGATTCACCGCTTTTCCAGACAAAACGCTGAAACAACTACTTCATCACTGCCAAAGTCGCTACTTCTAAGCTCGTAACATTTTGTTCTTCCTTTCTTATTATTATCTATAGCCCCGTTGTTGCGACGCACGCACGACGGGATTCTGGCACCAGGTTTTGGTTCAACCACGAAACAATGGAGATTCGACACACATGTACATGTGTAATAATTAATAAACCTCGTGAATAGCGTCCTCGTGTAGACAATAGCTCTCGAATAACGGCACCTTTGAACGTTTTCCCATGAACGTTCGAGGGTCCCTATTAGCAAGGTTGACTGTCAGGAGAATAATAAAATTAATAACCTGGAGACAGGCTAAGTACTGATCTACCTCGTACATGCTGGCATTTCCCCAATTGGACTTCGCAACCCTTATCGAACTACAATATACCTGTCCTGGGTATGGGCATTTGGACTGCGACTTTTGCTAGTCTACCCAGTCTACCGAGTACAGTATAATGGTACAGTCCTCATATCGATCCTGGTCCCATCATTCTTCATAGGCCCTCTGGGATCAGAAAACAAGCGATGTCATGTCAATGAGAATGTGCCTGACGACGTTCCGGCGTTGTTATAGAACTGTCCAGACTGGCTCCTTGTGTCATGCAACATGTGCAAAGCCAGGACAAGTCACCACTGTTCGTCCTCCTGATTCGTGGCCACCATCTGGCTCAAGCGTCATGTCTGCTTCCCCAACAGGGTCTGAAGACACCAGCGATAGACGCGACGATAGCAGCCCCTACAGGTTGGCCTCTTCTACCTCTGAAACCAACGCGATGGGTGCACACAAGGCAGCAGCTCACAACGTGGTCACGGACTCGATATCACTCTGAGCTCGGACGGGACTTCAGATCAGAAAAATGTGCCTTCAGCCAAAGTTCAGGTTCACATGGACAGCAGCTTGGTGACAGCGATGCCAAACTAATGGGTCTCGTCTAGCGCAGAGCGTGTCCAGAGGCCATCCAATGCCTGTCAGTGCAGTGCCCTCGCTCAGACACTGACATCTCGTTAGCATCGCTCCACTGAAAGCACACAGGTCATTCCATACCATAGTGGACGGCCACAGAAGCATGATTCGTGGTCGAGTAGCGACGGGCAGATGTAACAGAAAGGCTGTATGTTGCCATTGAATCAACGAGGTATCAAGGGCCATTCGGGGCTTTTGCCAAGGAAACTTACTGAAACGAACTATTGCTAGTCCGTGAAGTGTGTTGGCTAGCTAGGCTTATAAGCCTGCTTCGAGCGCTCTTTTACTGCGGTGAAGTCCTTCGCTTCTCTTCGACGATCAACGCTCGGAGCAGTCGTTCTTAGCTGGACGCAAGGAAGGAATTCGTAGAGGACGACGTGCGGGAGTCGAAACAGGTAAGCAAGGCCCACATTATGGTGTGTGATACATGTATTGTAGGCGTGGAACCCACAACTACCACCAGCCAGGATTGCTGCATAATTTGATGTCGTATATCCACTGGTGTGTCAGTGCGGTAGTATCGCTGTATGTCTCATGTACGATTCTGCTATGGTGGATCTTCTGCTGCATGATCAACGGTGCCTGCAGATTCGAGGATGATGCTGCGTCTGGTAGTGGCAGCCTTGCTGGCTGCAAGTACTGCAAATGGAAACGTTCTCAGCGCCGCAGTTATCGGGGTGAGTAGCAGAGATCATCCTGTAAATTCCAGCACAGCACTGTATTATAACTGTACATGTACAACTGATCCACATACTAATCGAATACACCACGTACAACGACTTTTTTCCAAATGTTCACCCAGGAGGGCGTCATCAGGGATATAGGAGAAGATACGAAGATGGCTATTATAATTATGACGGTACAGGGATAGGATTCACAACACTTTGATGCAACAAGTCACAAGCAGCCCCTTTTTCATCATTCATAAAAGTTAGGTTTATTGAGGACCCCTCCCGCCCCCCCCCCCCCCCCCCCCCGTATCCTGTTCCAGTCGGTTGACCTTGGCCCTTGGGGTATACCATGGTATACAGTACCTTAGTTACACAGAACAACAAGGTCACGTGACAAGACTGGTTTATTGCAACTCTGAGTTTCATGTTATGTAATCATCACAGGTATCTGAGGATTGCATAGCATGAGACTCAGACGGTTGCGTTCGATTACGCACTTGAATCGATTCATGAATGGAATTTCATGTCATTGAGCCCGGAAATCGATTCGGAATCCACAAATTCACCCTATTCACATGGGGTGATGTGAATAGCAAATCAATTCATGAATCGATTCATGAATCGAATCCCGGGCATAATCGAACGCACTCGTAGTTGGTCGGTGGAATACGCGCTCTGCCTTCGCGGCATTGAGCTCCAGTACCTTGGTTACAAAGTAGAGATTCTTCTCTCCACCTATCTGCTGACGACCCCATCCATTACAGTTGCACACATAATTATAATAAAGCTATGCGATCTTGGCAAAAAGTTGAATGGCATTATACATTGGAATTAGAACCAGGACGCAGTTGGCTTTCTTATTGAATAGAATCCACCGTCCTAAGAGACCGCATTCCATCTGCTGTGATCCCTAGGTAAACGAAGATTTCCCGGCTGAAGTGAACGACAATTTGCTGTTTGGAGAGGAGAGCAATACAGATGTAAGACTCAGTGTGGGTGGTATTGTATGGTGTGGTGTACGGTTCTACATATAGGTCACCTTTCCGATTACACTGTGCCCCTGTGCTTGGTAAATCCAGCTCAAAGTGCATATTCGGTGACCGATCTGTTTTTAAAAGAGGATCCCAGAATGTCACACATTGACTCAGTGTATTGGTTAAACTGGTGCCTTACCATACCAAACACAATAACCATGTAGGAAGTACAGGTTCCTACACGAGTGCGAGGGCAGTACCGCGGAATCCAGCCCGCGTCGCGATAGCGGCAAGGGCTGGATGAACAGCGGTACTGGTCGAGTATGAGTGACTGGAACATGTTTCCCGTGTGCACCCAAGCCAAATTCGTGAGCCAATGAACGCAGTGGATTCTGTTCCTGCCTGTTCCATCACATTTGAGCAGGCAAGACCCCGCTTTCCAGCCCGCGCAATTTGATCTGTCATTGGTCGACTCCAAGGCGACAATCACGTGGCATACGGGAAGAGTACAATTACATGTATCTGTTTGTCTGCCTTCTCCGTCCCGTGCAAGCACAGGCGAATCCTACCATTGCGTCAGAAGGCACTGAAGCCGCAACAGAAATGATGGTAGGTGCCACGCTGTCTTGATTTGCCATTTTTTAAAATAATGAATACCACAGAGCCATCAGATGCTGCACAGCAGGGGCGGTGGCATATTGGATGGAAGTGGGAGCGGGGCAGAAGTAACTCCTCCGACCAATGGTCTCAGACTTCATCGTTACTCATGTGCCCCGGCAAACCATAACAATGGTACTACTGTAGTCATCATTTTCCAGCATACTGTATAGCAGTAAATTTTCGGACGGAATTTATTTTCGTACGATTTCGTACACGGCCTCTTTTGTACTAAAATTAATTCCGTACTAAAATTTGTTCATGTGAAATTATGTACACTATACATGCATGCTCCTTGCGAACACATGTATTCAGCATGCAGCACTGTACGAAAATAAAATCCGTACGAAAGGTCGAAATTTGGCTTTGTCCGAAAATATTTCCGTCCGAAAATGTCCTGCCATACAGTACTATTGGTCTGTGGTCCGGGAGAAGGTAATACTTCACTCCACCAGCATGCAACTATCACCTAACAACACACCTGAGTACAACCATGAGGCACGTATGGCTGGTTTGTTGACACTCTGTACTATCGTCAGGTAACATGGTGATGCTGTTGGTCATCTGACAACAAAATTTATAATCATTGTGGGGTGAAAAGTCGATTTGAATAATACACAAGACTTGCACTTTGCAGACAATAGCATCTTCACCTTACAACTGATCATTGAAAAGTAATACTAGTGAATCCAATGTGTGCATTTCTTGGTTGCACATTGCTAGCTCTGCGGTTGTGATCAATACTATGTGTGTGTGTGTGTGTGTGTGTGTGTGTGTGTGTGTGTGTGTGTGTGTGTGTGTGTGTGTGTCACTCTGTGTGTGTGTGTGTCTGTCACTCTGTGTGTGTCTGTCATTCTGTGTGTGCTGTCAGGAACAAAGCACAACATTTGCAACTCCCAGGCCTATCATCAGACAACTTACTACAAGAGCGCCTAAGGTCAGTCCATACCTCCATACCGTGATTTCACATTATTATTTTTTGGCGCGCATGTAAAAAAAAGGTGCTTGGCTCAGCCGCTGCACTTGACTGAAACGAGAAGAAAACACCGTATGATTTGAACTTTGACCGTACCAGCATTTGTGGATAAAGATAACAGAAAAAGCACCACCATGGCATCCATTGTTGACGGTTTTCCATCTTGGCCTCATACTAGTAGTTGAAATACTTGGATATTCTGGACCATTCCTGGGCTAGTGGACAAGCCAGCATTCCTAATCTTGTGTACATGTCCTGGCTGTGCCCTGCAGAGGCCTATGTGTAAGGTGGATTCGGAGTGCGGCCGCCCCGGCAAGGTATTCTGCGACAAGCACTACGGCACGTGTAAGGTGTGCATTCGCGAGCGCAAGATGTGCCGGGCAACGCGCACCTGCTGCAAGGGGATGGAGTGCCGCTACGGCGTGTGTCAGCTGCCGATCAAGCCAGGACGACTGGGTTCAAGGTGAGAGGGGGAGGGGGATGACGAGTTCTGGAAATGCTATACAGATATGCCGCTTGTTTGCGGGGTGGATGTGATGCTTCCACTGAAAGTTTGAAGCATGCCAGGTACTGTCAGGTTTCGGCAGAAGCTACTTCTCAATTCCGGTAGATGTGCTCATTTTCTTTCACCTCAAACGGTACTCTCTACTCTACTTTTCTCTACAGGCTTTACCAGGTTTGAGGTTGGTAGGAGTCGGCTCCAAGTAGACAAAAAGCAAAAAAAATGTTTCCGCTCGGGTTCGAACCGAGGACCTTGTGCGTGTGAAGCACACGTGATAACCGCTACACTACGGAAACTCACATGCATGCTGGTCTCCCATATAGGCTAGATCTGCTACTGTGCCTCGTAGACACTTCGTAACCCGGGCCAGATAGCCCCCCCCGGTTTCTCTTCAAGTTGAACCAGGCATCTAAAACAAGACGGAATGCCCCCCCCCTCCCCTCCAATATAATTATGTTCCACAACAAATTCACGCTGCACTACGTTCACTTCACTACCCTTAGGGGCTATTCGGTATTATCGATAATTTTCACGAAACGTAAGAATAGTTAGGACCCCCCCCCCCCCCACACACACACACAAAAAAAATAGATTGACTTGACAGGTAGAATGCATTGATGTCTCACATATCAATATTAATTTTTTTCAAAACGAAACTCCCCTTGACCCACCCACCCATAAACGAAACTTTTTCTCTTCGTGTAAAAGATCGATAATTATGGACGACCCGTTAGCTCATATAATGCTTATACCAAGAGTACATGATTGCACATCCTTCAATGCAGTGAACCCCTTGATAGGCAACCAGCATCTGGGTCATCCTAGCAAAGACACATTATATATAAATATGACACACATGTACATGTTGTGCTACTTACACTCGACTGTCTTTCTTCTTCTTTTTCTGTCACAGATGCAAGGCCGACCGGGATTGCAGCGATAGCACGTGCTGCGCTCGTCACTGGGGCAGAGATGTGTGCAAGGCACTGCTTCAGATCGGTGACCGTTGTCAGCCACCGGCCGGGGGCCTGGTGTGGAGTCTGCACAGCCACTGCCACTGTGCACCGGGATCGCGATGCATCGCCGCAAGGTCAGTGAGAGCATTACATCACCATGACATCACCGTGACGTCATATGTGTGTGGCCAAATTGGCCATAGCGGCATAGCCTGGGCTGGAATAGGAGAGGGGGGGGGGGCTGCATTGTCAGTGACACCGTCATGACATCACCTGCATGGTGGGTTTCACGGCCTGGGTTGGAAGGACGTGTGTGTGTGTGGGGTGGGGGGGGGGGGGGGAGGGATCCCCGACCAAGCACGGGCAATGGGCACAGCCGACCCTTTTGGCACACGCTGGAAAAGTGCGGCATGTTCTGTTCGAAGAGCATTCGCCGGAATTGCCAGAACCACACATTGCATTGTGGCCGATACATGGGGTTTTCACCAATCTTCACTACACATAATCTGATTTTCTTCCGGCATACCTGCCAACGGGTAGGATATTTCGCTGCCATCACGCAATGTAATGTAACATGTGCATGTAGCTCTAGCTGTTCTTCTCCCATTGCTGTCGAATGTTTGTTCAGGGAGACGTTCCGTCTTCAGGTTGGCTGGTACATTCTGAGTTTCCCGTTCATGTCGACCGTCAGCCGCTGCCGTCCAAGTATGCCAATGGGAACGCCAACCCCGGCAAGGCCAACAGGCGACACTATTCAACCTACTCGAGGCCTCTTCTTCTATTGAACACACTCCGCTATTTGTTCAATACGCCAGCATTGCTTTTGGGGTAGCCACACACGAACAGGCACATGTGCGCACGCACACACACATACACACATACACGCACGCACGCACGCACACTCACGTAGACCCAGCCCTTTTCACCGGGATGCTCCACTTTGCACAGCGAGGCCTATAACCCACGAGGCATATACATTATACAGTGTAGCTAGTCGTTTGCACCCGTACTCATAAGCTCCATCATTCTCCTGCAAGATACCTGGTACTTGCTCCCTTGCCCTCAGTACCTAACCAGTGAAGTGTATACACATAGCAACCTCCAACCCGTTGTTGTATGGGCATGCCATGATACTGTCTGTGTCAGCAGGGTACCAATATTGTATGAGCCTCTTTGCCCCGTACACGGAGCGGTGTATGGTTGCCATAGGCACGTTTACTGCAAGAAGGGTGCTGTGGATCCATGATGGTCTACTTACTACTCCCTGATCAACACTAGGCATTGGCGGATAATGCTCGAAAAGGTGGCAGATTCTGCTCGAAAAGCAGTGAAATTGGCAGAACCATACAAACCTTATGGCGGGCAATTCCTCGAATTCTGCTGCATTTCTTTATCCACAATGTGACATACCAAACATGCATGAAACTTACCCGAAAAAGTACCGAATTCTGCCAATTTTTCTGCCGGCATTATCCGCATATGCCTGATCAACACCCTTGTGTTCCTCATGCAGGATGTACGCAGTGCTCCTCGATGAAATCCGATCAATCGAGTAAACGCCACCGGCTGGGCTCTATACAAACCTAGACCAGCGAACACTGGGATGGAAGCTGGTGGAGGGCGCAAACTCCGTGATTCACGAGTTCGGATTTCGCTGAGCAGCGCTCTACTCCCTGCACGTAGGCACTGGCGAAGGGACTTTGAATATGAGGTTACGAGCGCTGGTTGCCCCAGTGCCTGCTCCAGAGCTGGGTCAGCCGGGGCAGTGACCCGGTTTAGGGGGGGGGGGGGGTACTTGGGCCCGTTAGAAAAAAGAACACCAGATCGCTCGTACAAACCTGGGTTTGCACGACTTCCTGGGCTCCGTAAACCCCGCAGCTTGCGTGGAATTGGCTTCAACATTCTATTTATCATGAAGTAAATCTCCTCTATATCTAGACTGACCTGACAATATTACCGGTGCTGAAGTATGCGAACACTGTGACTGCGGCGCTTCCGGAGAACGTCGAGTGCGTTTGCGCTCGCAGATGCCGGAAGGATTCCAACTTCTTGCACTAGTTTCTTTGCTCGTCAGTTCCGCTCGTCCGTCGGTGCAACCACGGAACATGGCAGCCGCTGAGCGATGCTAGCAATCCCATTACATAATCATTATGGATTGTATTGGTAGTTTAGTCTCTTTCTGTTTCGCATGGTATAACAGAAGTACTGTCATGTAGAGTCTACCTCTCGTGGAAACTATTTACGTACATCTCCGTCCATGTGCAGAGGCCTGGTATAGCGGCGAGGAAACTCAACTGATGGTTGAAGCTTCCGACGTCCCCGACACTCGCAACAGCCACAGAGCTAGAGCCTAATGAGTCTGAGTGACTAATGATGTATGCCAGTCATGCTGCACTGTACTATTCGACACGACACTGGGCCGGGCCGGGATCGGAAACTATTACTTTTACTTGCTCAAGACAACAGACAGTGAACGGGCCCGCGTGGGGGTCAGTGGCATCTGCTTCAATCGCTGATTCCGCTTCGCATTCTGCTTGCAAAACATTCTGATTCTGCGTTTACGCTCCTCGCACTGACCACTACGCGGCACAGTAGTGACTTCTGAGCTCGGTGAACATGGTAAAAGCCTGGCAGTGGTAGATCTACAGTGCGCCCAGAATGAGGGCATTGAGGCGCCCGGGAGTGCGGATCCAACTCATGCATGTAGACCAGGGAGTAGTAAAATGCAGTCAGGTACATCTGCATCAGCTACAAGGAGGAAATACACAATCCCACACAGTGCACTAGTACAGTGAGCAAGGAGTAGTAAAATCATTTTAGTTTTACGGAAAAGGCATGCGCGCTGGCGGGCGGAAAAAGAACAAAAACAGAGGAAAACTAAAACTCCATTCTATGTGTACTGAGCCATGTTGCACACAGAATAGCACTACTAAACTGTCACTTATAAAAGTAGTTATGGTGAAATAGGAGAAGGACAACATCCGAGTTCAACTTATAAAGTTACAAGTCATGATTGTACAGTATACTAGTATCAAAACGACAACAAGTCGCTACAGGACAGTTGGCAGACTGGGCAGGGGCGATACAATAGCAGATTTCATGGATGGCTCCTTCTGCACTTTGACATGAGTGGAGTGGAGCTCCGCTCCATCGCGATTGTGGAAAATCTCGAAGTCCTTGCCACCTGGAATCTCCTCTCGCTTGGTGAGCAGGTCCTACGGCTTGGAGAAGTAGAAATTTTCATCGCTCGCATGCACCTTCTACGTACCATCGCCTGGAAGGCAAAATTATCGAGAATTTGATAGTATAGCTTATACGGTAGTATAGTTTATACAAAAGAGAAAGACCAAGGAACTACAAGTTACGCTATACTGTCCCCTAACACCACCAGTTACTAAACAATCAGCTCATGCGATAACATTGCACGACACTGGCCGACGGAACTGACATTCTACAACTAACTGGCTAACAGCTCTAGCACATCTTGGATGCGCACTCCAACAGCCTTCCAACTTGGAAGGTTCTAAGTCATAGAAATAACATCAGGAGGGGAAGGTGAGCGCAACCAAGATAAGCACGAGCTGAAAGTCTCAGCTGTGAAGGACGTCGTTGGCGGATGTGCATGCATGTCGATGACGATACTGGCAAGACCATTGGACAAACCACGATTCAAGAACGCAAAGCAACATTCCACACAACTGACTACTTGTGTGGCTCAAAAGATGCGGAGATCGAAGCTATGCGAACAAGAATCGTGAAAAACCGAACGCCTCAGTAAAACAGCACTGTACTTCGACTATGACAATTATTTAGATGGACAATAAGCAGCGGTAACAAGCAGCAGTTAGTAACTTACATACGACGATCGTTTCGCCGAATAGATAAAGACAGCTCATCAGGTGTGCAGGAATGGACTATGCGTGGAGATGTGCTTAGCTGTTAGCCAGGTAGTTGTAGAATGTCAGTGCCGTCGGTCAGTGTCGTGCAATGTTATCGCATGAGCTGATTGTTTAGTAACTGGTGGTGTTAGGGGACAGTATAGCGTAACTTGTAGTTCCTTGGTCTTTCTCTTTTGTATAAATTAAACCTTGGCTCTCCATCTGAGTCCATTATAGTATAGTATTTATTATTATTATTATCAAATTTTTGATAGGGCAATCCCCACAGGCCTAAGGCCTTCTTACAGGGTACCCTATATATGTAAGTACTGAATTACGGAATAGATGCAGGGAAGAGCATAAGCGGACTGCAGCGGGGAGTGCATTCCAACGGTCGGAACCGATGAAAGAAACTGAAAAGAGACCGAAACGAGTTTTAGCTGTGGGTAGAGTAACAGACGAAGATACCTGAGACTGAGAGCGAGTGCAGGAATTGGTACGAGTAGAAGTAGATGGAAGGCAAAAGCAATCAGTAAGGAGAGTAGTAGTTAACTGATTCAGGACACGAAACACTAAGATATAGAGTTTGAACTGATAGCGCACAGACAAAGGGAGAATGTGATGGCGTGCATGAATAAGGGATACGTCAGAAAAACGAGGCATACTGAACACAATGTGTAGAGCTCTATTAGTATTACTAAGACGGACTAGACGATCATGAAGAGTTACTGACAAGCAGTGAGCAAATGAGTTACTCGAGTACTGTCTGAATGGAACAAATATATAATGCACGATTTGCAGTTACCGTCATGTGATCTCGGACCTTTCTGAACATGGCTAACTATTAAACTAATCTTACTTCCAACCTTCCGCTCTAGTTGCCTAACGTGCTCTCCGAAGGAGAGATGTTCGTCGAGTATCGAATGTGTGGACTAGGGTTGATTGTGACCTCACCCAGCTGTAGAGAGACGCTAGGGTCAAGGGGCTTGCACTTTGACCTGAACACGACGAACTGGGTCTTGGAAGGATTCAGCAGTAAGCCTCTGGCCGCCAAGAACTCTTTCACTTTCACAATGTCTTCTGTCAGCTCCTTGCACAATTGTTTAATGTTCTTGCCAGTTTTGTAAAGGGAGACATCGTCCGCGTACTGTCGAGCCTTGCAGTGCTGGGGTACAGAGGGGAGCTTTCTGACTGACAGATTGAAGAGAGAGGGCCCCAAGACGGAGCCTTGCGGAACCCCCCTGTTGCTGCTATATGTCAGACCTTGCTGCGTCTTGGTGTCCACACGTTGCTTCCTGTGGGTAAGGTAGCTACAGAACCACTGCAAGGCAGTACCACCGACACCGATCTCCAGAAGTTCACTCAGTAGAACTTCATGACTAACTGTGTCGAATGCCTTAGACATGTCTAGGAAGGCAGCTACGACATAATCACCTTTGTCCAAGGAGAGCATCCAGTCGTTGATCACGGGAGTGAGCAAGTCCTCACAGGAGTGACCTCTGCGGTAGGCAAATTGCTCAGCAGGTAGGGGTAACAGTGGTGGTGGTGCATTATATTTAATTTTTAATAATTTTTTTATTCATACTTCAAAGTATTTCTCTAGGGCAGTCCCCACAGACCTATGGTCTCCTTACCTGGTACCCTAGCCAATCTAGGATTGCGATATAATGGCGAACACTTCTCTAGCCAGTATGGCTGATTATACTCTGATCAGCCATACTGGCTAGAGAAGTGTTCGCCAGAACAGCATTGACTCGTCTCGGGTTTTTTTCTTGTCAAGGATTCGAAAAGGTACGGGCGCGGTGACGTGAATTATGACATAGAAATCAGGGAGTCGTAAAATACCTTTACCTGATAGAAATAACTTGGTGTTAGGCCTTGACAGATTATGCTAGCATAATTTTTCGCATAATTCCTACCAAAATCGAATAATTGCATTATTCGAGGCAAATTGCATATGAATCGCATAAAATTGGACTAATCCGCCTGTTCGCATCAAATTCCATACAGTTGTACATGTTCTACAAGTACAAGTACAAGTAGACACACCAGGAAGGCGTAGGTTTACGACTCCCTTGATAACATGTCCAGTCCACTACAATCAGTGACCAGGGTGACGGTCATAGCTAAGTCGGACGGTGCGTTGACCCCGTTGAACTTTTGCTACTACAGTACAACGCCCTCTACAAAAAAATTCACCTGTTATTTTGCACAGAACCATCATATACATTAGCAGCATATGTGAGCATAATGCCGCATAATATGATAACTTTTCGCATAATAATAGCATAATTCTGCAATTTTTTCAGCAATGCGAAAAGCATCATTTCACGAAAATATTAGCATAATCTGTCAAGGCCTACTTGGTGTGGCTGCCTAGTAATGGCGGACAAATAAGTAACGTTTCGACTTTCGAGGCAGGATGGCTACAGTAGGCGTATCATGTAGAATCTACTGTCCCGGTTTTTAGCCTGGTCGGGGTACCATTCAGTTCATTGTATTGGCGCTGTTCCGAGTTTGGAACCCACTGCTACTCCTCCCTATCTTCTCCGGCTCGAGCTTCTTTGCCTGCCCCCCCCCCAATTCATTCCCTTCTCTAATTTTATGATTACAAGTCTTCTGATCATTGGCTTGGGAGCGCCCGTCTCCCTCTTTGGTTGAACGCCTAGCTTTTCTTCTTCATAACCTTGTCCCCCCCCCCTCCCCATTTCCCCAGCATTGTCAGGGAGCTGTGGTTTGTTCGACTCCCTCTGATTTTTATTGTGTGAACTGCTAAGTCGCTCACAGCCACAGTAACAGGAATCAAAGATGGTGTTAGCACCTGTTCGTGCTGCGAAAATTCAGCAACAACAATAGCAACACGTAGCTGATGTTGCATTGTACATAGTGTTGGTTGCCAGCATGTTACAAGGCGGAGGACCACTGTGTTCGGAAACAGTGACCTTACTACATGTACAACCATCCCCAGAGCTTCCCGGTCTTCCGACCATGTGTACATACACAAATAGGAGATCCCCCAGATAGGCGTTAGCCTTTGGGTAATCCTGAAATAAAGATTATTATTATTATTATTATTATTATTTGAACTGTAGGGGTGCGAGCCCTGGTTCTGACCCTCATTTTAGTTACAAGTAACAACATGTTTTCAACAAAACAAGATGTATCTAATACTACATGTACCATATATGTGCAGGGATCTTGGCGACTCATCCCATTGCTTCATTTGGCTACAGTACTATGTTGATCTACATGATGTACATTATAATATCCCAAGCTGCAAGCTGTTGTTGTGCGTAGTCTTCTCCGCGTCACTTCTCGGAATCTCGGCGTCCTTCCAAAAACGTACACCGCAGTCATATCTCACCCGAAGAGCTAGCTAACAGTTACATGCCACATGGGGTCATGCCTTGGCTTAGGTACTGCCACTTATGGAAGCCGGATAATCATGATAATGATGTTTATAAGAAGAAATGAATAACATGGCACTGGACTTATAGTTGGACACAGAGAGACTCACCAGCTATTATCAATGAACTAGTAATTTTCACCTTTCTGTAGCGCATCCTATCGATCACAGCTATTGTGCTCTACAGCATTGTTCCTCAAGATTCTGAGCTTTCTGTTTGTCTTTCTCTTTATCATCATCCTGGATGGCACAAGTGAAGTAGGCACCCCCGCTTACATCGCGATAGTGCTTATGATAATAATAATAAGAAGAAGAAATGAAGACCAAGGAACTATAATTTAAGCTATAATGTCCACTAACACCACCAGTTACTTCACAATCAGCTCATGCGATAACACTGCACAACACTGACTAACCGTACTGACGTTCTACACCTAACTGGCTATCAGCTCTAGCACATCTTGGATGCGCACTCCAACAGCGTTCCAGCTTGGAAGGTTCTAAGTTAGAAATAACATAGGAGGGGAAGGTGAGCGCACCCAAGACAAGCACGAGCTGTAAGTCTCAGCTGTAAAGGAAGTTGGCGGATGTACATGTACATGACTTGTCGAGGACGATACTGGCAAGACCATCAGACAAAACGGTCAACCCATAACGGTCAAGGACGCATACATACGTCCTTGGTAACAGGTGGTGTTAGTGGACATTTTATAGCGTAACTTGTAGTCCCTTGGTCTTCATTTCTTCTTATAAATTAATCCTTGGCTCTCCACCCGAGGCTGAGAATGATGTTTGTTGTTGCTGTTGTCTTTATATTTGATAGATCGAGGTGGAAATGTGGAGATGAAAACAAAACGAAAGAACAGAACAAAAGTACGTGTGTCAATTAAAAGGAGAAGAATGGGAGCAACGATGACAGACACGTTTAGTCTGCGATACATGACACGCTTGTCTTTATGGTGAATTCACTGGCCCAGAAGCAACGGAGAAGATGCCAGTTTACACCGCCAGGACTCGAATACGTAACCGTAGTACCAGTGCAGACGGTTGGGGCCAGGGAGTCGTCAAATACTTGACGACTCCCTGGTTGGGGCCATGAGGGGACGGAGGAGGATTTCTTGTACACCTGGGTTCTTGGCTATGTATGGCCGCAAAAACAAACCTACGGGATATGGACATATCGGCACCCGGGAGGCTGTAAATTGCCTCGGGGAAGAAGATCGCGCGAGTCACTCTCCCGATCCCAGCCCAACGAAGCGTTTCTGCGTATTGTCGATTCCTTTCCGAGCTGTCGGCGATGAGGGAACAGGTACAACGGGCTTCGTTTTCAGCGCCTCCGGTGCAAGGGTGCTGTGGTAAATCGCACTCACTGCTGCCAGCGTTGGGCACTGCGGTTCATTTACGTAATCCCAGGGAGACGTGTAGAGCGGAGAGTCGTAAAATATCGACTAACGCATCTTATAACATGTAGCCAGCACACAACTTCGCAACAGTACTCAGTGGTGTTGTGAAGTCCGAAGACCAAACTTAGCAGTTGGAAAGTAGAAACGATCTGTCCCGGAGGCTAGAAGAAGAAGAAGAGAAAGACGGTGTTTTCAGTGCTTGAAGGTAGAAGCTTAGGGGTTTGAAGCTGAAGACGGAAGTGGCTCACTGCAGTGAAACAGGTAGCCAACAAGGGCGTTAGTCTATTGGGAATGATCCAGTTCTAAGGTCATCTCGTTCGTGTATACGACAGAAACCCAACCATCAATCATGAGCTGGTGAGTAGAGTACGCAGCTACAATTTGACTCGTTTTTGTGGCCTTCATCTTCGACATGTGGCCCTTCAAAAGATAATCGTTTCCTGTGAATCTCTACTTTCACTGCCTCGAGTGCAAGATTGTCTTGTCATACTTCTTGTGTCTTCTTTACTGCTTGCTCGGGGCTAGGTTTTGCCGTGCGTGCATCACTTGCTTTCTTCTGTTGTACTGCATACTCAGACTTGCATACGGGATCGTGCCCCTCTATTAGTAAGAATAGATTGGCTCTTCATGAGCTCATTTTATAGAACTAGGCTTGATTGGACGAGAAACTTCGGCTTCAGGTTGATTTAGGTCTCCGCAATAACGTGGCGGAGTGAGCAAAACTTCCTCGAGTGACATCGAAATCGAAAGGAACAATCATGTCGTACAGTGTGCATGGGGAAAAAACACCGTATATTTCTCCCCTGAGGGAAGATCATTCGCAGGCAGGTGATATAATAGCCCAGGCCGGGTCTTCGCTTGAAACAGTGGGGTAGCAAAGCACAGAAATACTCAATCGACAAATTCCACTAGAAGAAGCAACACTCCCTACCAGAACTGTGACTCTAATCGAATTTCTTCGAAGCACTTCAAAAGAAACAGCTGAGCGACACAAGAAACAGTAGTTAGCATATGTACGAACAAGACCACTGAGGTAAAAAAAGCAGAAGAGAGTTGGGGAGAGAGACCCACACAAGCTGTGCACCAGAAACGTTCCCTCATGCCTGTCGTCGGACTTTTTCGGCATCAGCCGAATCCCCCGCGCAAACTCACGATTGCCGTGCAGTAGCAGCACATGGTGATATAGCACGGGACTAGAATCAGGTGACCAGCATGGTGGACTTATTTACTGGGCACCGCCGCCGCAGCTTGAGTCACGATGCCTGCGATCTGATCAGGTTCGACAGCGCGGCTGTCCAGTGTACAAGTACATGTATAGTGTGTCCATTTGTCATTTCCACACGGAAATCATCGCTTCTGGGTAGGGCAACTTAGATGGTAGACTTAGCGAAGGGACGGGGACGCCTTCAACACTGCTGCACGCATCTTGCCGTCCGGGCCAGTGATAAGCCCCATTACCCGTACAAACTACGATACTGGCCAAAGAAATCCAAACTCGTGAATAAAAAAGCGCTACGCTGCCCTAGCACTACAAACACTGTTCTGTGCACGCGAACGCGGCGCTGCTCTATTCATGAGGTTGGATTTCTCGGGCCAGCACTGTACAAGGCTCTCGTCCTTGTCTTCAGCAAGCGCACCGCACGCTGCCGGGACCGCCGAGCTGCAGTTACGAGTTAACGTTGTTATAGCAACCATGGAGGCCGGTGCAATGACGATTCACTGAACGACGAGCAATACGTTGTTCCAACAGGTACTCCGCCTTGCAGTGGGCTCAACAGGAGGGTTGTGACAGGTGTTTCTGGATACTCGGCAGACCTCGCGGAACTTGCATCCAAACCAAAAAGGTCTTTTGCTACGGGTGCGATGTGCTCAGAGTGACTGTGCTCAACAAGGGCTGCATTCTGGTGTGTGTGTGTGTGTGTGTGTGTGTGTGTGTGTGTGTGTGTGTGTGTGTGTGTGTGTGTGCATGAATGCATGTGTGTGTATGTGTGCGCGCGCTGTGTGTGCTGTGTGTGCATGGGTAATGTGTGCGCATGTCTGTGTGCTGCTGTGGTGCCTCTTTTCAGCACGACAGATGTTGATGTTGTCAACAGCAGCGGCAGTGACAGCAGTAGCAGCAGCGACAGCAAAACACCAGACATGAGTTGGTAAGTTGAGCACATGACCGCAATTTTACTTGCTGTGTCACCTTGTATCGAAATGCAGCCGTTCGTATAAAAAGCTATTTTTCCCCTTTTTACAACCATTAGTGCAATGCTCGAGGCTAGGTCTTGCCGTTCATGCATCGCTTGCCTTGTGCTGCTGTACTGCATGCTTCTGTAGGGGATCTTACCTGTACGAGAGAGGGAGGGAGGGAGAGAGAGAGAGAGAGAGAGAGAGAGAGAGAGAGAGAGAGAGGGGGGGGGGGATAGAGAGAGAGAGAGAGAGAGAGAGAGAGAGAGAGAGAGGGATAGAGAGAGAGAGAGAGAGAGAGAGAGAGAGAGAGAGAGAGAGAGAGAGAGAGAGAGAGAGAGAGAGAGAGAGAGAGAGAGAGAGAGGGATAGAGAGAGAGAGAGAGAGAGAGAGACGGAAGTTGTGCAAAACTTTCTGCCTGTCTATTGTGTGTGTGTGTGTGTGTGTGTGTGTGTGTGTGTGTGTGTGTGTGTGCGTGTGTGCGTGTGTGTGTGTGTGCATGTGTGTGCGTGTGCATGTGCGTGTGTGTGTATACATGTGTGCATGTGTGTGCATACATGTGTGCATTTTGCATACACAATGTGGCTCTTCTCAGCACGAATGATTTAGATTCCGTCACCAGCAGCAGCAACAGCAGCAGCAACAGCAGCAGCAACAGCAGCAGCAACAGCAGCAACAGTAGCAGCAACATCGATACGTCAAACATAAAGTGGTGAGTAATATTCAGTTACAATTATTGTTTTGCAGCCTTCGCCTTCGTAATGTGGTCGACCACCAGGTATTAGCTTCCTGTGGATATTTCTTTTCACTGCCTGGGGCGGGGTGGGGGAGAGCTGTCAGGCCTCTTCCAATGCGGAAGCGGAATGCCTCAAATCGGTGAGGAGATCAGAAAGGTCACTCGCCAAATGCTCATAATTCTCGAGCCTGTTGCCGTACCAATTTGGGGCCTCGAATGCAGTCGCTCGAGAGGGCCTAGCAATGACCATGTCTTGCTGGCGGCTGGCATGCCATGGTAAAGCGGGTCAACCCATGCGAGCGCATCCGCTCCCGCCCATCTGCCCGCGCAAAAGGAAGACATTGTGCTAGCACTGTCCGCTTGATCCTTTTTCACAGTACCGAATGGCTTGGCCGATAGTCAAGCTAGTGGCCACCAGGCGTCAGCCAATGTAGTCGAGGATCAAGCAGATCATTACTGTAATTTCACAAATTTGTGCTGTACGTTATTTTTGGCACTTTCGGTGCGTCTGTTTCATACCTCAGGGGTGTCGGAAGGTATTTTAGTGTGGTACGGTCAGCCGTCTGAAGTACAATTTACTCGTGGGGAGGGATGGCTGAGACGAAAATTTTGGAAATTTAGAGCCCAGATCAGTGCATTTTATTGATTCACGGGGTATTTGGGGAAAATAGTGGTACGGTCAATACCGTAGTGACCGTACCGTGTGCGACGCCCCTGTACCTAAACTTTCAATACACCGAACAAACACTAACACACATTACCCAATAGGGACCTGCTTCTCTGCACCTAAAATTTCTGTTCACCTAGCATGGCCTTTTGGCCTCATACCGAAAATATTGAGCACCTAAAAAAGTCTGAAATTAGAGTATTCTCACCTTGGGAGCTTGTTTCCGTTTTCAGACTGAACAGTCAGAATCGGATTGAGGGCAAAGATACTAGTCTTTATTGCGTTTGGAAAACTCAAGTCATGTAGAGGTGATGCGATTCCATCATCAGTTGAGATGCTTTGGCAAAAGGGGGCGCAGCGCTGCACTAGTGACTCACGCTGTACCATATGGTGCCAATACGGGGTTGTGCTGACTCACCGCCATGACATCATTCGCATCACCTCTATAGCGTTCCATTGCGGCAAATTGGCCACAGCGTTCTTGTTTTCTCTGGTCCCGCCACACCACAGTTCGATCGTTCATTGGAGGAGAAATACTTGCTCTTGCTTCTTCAGCCCGGCTAGCGCAGTTGGTAAAGCAAGCGATTAAGTGAGAGGGAGGCAGACAAACTTACAGACAGTATGTGCGTATTTGTGTGTGTGTATGTGTGTGTGCATGCATGCATGTGTGTGCGTATGGTGTGTGCCCGCGTGTTTGTGTGCATGCATGTGTGTGTGTGCACTGTATAAAATGTGCCTATACCCAGCGAGCCAGAAGATGCGACAAGCACCAGCACGACCAGCAATGGCAGCAGTAAGAGCAAGAACAAGAGCGACACCACCGACATGAGCTGGTGAGTGGAGTACAAAGCTGCTATTTAACTTGTTTCTGTGGCCTTCGTCTTCAAAAATGTGGTCATCCGTAAAGTTATTCGTTTCCCTGTGGATCTCTACTTTCACTGCCTCGAGTCCAAGATTGTCTTGTCATACTTCTTGTGTCTTCTTTACTGCTTGCTTGGGGCTAGGTTTTGCCATGCGTGCATCACTTGCTTTCTTCTGTTGTACTGCATACTGTAAAGCGATAAACTTAGAATTGCGCTGGTCCAAGACGAGCAACTATCGCGATTTCATCTGGTCCTGTCTACAACTAATGTACAGAGCTGTTGGCGACGATCTATATTCGCAAATGTATGATGGTCGCGATAATAGCGAAATTTCATCTCGAGTGAAAGTTTCTCATCTTGCAGTACAGTACTACTTGCATACCTGATCATACCCTCTCTATTAGTAAGAACAGAGCGGCTTTGTCTACAAATTCATACCATTGAAGATGACACTGCAGGAAGCGTCCAACCAAATGGCAAGAATAATAATAATAATAATAATAATAGTACAGGTCGCATGTCTCCCAAATAATGGGTTCCACGTATCTGTCAACTGTTTTTCATCATGAAATAGATTGCAGCAGGAAGAATAGCATACGAAAAAAACCCATATACAGGTTCTAGCACATGACAAGTACATGCCATTTTTTTTTACACCGATGTACATTTATCAATGAAGTCCAGCCATAGCTTTTTGTCCCGTGCAGTGTTGAGGCAATCCTCGAGCGTGTGTCCGAGAGGGGAGATATCGAGAGGGGAGATGTCGGGAAATGGCAAGAACACCAAGAAATAATCAATCAACAAATTCCACCAGAACTGTATGAGCTGTGTATGCCGTCGTATCGTAAATAGGACAATTGTACACCCCCTCCATATACGAACTGTATCCCAATTGAAATGATCGTTCGTTGGACTTGCTATGCATGCAGAGTCATTCCTCTGACAGAAGCTGCATTCTGCTGTGTGTGTGTGTGTGTGTGTGTGTGTGTGTGTGTGTGTGTGTGTGTGTGTGTGTGGTGTGTGTACCTGTATGTGTGTGTGTGTGTGTGTGTGTGTGTGTGTGTGTGTGTGTGTGTGTGTGTGTGTGTGTGCGTTCGTGGGTGTGGGTGTGCATGCATATGCGCTTACTGCATGCATACTATGCCTCTTCTCAGCTCATCAGATGTCGATGTCATCAAGAGCAGCAACAGCAGCAAGAAAAATAGCAGCAACAGCGAGAAAAATGGTAGCAGCAAGAAAACCAGCGCCACTGGTGAGAAAAATAGCAGCAGCAGCGGGAAAACTGGCAGCAGTAGCAGCAAAAAGGTAGCAGCTACTTCCTCATCGTCCAAATCACCCACCACGAAGGGTAGCAAGTCGACCGAAGAGATTCCCGCCATGCACACCATCCGCATGAGTGCCAACGGCTTTCGGCAACGCTGGAACGGGCAGCAGTGGCGTCGGCTGTGCGACGATCCCGAGTGCCCGCGAGAGGCACAGCGTCTCTCGCGGTGCGCCAAGCACCAGCCGATCAAGGAGTGGCGTCCGACACGGCGCTCGCGCACCTCCATGTCCAAGATGAAGGGCATGGGTCACGCTCAGTCGACGACCGGCGGGGGCAGTGTCAATGGCGGTAGCAGTGATCATCATCACCACCACCACCATCATCCCTACGACCGCACGTCCCAGGCCATCTCGGCGTCGCTGCTGTCCAGCGTGACGCACGGCCTGCCGACGACACTCTCCGACCCGATCCTCTTCCCGCCGGAATCGGCCAGCCTAACGATGGCGGCTAACGGCGGTGGCGGCGGTGGCGGCAATGGTGGCTGCTCCGGCAGCGCCAGCAGCAACGGCGAGCACGACGATGGCCTGTCGTCTCCCCTGCAGTGGGGCTGGCCCTCTGCCGCCGCCGGTGGTGCTGGCGGTACGGTGGCGCAGACCGGATACACCATGCCGTTCCCAACCTCCCCGGCGGCCGCCGCAGCGGCAGCGTACGCACACCATCACCACCATCCGGGCTATCCGTTCGAGAACCTGGCCATGATGTACGGACTGCCCAGCTCCGAGCAGCTCGTGCACGCCGCGGCAGCCTGGCCCATGCATCCGGCCAACTTCGGTCACCTGCCCTGAGCATGCCACGCCACTATTGCTTGTTGAATGAAAAAAAGTATTGACGGATCACAGCCCACTGAACTGCACACGCGCACACAACCGCACACACTGGCCATAAATTGGGCACGACTTTTATTCAACTTCAGACAGACACACACACACACAAATCTATGAAAAACACGTTTAGGAGGCGCTAGGCCCAACCCGTGTTTCAGCGAGGCATACTGCAGCTACGACAAGCCTTGCGCCCCGCCACACGGGACCGCACAGCGGTTGGCCCCTGCGCTTAGCGGGCAACGACGCGCTCTCGTGCGCGCGTGCAGGACAGCATCATCGACGGTTGGTTAAGTCATTGTCGGCTCACGGATGCGTGCGGATGCACGAGCAGGCCTTTAAGCCCTGACCTGTGGAGCGTGTGCATATGGATTGTTAGTGTTAGGCTAGGCCGTAGGCTAGGTTGTGTGTTGAGTATCTACTCATATTCGTCTTCTTTTTCCCGGGCCCCCCGCCCCCCACCCTGTGCTCTTTCACTCTGTGTACAGCATTTCCATGCGGATCTTTCATGTACTTGACTATTCGCTCCAGATCGATATGTTCTCTCCTTGCTCTTTCCAATATCTCTGATACTTTTTCTTCCGTTTCTCAATTTGTTTTATTGTTGGCCCATGATTAAAATGATGGTTTGTGTACAGCATTTCCATGTGGACCTTTCATGCACTTGACTATTCGCTCCAGATCGATAATGTTCTCTCCTTGCTCTTTCCAATATCTCTGATACTTTCTCTTCCGTTTCTCAATTTGTTTTATTGTTGGCCCATGATTAAAATGATGGTTTGTATCCGATGATGTTCTCTCTTGCCGTATCTCCTCCCTGTCGCGTGTATATGTACCGATAATTATGTGTGCTGCGTGTTTTTTTTATATTCTTGCTTTAATATCCTGTTGTTTGTCACCAATGGACGTTTGCAGCTCCATATGCTCTGCCTTGTTTTTGTTGTGTTTTCACCCGACTACTTCAAAATGAATCTGATCTTGCGAAGAGACCCCTTGCTTTGGTGGACAGTAGACAGCCGGGCCGTAGCGTAGATGTACCGAGAGACCATACGGGGTGACTGTAACATTAAATCACGCGCATGTGTGTGTGCGTGTGTGTGTGTGTGTGTGTCTCTGTTACAATAACCCTGGCTGTGGCAGGGTCGATTTGTACACGCTCGCAAGTGGCACAGCTTGCCCGGGCGGCGCTTTCAGGTCGGCAGGCCAAGTCCACAATGTTAATGGTGAGTTAAATAGATCTACACCGCGGATTACCTGGAACGTAAATCCGGGGTCGAAACGCGCATTGTTTGGGTTTCTTGCTACTTACTAGGGTCTCGTGTTGACTCTCTGTATGTATGCTATGACTCCCTGTTACATGGCAGGCAGTGGACCACCTACGGAGCTGTTATGAGAGTGTACAATCATGTACAGGTGTGGCCAAAGCAACACGACCTGCGAATCAAAAGCAGCGCGCCGCGTTTCCACTTCAATTGCAGTAAAACCTGGTTTAAGCGACCACCCCACGGTGCAAGCAAAATCGCTCGTTAAAGCCAGGTGGTCTTGAGAACCAGGTCCCACAGTGTCTGTGTAGAACTGTCGGTGTGCATGGAGAAACGGCCGTTAAGAGCAGGTGGTCGCTAAACCCAGAGGTCGCTTACACCAGCTTTTACTGTACTCCTACATCATGCATGTTCCCAGAACTGACCGCATGAGCCTCGGCGCTGTTTTCCGCGCGCGTGGGTTGGATTTCTTTGGCCACAACTGTACATAGTTTGGTACGTGTATGCAAGCCTTGGTGACATTGTAAATCACGTACAGGTCTGCTCTCGATATAACAACTCTCACTTGTACATAAACGGTTTTTAGAACACGGAGGCTCCATTGCATGCAGCCTATTCATATTATGATCAGTCGCCACCACTACACAAAGGTCGTTGACGCTGCAAATTATTTTACTCCCTGATGAAGCCCCAAGGGCGAAAATTTGGAGATTTCATTTCTTTTGAATAAAATTTGCAGCGTCAACGACCTTTGTGTAGCGGTGGTGACTGATCATAATATTTGTGCATAAACCTCGCTAGTAAGCAAAAAAAATCAAATCCCGCGCCGAAACAGCATCACTCCCATACAAATTTTGTTCCACACAACATAACCCTACATAACATAAACCTCGACAAAACACACGTTACGGCGCGGTCCCCGACGTGCGCACTCTCGATACAACGCAATTTCACGTGCACGGTACGATCCAGCGGTAGCTAGCTGTAGCTAGGCAGTTTAGGCCAGTTTAGTCCTACATAACGTAAACCTCGGCATAACGCACCCTATGGCGCGGTCCCGGACGTGCGGACTCTCGATACAACGTAGATTCACGTGCGCGGTACGATCAAGCTGTAGCCGCAGCTCGCCAGTTTAGTCCTATTGTGCATATATTCTGCGGCATTGATGGTAATACCCTTCATTTTTAGGTACATCTTGTATTTTTACACACGGTTTTCTACATAACATAACTCTCGGTATCATAACTTTCACGTGGTCCCAGAGACTACGTTATCTGGAGAGTAGACCTGTACATGGTCTATGCAAGCCTCGCCTGATAGGTAAGACCGAGACCCTACCAACCGGTTTATGGTTGTAGTCAGGAGCACTGTTTCCCGTACAGTGCGTTCTCGCCTTGTGCACGATGTCATCGTGAAAACATGTATAATTATGGTTGTAATGAATGGGAGAGCCGGTCTGCACGGTGCTGTGCTCATCCAGTGGCAAAGCCTGTGACATAACGTCTTCATTACCACGGCGATCGTGTTGAGACACACAACCAGTTTCCTGTGGAAAAAAAGAGTAAATAATTATCGTGTCCGTTCCCAAAGAGAACTCACGACGGCCGCTAACACCCGGTAAACCCACCGTCAGGTGCTGCATCTGCCGCTAGGGTTTACCGGTTTCCTGTACCGACTGCACTGTACTACCGGTATTGCCAATAAGTGACCTGTTTTGAGCAACCACCTATTCTGAGAGACCACCTACAGGGGCGTCGGAACCAGTGCGGCAGGTCCGGCCAAAGCCACACCAATAATTTCATCTTGCGACTTTTGAAGCAATGAAATATGGGCTACCGTAAAGTCTTTTATGCTGACCTTTCATACAAACTTCCAGTCAACTTGCCCATCATGCTGGCGGTTTATACTGGGCATTATAAACCTCATACCTCATACAAACCCCATATAGACCACCACCATACAAACTCCTTTTTAGAAACAGGAAGAAGTTGACTGTCAGTTTGTATGAAGGTCAGCATAAGTATAATACATCCCACTAGTACGCTTGTAGTAGTAGTAGTAGAATTTATTCCCGTAGCTATGCAGAAGACGTTACTTCAGTAACGTCTGGCGCTAGCCAGGGTCCACACAGCTTTAATTTGGTATTTGTTTGTGTGTTTGTGTCACGCCTGGCGCTATCCCGTATCTGACGGCAAAAAATCATAGGGATGTTATAAATTTTTCAATTCTCCTATTTTTTCAGGCATATCCTGGGATTCGAACCCGCACTATCGCCCTACATGCATTCCCCCATACACTTCGCATCCATACCCATTCTTCCAAGTTGCTTCACGTTATGATCTTGCGTTTGAAAGCCCTATTTGAATAGGTACGGGACAGGTACGATCGAGGGTAATACGACACCGTCTCCCGTACCGTACCATTAAAGACGGCTGGCCACAATGCATATTCAAATAGGGGTTTCAAATGCAAGATCATAACGTGAAGCAACTTGGAAGAATGGGTATGAATCCGAAGTGTATGGGGGAATGCATGTAGGGCGCGATAGTGCGGGTTCGAATCCCAGGTTTATATGTCTTAAAAAAAAGGAATTTTTTAAAGACCGGGGGATGCATGCAGGGCGCGATAGTGCGGGTTCGAATCCCAGGTTAACCCGGTTATGTCTTAAAAAAAGGAATTTTTTAAAGAATTTATAACATCCCTATGCTTTTTTTTGTCTAGGTCATCAAGGCAAAAAAGCATAGCGTAGGGCCCTGAGCTTCCAAGCTCTCTCGTTATTTTGATAGGGAAGGCCCTACAGACGTTGCCGTCTTAGTACGTGAAATATAAACCATCATACAAACGTCGGCTTCGCCTCGGTTTGTATATGTCGGTTTACATTTCACGTACAAGCGTACTGTTGGGTTGTATTATATACGTATAAAAGCCGCACTTGAATAGAAGCCGCCCTCGAATAGAAGCCGCAATTTTGGGTCCATCAAATCACATAATTATAAGCCTGCTTTTAGTGTTGACATACATAGAAATACCTGGCTTGTATAGAAGCCTGTCTCATGTAGAAGCCTGCAAAATTTCACCAAGAAAGTCATAGAAGCCGCGGCTTTTATACAAGACTTTACAGTATTTGGGCCCGTTTTCCCTAAAATTTCCCGGGGGGGGGCCTTGGACCCCCACCTACTCATAATAGATCATGCGGCTGCACCGATGTCGAATACCTTCCGACGCCCCTGACCTGTCTTGAGAGACCACCTGTCTTGAGAGACGCTGAATAGGCTGGCTATTTCCATTCACGACCCCGATGCGCCCACAGTACTTGCATGAACCAGATACTGATTGCTTGGGTTTGCGTTGCTGTCTGGTTGCACTGATGGCAGCCACTGAGCAAAAATTGGCAGGCTCTGCCGGCGGGATCGTACAGCTTACTACTCCCCACATATGAGGTATCCAGTGCGGTAAAGGTATAGTTTAGGGTCCCAAATTATTTTAGTGGGTCAGCATGCTCTACAGAGTCCCAGGCATGCACATTACACACACGAGACATGCATAGTACAAACAGGGCATGCGCAATGCACTCGAGGTCAACAAGGTCAATGCACTCGAGCCAGTCGAGGTTAACACGACAGCAGCTAGAGTTAATTAAATGGAAACTCACCAAATGTGGTTGCCGGTAAGTGCAAGCACAACTCCTTTAGTTTAGGATATTGGTCTCTTCGCAGATTCTGCTTCCCATTTTCTCCTTCCTTGTCCGCCAATGTTTATTAGCGATGGCTGGGCATTCACCAGCAGTATACCGGTAACATGTAAGCTGTTGGCTAGTGCCCGATGTCTTCATGATGTCTTCATGATGTCTTCATGCCAATCATGGAAAACGAGTTGTGGTTGAGCTCTGCATGCTCCCAATTATTATGACCTTGTTGACCTCGACTGTCTGGTGCATGCCTTGTTTGCACTGCGCATGCCCTGTTTGTACTATGCATGCCTCGTGTGTGTAATGCCTGGGGCTCTGTAGAGCATGCTGGCCCACTAAAATAATTTGGGACCCTAATTTGCCTAAACTATACATTTACCTCCAGTGCACTGCATGCTTTCGTATTTAAATGGCATCTGCTAGCGTGAGCCTGGACTAGTTCGTTGAGCAGTTCACGACGTACACATCTACTTCGGGGGATGTCAAACCCGCAACCAACTGGTCTCGCACCTGGGAGTTTACAACTCAATTGAACTTACTATGTCCACATCCGTCGCCCCGAATTTACATTAGTCTACTCTCGAGCTCTCTCTCGTAGACGGCCAACGAAGGTGGAGACTGATTCCTTCGGCCCGGCTTGTTTCAGCTGCCGGAATTTGTGGTGTTCCGACGTTGTGTTGACGGTTGGACGAAAGAGATCCGCCAATTTTCGATATCGTATCAAATGCTGACAATTTCAAATCAAGGAGTTGTAAAAATAAGGACAGCCCCGGCCCCCCGTATGGCCATGCAAAGCTCAGCTCAGGAGTCAGGTTGTCTGCTCGAGACTGAGGGCATGTTCGATTGGTAGGATCGGGATCCCGATCCACCGGATCCACTGGATTCGCACCCTTTCGATTGGTCGAATCTGGATCCGGATCCTTCGGATTTGGATCCGGTCAACCCACCTCGGGGAGCAGGGTTGACCGGATCCAACGGATCCAAATGTGACCTTTGTGCGTATATGGCGGGTAAAAATCGTTTTTGTACACATTGTGGTACGCACACGTGGATCGAGATAGACCTTGCTGACTTTTTGTACAACTTGCGCGGTGAGTACGACTTTTTATTACTTTCGTCAACATGGCAACAGTCAAGGCCCAAAAAAGTGTCCAGTTGACTCTGCAGGATCCGACGGATCTGAGATCTGGATCCCGATCCCGATCCTTACCAATCGAACATGCCCTGAAACGGACTTGCAAAACAACCTCTTTTACATGTAGATTTGGGCGCTGGCGCATGCATGGCGGAGAAGGAATCGGTACGCGGTACCGGTAACCACCTGGTAACGAGCCGGCCCTTCACCACTTTGCGAACCGAGCTCGCGCGAGTCCAGCCAAAATTTAAAAGCGCGTCACTTTTTCAGTAGTGGTGCAAACATTACAAAATTAAAATAATTGCTATGTTGTTTTTGTAATACAGTAATCATTGCATTTATGATTTATGTCCTCTAGCCAAAGCTCAAAATCGGTCCCGATGTCACCCGAGTACTACTGCTAGTACAGTAATCGGGTACAAAATCCTTGGGCACTCTGCCCTTCGTTGTCGTCCTGTTCACTGCGCCAATGAAGATTGCCAACACTACAGTCTGCTAGTAGTCCCCATCCTCCAGACGGACGGGATATAACTACTTATGACCGCCATTCAAGAGATCACCATGCACCACATCACTGCAGTAAGTGGACAGAGCCACACGCATACGCAATCCCCTTGCGTGCACACACACACACACACACACACACACACACCTCAGACATGCCCATCGCGGAAGCGATGATAGCGAACAGCTATGTTAGACATAGCAACTTGTGCTGGGATTACACCATTCAGCAGCTTGCAAGGCTGATGAATTGATCGCCACTATTTTTAGCCTGGTATCCATCACACAGTTGATTGAAGTGGCTTTTTCTGGCCAGTGAATCCCTATTTTTCATTTATTTTTTTATTTTTTTACACACACGCCACACCACGTACGTACCACATACTCCGGCATACACTGGCTGTTGGTAACCACCCAGGAGAATGAAAGAAGAGCTAGGAGAATGAGAAAGAGAAGAAAGACGTGTGCAACCATAATTGTCTGGAATTGAACCCGCAACCTCTCGATTGGAAATCGACTGCACATACCACTGCACCATAACACACACACACACATACACACACACACACGCGCACGCGCGCACACACACACACACACACCACACGCACACATGCACACACACATGCACACACACACACACACACACACACACACACACACACACACACACACACACACACACACGGGGCGACACAATGGAAACCACCGCAGAACTGTGCTGAATTCTGAAGTGCTGGCAAGCAAGGAATGATAAAAAAAAACGTTGATACAAAAAGAATGTCTGATGGTCCCACATATCTGGGAAACATGAACAGGAAAAAGGAAAAAAACGGTCTCGGGTCACAGGTAGGTTCAATCAAGGAGAGAGAGGAGGAGATTCAAGGCGATAATACTGATTTGTTTTGACTGAGACTAACTAAAGGTTTGACAGATTCTCTGGTGCGGTAAAGCCTAGCAACGGTTTGCGACGATAGATAACGAAATAATAAACACCAGGTGAGGCAGAGAAAATAACAACAGAACATATTCGTTAGAGAGAGGGAGCGAGAGAGAAAGAGCGGGCGACGAGGTTGAAAGAGCCAGAGGAAAGAGCAGGGAGGAGGAACTGGGACAGTGGACGTAGTATGTGTGCATGTGTGCGTGCGTGGGTCTCTCTGTCCCATTCAAAACTGACCGGTCACGCTAGACAATATGATCACCCATTCTCAAGAGTTTGGGGATTGAAATTTATGCTGGAAAGCGCCCAGTCACAAAAATGTTGATAAAATCAGTAAAAAAAGGCTTCAATTCAATCAAGGTACTTGTAGAGAACGCCTAGACAAACAGACTTTCCAATAAAGATTGAGAATAAAGAACCGAGTGATATGTAAATAAAAGGACGTTTGTTGGTGGTGGGAACACCACAGGAGGGAGTGACAAGAACCGTACTGGATGCATGCACATGGGGAATGGTAGCAGGAGTATAGGGGTTGGGATTGCATGCAAGCGGCAGCGGGTGCCTGACTGTGCAGTTGGGATTGCATGAGTACGGGAGGCGGACGCGTGAGTGTGGAGGATGTAGTACACGGGCGTGTGTTGGGGGTATTGAATCAGTGGTGGGGTATGCGAACCCAGGACAAACTTCAAATGTCGGTAGGTCAGTCAAATTCGATACATAGTAGAGTACTGACATCTTGTAAGACACGTGCACACATTTCTACATGCATACAGATAGACATACAGATAGACATATAGACATAAAATTCATATAATACATACACAGTTGGATCATGACACATACTGACAGACAGACAGATAGTTCGACACATGCATACACACGCGCGTGCACACAGACAAACGGGCAGGCTGGCCGATGCACACAGATACACACAGATACACACGGATACACACGGATACACACACACACACACACACACACACACACACACACACACACACACACACACATGAATACAGACAGACAGACACACAGATACAGACAGACACGCCTGTGAATGTGACTGTCAAATAACCTGGGGGGGGGGGGCTGCCAGCAGGCATGCAAGGCACTGAGGAATAGGACGAAAGGGTGTCTGCGGACGCTTGTTGTGGTGCGTCGCAATCCTCAGTATCGGCTCCACATGCAGGCACAGTCGGCCATGCATGCAATTAGAAGGAGCGAGTTTGCTGGAGTGAGAGTCCGCTTACAGCACCGCCAACTTGTGTGGTAGCAGTGGATCCCAGACCAGTCAGACCTGTTCAGTGCATTGGAAACCAGAGGGAAGACAAAGACAGAACGATGCTTCAGACAACTTTCACTTTGCCAAACGTATGCATGTGCACGTGCAAATGCACACATGCACGCACACGCACACACACACACACACACACACACACACACACACACACACACACACACACACACACACACACACACACACACGATGTAATCGGAACTGGTCCAGGGAGCCACAGCCAGCTGTGTACTTGCAGTTTAAAAGCCCTATCTAGCCGCCAAGCCTTATTGTAGCCTTATTGTAGAATTTGGAAGGTGGGTGGCGTGAGAATAGCACAGGCAATGAGAGGTATGCATCGAAGATGGCCGTCACCTTTTTGCAGGGCATGTTACCCCATACTTGGCAGGTACAACCCGTTATAGTACATTTATGAGTACTGAAGTATGACCTCACAAAGTTTATGACCCTTTAGGCAGAGTTGGTATCAATATACAAGGTGTGTGCGGTTGTAGTGGACTTGCTCCGCAAAACCAAATGGTGGGAGATTGATGCATACGTCCAATTATTCCTACAAAGCTATGAATAAAACAGTTGATGCCGACATAACACCATGATAAACAAATGAAATAATAATGTATGCAAAGAAGAATTTGGTTAGAGCATCGCTGGCTACAAGCAAGGGTCCCTGGTTTCAGTCCTGGTGGTGACAGTCGATTTTTTTCTTCAGACTTTTCCCCGTTTGCGTCTTTCCCTCAAACCAGTGAAAGAAGAATTCATAAGCGTGTTTTCCTCCTTGGTCACCAGTTATCAATAAGTTCTACTCACCGGTTGTGGGGAAACTTGCGTAAGGGCTGGGACCAGTGCTTCTCTGTCCTGTGGTCATCTGCATGGGAGTGGACTCGACGTCCAGTGTGGGCGAGAGTGGCATGGTCATGTTGGGCAGGTACGAGTGCCCAGTACCGACCTTTGCCGACGTGGACCGCTGGCCGAGGTGGTCCACGGACGCGCCGCCGACCTGGCCAGCAGCCGTTGTCATGGGCGACACGCTCGCCGCCGATGATGACCAGCTGCCTCTGGTCAAGTGGCCATGGGCCGCGGCGGTGTTGCCGATGATGCCGGTGGCTTTGGACGCGCCACCGGAGATGGTGTCGGCCGAGACAGAGGTTGTCGCGGCAAAGCCACCGCCCGAGGCCATGGTGTTGCCGGCCTGCGATGTGGTGTACATGTTGCCGGGGGGCAGGTAGGACAGCGAGAGCGGCGGCAGGTGGGACGCACCGCCCGCAAACGGCATGTTGCCAGGCTGGAAGAGCTGCGAGGAGATTCCACCGCCGCTGCCGACAACGCTACCCGTGGCACCACCACCACCACCACCGGTGCCAGTCCCGGCGCCGTAGGAACCTCCCAGCTTGTCCGTGCCGCCCATCATGGTGTGCGAGGGCACCATGCCAGAGCCGGTGCCGCCACGCTGCGGTGTCATCGGCAGGTAGTAGCTGCTCGCCTGCGTGGGCGAGTCGACCGTCTTCAGCTGCGGCTGGTGCAGCATGGTGGAGCGGGTGGCGACGCTTGTCCGCGACGCCGTCCTGCCGCTGTCCGGGGGTGAGAGCAGGTCAAAGGACATCGGGAACTGGTTGCCGGCACCCACGCTGGTGCCACAGCTGCCAGTGCCGCTGTCCGTGCTGGCAGAGTCGCTCTGCTGGTTCATCGCGGGGAAGCTGCCGCCACCGCCCGAGGCTGCGGTGCCGTACAGCGGCGAATACGAGCAGTTGATTGGCTGGCTGCCCGACATGGCCGGGGGTGAGGACAGGGAGGCTGCCGACTGATAGCTAGGCGAGGAGTCGGAGAACTGGGCACCGAATATAGGAAAAGCAAAGCAGCAGAAGAGGACAGATACAACAGGGCTGGTCACGAAAAAGCATTCCCCTGCATGGAAGAGTATGCACAGTTCACACTATGATTGCATCGCACTCAGTGATGCAGGTCGGCATGCACAGAACAGACAAGAAGCACTCATAACACATAGAGGTCAACAGGACGGCCACAACACACCCCTGGACGAAAACAGAAACAAATTCAGTGTTCACTTGAGACACAGCCTAGACAGAGTTTTCGGCATCCGTACGAATGCCACCACCTTGCAAAGATCTAAAGCGCAAAACAAACAAACCCTGACAAACACATAAAAAAATTCGAACCACTAGCGAATTATGTACCTGGTAGTTGGTCGACGGCCCTTGCCAGCCAATGTTACTGGGCGTCATTGGTTGCCAAGCAGTGGCTGCCATGGCAGCAGCCGCAGCAGCGGCGGACGTTGCCGAGCCAGTGGCAGTGCTGCCAGTGCTCCCATTGCCGCCACCCCCAGCGCCTCCACCGCTGCTGGTGGACCAGTGTGGCGAAGATTCCGACGCCTGCTGGCCGAGGCCAGGACCGCCGCTGTTACCTCTGTTGCCGCCCGACGTCATGTGTATCCAGTTGGACGGGCCGCCGGTGGTGAGGCCGGAGTTTGGCAGCGGAGTGTCGGAGCACGTCGATCCCGAGTCCGCAGATTGCTGCAGGAGGGAATCCTCAACGGTGGAATCCTGTTGGGTTGGCAAAGGGAGAGGACGGACAGAGAGACAATGGTGATTCAAAGTGAGGAAATCGCAGGTGCTTGACAAGAAAAGTTGACCCGGGTTGAAATTTCGGGGCGAGAAAATTGTACTAGCGTACTTCTGTGCGTGTCTCACGCCAGGTTTGAACAGCACTGCACACGCAAATTTTGCGCGAACGGATTCACGTGACCATACAGGACTTAAGAAGTGGACTTTTGGCGGCATATCAGTATTTGACCCGGGTGAACTTTCTTCATGTAAACGCTGACCTATTTTTATTTTTGTCTATCGTACAGACTTTCAACCCGGGTTGAATTTCTCATGTAAACACAGCCATAGAGAGTGAGGGAGTGAGAGAGAGAGAGAGAGAGAGAGAGAGAGAGAGAGAGATAGAGAGAGATCACTAAGCTCTGTACACACACACACACACACACACACACACACACACACACACACACACACACACACACATCTTTTTCCGCCTGGGTTGCGCTTGCAAGACAAGTCTGGGGCACTGGCTAGCACAGTCTCACCAACGTAATACTAGTCTAAAGCTGATACAGGCCAAGTGACCGATCCCCGAAGAAAAGAAAGACAGCAGACATTTCTGATGTGTTGGGTTAAAACTACTCACAGCGGATTTGGGCCGGCAAGCAGAGAGACGCATGTTGAGGTCTCTGCGGATGAAGTCCTTGGAGCTCCAGCGCATGCCGCTGTTACTACCCGTCCGATCTCGCTCGGGCATCTGCAAACACTGCTGTATGAGAGACTGACCGGTGGTCGATGTCAACACGCGGCGAAGACGGTCTGTGCCGTACGAGAACACAGAGTCATGCCAAGCAACAAGAACCAGCACTTCTGCTCCAGTCAGCGCGCTGAGTTCGAATCCCTGTACGCGCAGCAACCACACACAACATAACACCACATAAGCATACCGTATTTCCGCGCATATAAGGCCATGGCGTTATAGGTGAAACATTGCTGTTTTGGACCCAATTTTTACAGAAAATAGCCTCAGATTTAACGCCATGGCGCTAAAAGTGAGAGTCGCGTACATGCAAAAAAATTGGCAGAGTATGAACTTCGAGTACTCGTACGGTGCCGTTGCACGTTCATGTCGAGCATCCATGTACTTTCAATTTTCCCTGAAATTTTCAAATTGTGAACCTATTGTGTAAAGGTGGCATGTGACAGTGGGGATGGGTACATGCAGAGAGAATCACCGCTACTGTAGGTTCACTGAAAGAACTGAACTCACTTTTAATGCCAGATGCAATTTCCTCCACATTGACTTTTGTTCACTTATAACGCCATGGCTTTATAAGTGAGGGTGGCCTTATATTCGGATTTAACGCCATGGCTTTATACGCGCGAAAATACGGTATGTACACCGACGAGCACCGTTATACCCGTCCATACACATACACACACATAAACACACATAAACACACACATACGAACACACAGAGAAGTTGAAGGGAAAGTATAAAAATAGTATCTCTCCGGTATAGGGGCGCCTTGGGGCCAAAAAAGAGTGTCCGTATCATTGAATGGCATCCGTAACTCAACAACAACGACGACGACGACACATCAATCTCGCTAGTTTGGCTCAGTGACAGGTCAACATGTCTTCACTATATTTAGTTTCAGTGTTTGCAGACTTCAGCAAGTCCAGGTGATTGCGGCATCATTCATATAAACCAAGCAGAGAACTAAAAAAGGACAAACACAGTTCAGCAGCATCGCAGTGCAAGCGTACTGCGGGATAACCGAACACCGGTTATCATTGGATGCGTCATGTATGCTGTAAATCTGTAACCAGCTATTTTCTTCCGGATGGCGAGGGATCCGGATAAAAGAGGACCGGATACGCGTGGTCTGACTGGACTATCAACATTTTGGCAACGATTTCCCGGGAAAATTCAATCATAGAACGACCTAAACCTGGCCTATCTCTAACTCTATAAGCTGTGCTGATTGTTCCAAACCCTTTTCAGAACTACTTGCCATTCCCAAACAAGCCCTTCTATGTAATTTGATTTTTGAACGTCCTTTGTCTTTTTGCAATTCCTTGACAAGGCTGTTTGCTTATATTTTTGAAATGCAATAATGAAGTGGTTTGGGGTCTGCCATTGCATGTCCCGGTACGCGGTATACAACAGTGTGCACAATCTCAGTAGGTGAATCGTACGGCACTTCCAACTCCGTACACTGAGAGTGTGTTGGAGTTCACCGTGATCGATATGATTCAACTGTAATACCGGCGCCATCAACGTGGCCACCACCATCGTCACTGCCACCTCTACCACCACTGCCGCGGCCGCTACGACCACCGCCACCACCACCACCACCACCACCAACAGCAGCAGCAGCAGCAGCAGCAGCAGCAGCAACAACAAAAACTAAAACAACAACAAACAACTCTTGAGTGTACGTGTACTAAAAAGCAAAAGAATCACACTTCACCTTTTTCATCAGACCAGTCTTCCTCTTGTGGAAGGTGGCATTGCGCTTCTGCTTCTGATCTATCAGCTTTATGCCAATCTTGACTCTGCCTCGGGTCTTCTTCTGCTTATTCTTCGAAAGGCCAGATTCTGTCGACTCGCAGTCGCTGGCACACGCAGGATCGCTGGCGGAATACGACGGTGAAGGACTGCAGGTGCTGCATTCCGATCCTGACTCGCAGTCGCCGCCTTCGTGCTGCGGTGCGACCATTGCAGATTTGGCGGCGGCGGAGGCTTTGGATTTGGAACTGCGACTCCCGTTACTGCTTCGTAGATTCAGCCTACCAGACATTGCCAGTAGATATCTCTTCTTCTAATCCGTGGATCTCTACCGCTATGATCCCACCTATTCTTGCTTCTCGTACACGTTCCTTTTGGGTCCAGAAGCCTGGTAACAGAGCTTTAGTTTTCATAAGCTTTCATGGCCACCATCGGAATTAATGCTCTGGTCTGACCGTTGTTGTGGAGAGACGAGTACAATAGTGTTGTGTCAGCAAGGCCAAGCATTTCCTACCCCGATGTTCTCTGCCTTGGCTGCAAGACACAATGTTGTGCGTCCAAAAGCGGAGGTGCGTAGCTAAATAAGGCCATTTACGGCGCAGGAGGAACGACCACGAGGCTGGTCCGCTCCCCAGACCCTTTCTGCAGACATGTGAAGCTCAATGCGACTGCCTGTGCGGAAACGCTGAAGCCAATCAAGATGTTCGCCTGGCCAAAAGAAGCGGATGGGCTCGAGGTCAAAGGTCGCAGGGACTTTACCAACTCCCAAGGGATTTTATGGGCCCTCGACGCGAAGGATGTGTCACTTCACAGCCGTGAGGGGCTGCATCTGGAGCCCTTGTACTTGGTGGAGTTAATTATTTCATAATGGTTTGTATTACTTTCTATGGTGTTTGCAGACTTGGCGAAGAAAACCGGTTTGCTCTGATGCTGTGCTAGCGCTGTGTCAGCATAATTCTTGTCTACTCGACTCTTCGCTTCCAGAGCTGGCCGAGAAACCCTCACCGCGCCGGTGCACCTCCGACTCGTGGCATGCGCCGATGAGAGCGGCGAGGAATGTTCTCCACGCGCGACCTCGACGCCCGATCTGTGCATGGAAAATAATGATGATCTCAGCCAATTCAGGTGTAGATCTACCGTATTTCCCTGATTGTAAGTCGCACCTTTTTACACTAATGACTTCAGGGGCAAAGAAGGGGGTACGACTTACAATCGAGTGTGATTTAATGTGAATGCATTGGGAGTCCCCGGACGATTTGGTTCGGACGTGAGAATGGGCTGCGACTTATAATCCAAGAAATACGGTATTTGATCAATTGATCGCGTCGAAATTATGGTAGATGATAACCGGTACCGCGGTACTGGTAAAACGGTTTGTGGGCCTATTCTCTTTTAAATGAATTATTTGTGCTGCAGGACAGTACCTCCCCAACTGTGAAGCAGGTTACCCACCGACAACTGAAAAATGATCCAGACCAGCTTGCAGTCTCTCGAGCGATAAAACAGCAGCGAACCTTTCGAAAGGTCTCATTCGGACGAGTCCTAGACGCAGACTAGTAGTTACTATGCCTTGCTTTCTTCTTTCCATGATGTTGGCATTGGGTGACCGAGGCGGTAACTTAGAGCCCAGCCACACACAGCTGGTATTTGCCAGCGCCCCGCGTCCAACCTACCAGACGATAAAATATTGTGAACAGAGAGCAACAAATCAGACAACTTTCTCAACCGCTGCTCGCAAATGTGAAGCGGTCGCCCCGCAGTAGATAATCTTCGAAGAGTTGCCTGGCTTTGCACAACTTGTTTATCACTCTGTATATAAATAAGATACAGAAGAAAGTTAGGACAGAGCCTCCCAAACTGCATCATGGACTCTCTGTCATCAGAGCAATGCCATGCAGTTGCACTGACTCTCTGTCATCAGAGCAATGCCATGCAGTTGCACTGACCAGGGACACCGGCTTTGGTACTTATAAGTATTTACCAGACTGAGACCCAGAACATTGCGCTTGCAAGACAACTTGAGTAGGGTTATGCAGTAGCCATCCAAGATAACCCTCCCCACTAGCTACTGTAAATCAACAAATTATTATTTTGGCCTGTGAGAAACTTTGGCCGATTAGGGTTTTCAAAAAAGAAATCAGTCAGTAGTTGGATGCATCCGTGCATCATTTTGCCTCCATCACTACTATGACAACTTTGGCCGGCAATTTACTTTGGCCGGTTGGTACCCAGTGGCGAAATCAGCGAAATTAATCGCCAGCGAAAATTAGTTGATTTACAGTTTCTGACTCTTCTTACTGGTTGTCATCGCTTCCATAATATTGGGCAGAACTGCCCGTTTGCCTTGCGATGTAAAATAAATAAACAACAACAACAGTACATGACTTCTCGGGGTACCTAGCCACGTGACGGGTTGTGCACTCTTGGACAGCACATGTGTTATGTCCGTGCCATGATCTTTAAAATGACGTTTTTTCAGCCACTTCTAGGCAAGCTACGGCCAAATGAATTGTTGCAAGTGGAAGTGCTATCCTTCATGCCCGGTGTCTAAAAAAATGGGAATGATCCCACTTTGGAAAGTGTCTTGAATCATGTCCTACTTTCATAGTATTCTCAGGATTCAAATAATTGGTGTGCTATTTTTTAACAAATTTGTAAAATGGCGCCACAAACTGGGATATTCGGTCATCAATGTTCTGAAGCTTATAGATATCACTTCAAGGATTGCTAGTGGATGAAAAATTAATCTGTCAACTGCATTGTATGCTGCGAAAGCCGTGTTTTTGAATTAATATTTTGTGACTACATGTACATGTAGTGGCTATGTCATACGGTAGAATTGGATAGGTAGCATAGCATTGCAGCCATGTTTTCGTTCTCTCAGAGTGTATTCCTTTACCTACTGTTCTTCGTTATTGTCTTTAGTGATGGCAAGACGGCCTGACGTCGTCCAAAGGCCCTGCGGAAGTAATTCACTGCCCTCCTCGTCCATTCTGGGGCTTATTTTACACATTTTACACAAAATGGCAAAGCACCCACCACTAGTTAACCGACGTGGCAGGAAGAATTAAATTATATAATATGCACCAAATGTTCTGGTCAATGTTGATCTACGATAAACTGGCTCTCATTCGCCACCAGTGCCCACCACCCGGTGCCCATGTTTCAATACAGTCATCCGGAGCAGAGAAACAGTCAGAAGAAAAGCAAATTTTACACATTTGTTAAAAAATGCCAAATGTTCAAAAAAGCCAAATCACCTCATACAGCCTCTTGTCAGTCTTGAGTCTTGTACGGGCAAGAACGCTATGGTTTATTTTCTGTCACTTTCCTTGGCTCTGACCGCTGGAATGCCCTCCCAGTGGAGGTCCGCTCTAGTTCTTCCTTGCATACCTTCCGTAATTCTGTTCTTCATTTTTTAGGGTACCCTGTCAAAAGGCCTTAGGCCTGTGGGGATTGCCCTATCAAAAATTTAATAATAATAATAATAACAAAAAGTAATACAGCTAGCGTGTGTTGAAGAAGAAAATGAGCGGAAACGTACTATGCTGTAAAACACGCATGAGGCATGATCAGGGCAAATGGCAGTTGAAAAGGCCAGAAAGCTCAAAGCGTATAAGCACGCAATCGTTATGGCTTATTCGCTTTGAGCTTTCTGGCTTCTGACCGCTGGAATTCTCTCCCAGCTGACATTCGCTCTTGCCTCGTTTTCACTATTCCGCAAATCTGTACGTGATCAAATAAAGACCCTGTGGCCGTGGGGATTGTCCTATTCAAAATTTAATTAATTATTACTAATAATAATTTGAAACTATACGTAGGGGTGCGTTTGGTCGAGAGGCGCACTAGGGCAATCATTCTCTTCACTTTCTTTGCCCGCTGCTACCACTAGATATGGCATGTTCTCTATTTCTTTCCTTGGCGCTGATAGGTGGAATTCTCTGCCTGTCTCGTGTCGTCAGGTTGAGCATCTATCCGTTTTTGTTTCGCTCTGTAAAGAGCACTTAGGGTTCCCTGTAACAAGATGGCAACGTCTGTAGGGCCTTCCCTATCAAAATAATAAATTCTACTACTACAGTACTACTACTACTGGTTGGTACGATCTAGAACAGGATCGAATAGCTGGTGCATTCTTCAAAATGTGTATGTGTCACCATGGCAACTGTGTACGGTACGACGAGTCCAACCCAAAAGCGAATGCACGTGATCATTTGGGACCAAAATATGAAACTCATAGCATCAAGAGTGCACACTATGGACTCTTGATAGAATGAGGTCAAATGAGTACCACAAGTACTGCACATGTTACATAAAACGGATGGATACAGGGATAACAACAATAATCTCTTGATAAGGGCCGGGTTCCACTGCGGCTCCGCTGCCCCGCTGCTCGTCTTTCGCGGCTTGAAACGTCATCATTACCATAGTGACCGCGGCTCGAGCTGGAGCATGCAGTGAGTCCGCGGCTCACCGCAAGCTTTTGCTACGATTCTTGACCAAAAACTGTTGGGAGCAAGCGAGTACGTCATTGTAGATCTAGTATATTCTGTATACATGTATGTTGCATGTAACCTGGTAACTGTAGATACCAACACGAGTATAATAGCTTAAAATACTCTTGATACCAATACTGGCTATACATGTTGTTTTTTTCTTTTTTTCCTACAAAAATCCACATATCTCCAGACACTGGGGTGAATGATGGAGTGTGGTGGTGGGGCCCATTAATCTCCGCCGACATGTACATGTACATGTACATGTAATAACTGTTAGTCTGCTGAAGACCGAAGTCTGAAGAAAATGCTGAACGGTCTCTGGTGAGATGGCAGCTAGAGCAGGTGCTTACTGAGTAGAGCAGCGCTGGCTACAAGCGAAGGTCTCTGGCTCGAGTCCTGGAGTCCGGTGGTGACAGTCGTTTTTTCTTCAGACTTTTTCCGTTTGCATCTTTCCCTCAAACCAACGATTATTATTAGGTTGGGCCAAACTCCCCCCAAAGGCTAGTCGCCTATAAAGAGGTTCACCACATGCACATTGAAGGTGTGAGTTACTGCGGTAATTTACGGGCCCCTGGTGTATTTTAACAGTGAAAAGCGTTGGAGCATGCATTGGCGAGCACGTAGGGGAGGGGTTCATGGTGCATGTTCAACGTCGATCGACGCCAGGCATAATTTGGTAACGAAGGAAACTGAATATGTCACAGACAGATTAGAACATGAAATCCACTTCTTCTCATTTTAGACTTCGTTCAAGAACTTGTGTGAGAATCTGATGATGACGATACCCTACACAGACATCTTTGGTTGGTTGATTGGTTTTTATTTTTTAATCAGGGTGTACCGTAGTACTGCTCCCTGATTTCAAAAGTTTCAATGTACAATACCGGTATGTCATGTTTATCAGTTACTATACTGCCAGTCTGTTCCGTCTACCTACCCGTGACGCCATGCCCGGTGTAGTAAAGCCTGGCTTGACCAGGCGATGGTCTTGGAGGCCGGCCTGTAGAATACCGCGCATGCCCGAGATCAATACTTTCGGCAACGCTCTGTCTTTCTAGAAGACCTTTGAAACTTCACAGTGTAACCTTAGCTTGCCATAGTTGCAGAAAGATTCACCGTACACTTTTCGCCACCGGTCATTGGCTACATCGTTACAAATGAAATTCTTCCAAGTGTTCATCCATGAGGGCCTAGTAGGGCTTCATCATGCATAGCATGCTAGCAGCAAGAGTAGATAAACGTGTTTATCTAATAGCAGGGACGAGGGGAAGGATGCGAGTACCTGGGTAGTAGTGGATACATGGACTAATAAGTAATAATAGGTGGTAATAACATACATGTACTAGTAGCATAGGGTTCAATACAGCACCACTCACCAAGCGGTAACAGCTCACACATGCAGGTAGATCATCTACAGGTAGCGATAATAATAATTATCATCGATAGCAGCAGTGTAGTGTAGTGTGTAGTGTAACGTTATGCAGCTCTATACACTAGCATGTCACGAAGTGCATGCAGTGGCAAACACATCACTAGTCACACACTCCACTAGCTAGGTTATAGTTAAGTTATAGTTACACACGGAAAGTTGTTGGGTGTGCTCCTCCGGCGAAAGAGTGCTCAATGCACCGGGGTGCAGAGCTTCATACAAAAAGAATAGAATGGGATACGGAGCTTGGATTGGCTGTGACTCAGAGTTTCACGCCTGTGGCGATCATCAGACAGCAATGATTACAAAACTCAATGAATGTTCTTGATATAGTGTGGTAAGGTGCTAGTGGAATCAGAGAATTTAAGCGCAAAAAAGATCAAGCGGTGATTCTATGCATGTACTTGCAAGATCAGCGCCAGACATCAGGTGTGATCCTGGTTTATGTAACTGGAGGTATGAGTGTATAGTTATTGTTTGAGCACTACTGCCGGTTAACGCGCACAGCCTCTAGGATAGACAATGTAGTTATATCTACTAGTATGTATATGTGAGTGTTTTCGAAGGTGGTGATGGTTGAAAGGAAACACTTGAAAATGGACGCGGTGGAGAGGAGGGGAGGGAGGACCGGGTGTGAATGCGCCGCTGCTTTATGTGTCACTGCCAGTTTTCGGATTAGCCATTATTCTCAAGTCAGTTTCATAACTCTGGCGAATCATCCATTCAAATATTTTGCTCATTGGAACATTTCTTTATAACGGTAGCTGCTACCCTTTCTTGCCGTTTCAAAACAAGTGTTACAACTTTCGATTTCTTGCTCCGGACCTCTTAGACTATCCTTGCGCGATGAAAGGAAAAGCTCCTTGCGGCCGAGAATCCATGGCTGGTGGAAAGGGTGAAAGCCCGGCAGACGATGCGGATGGTGTCTGCCATTCTATAGGTGTTGGTAGTTGACACTAACTAGTCTTGTTGTTACTCATCGGGCTATACCCATGGCCATGGCCAGGGAGACTGAGTCACTACAGTAGACTCGGACGCCCAAGAACGTGGCGCCCAAGAACGTCCAGGCTGGAAATCTAAGCCGGAACGCCCCAGCCTGGATTTAAGAACGAACTCCAGGATTTTTTTAAAGAACGAGCGGATTGCACCTTCATGATCTTGTCCGAGTACACCTGGCTGCCATCGTGCACGCTTCTCGATGGTGGAGCTCATGAGCTTACCAAGTAAAGCCCTATAACAAGACTATTGGTACTCATTCACGGTCAGCCAACCGCGAGCGGCTGACGCGTGTCTGCTCGTTGCAGCACCCACGACCAAGTCCTGTCACAAGTCCACAATCCAGCAGAGCGGTGGGAAGAGAATCCGGCAGTGGTTGGTTGGTTGGATTTATTTAAAGTCGTACAACAAACAGGCATATCTGAAGACGACTTCTGGCAGTGAAACATTTAAAAAAGAAAAAGAGAAAAGAAAAAAAAGAAAAGAGAAGATCAAGAATGTATAGACTGAGCATACTGCTAGCCGCAGACTGAGCATACAGCTAGCCTCGGCATGTATCAGAAAAAAGTGCAACGACTAAAAGAAGGAACGAATACGGTCCTCACTCATTTAATACCACATTCTACCCGTTTCGTGCTCAGTATCACGGCAGTTGTTTTCCAATCCTCCACCTCCACCATGGCAAATTGTGTTTTGTTCGCCCGTAAAAGAGGCTTTGGAAGAATGGTTGTGACAAGCCAGAAAAGATGACACCATAATAGCGGAAGACAGCTGGACCGCACAACAGTACCAAGACTATCTACCAGTATCAACCGCATATCATCAGGTGGCACTGTCCTGGTGTTTAATGCGGTGCTGGAAAGTAGTCCGAAGTCTCAGTCTTTGGAACTCCAATAGCGGCATAAAAGCAAGAAGTCACGGTGTGGCATTGCAATGACTCCAGACCAGGTTTAATCCTCTACGGTACAAGATGTATTCCAAGAGCTGCAGAATGATGATATGCAGCACACAGAATGCATCCCGCCGCGCTCATTTGGAGGGACAGGATGGTGAACACCGATATATTATAATCCCTTCTTAGTCGATGGATACAAGTTAACGTCTTGCTTGTGTGCTCTTGGACTGTTTCCTTCCTATGGCCTAATGGTGATTGCGCTGGTTTGCGGTGGTGTGCTAACCAGCCTAAGGTTTGCAACGGTCTGCTGACCAACCTATCGTAATCATAACTATAATTCTCTGTTGTAAGCACAGGTCTCCATTACTAGCACACTGAGAGCACCTTTCGAAACATTACAACTTTAGGGGCCGTCCGTAAATATCGATGTTTTTTTAGAGACGATATTGGTGCGTCTGGGGGGGAGGGGGTTTGAGCCATGTGCGTCTTTTCGAGCATCAGAAAAATATCGATGTAAATATCTGAAGTTTCGCCGATCCCTGCACGCGGACGTCTACATGGCTATACAAGAAATGTGAAACCAGCTTCCGTTCGCGGAGCTAAAACTCGCGACACAAGAACAAAATCAAAAATTGGAAGCTGTACGCCCATGGCGAATTTCAAGAGCAAAAGAATGAGTTATTGATTGTGGAAATCGGCCGAACGATGCCTGCAGGAGACCTTTTTCAAGACGTAGAGGCAGTGCGAACAAACACGGACGAACTCCACAAGAGTTTCCAGTCTTCACTGTCTGAACAAGGATTTGAAAAAATTCTTGGGTTCATATTATTGACAAAAAAAGGAAAAAAATGAGCATCCAAAAATATTGATTCCATGATCTAGATGTACATATGTACATGTGCGTCTTCTGGGGGGAGGGGGGGGGGGGTCAAGGGAGAGAAGCACCAATATCGTCTCTAAAAAAACATCGATATTTACGGACGGCCCCTTTATAAGCACAGTCTCACGATTTTACGGTATTCATGCTCGTTAAAGCCAAAGTCGGAGTTTGTGGCCTTCAGCACCACAACTAGCATACATCAAGCGACATAATAATAGTGCCAACGTCAACCGTCATCCCTTCCGGCCAGGGTTCACACATTGTGCCGATGGAAATCATTTCAGTCGAAGTTTGGACCTCACGGAGCATTTCAAACTACATGCAATACAGTGCACTAGGGAATTGCAAGCGTCGAGTTTCGGAGCCTCGGAGAAGAAAAGAGGAGTAGACAGGTGGTGTACAAGTAGTTTCCTTATGTGCCAATAGCTTGATAATAATACTATTATAGAAGTACCGGTATTATGCATCTGTGTAGCGAGCAGGTTAAGAGACTCAAGAACCACCTTTCTGCTGTGGGTTGCAGGACTTGACCCTTGTACCATGAATCCATGATTAATTTTGTTTACCTCTCCGGGAAGACAGGGATTCCCGTGTCGAGACATGACAATGAGATTGTCATCGGAACGACTAAAGTCGCGTCTGCAGACACAGATGAATATTCTCGGTTGCGGTGGGCTTGATGATTTCACTCGTGCCAGTAAGACAAACACCTTGGGCCTTGGATGCCCATCGCTAGTGCGATGATAGCGTGCGAGCTGAGCAATATGGGGAGTGACGCTTCAAGTCACTCGCCAGGTGAAATGTTAGTCCACACATGCACTGAAAACTCTTCGCTGGCTCTGGCGGAGGAGGACGACGAGACAACTTCCTCCACTCTCCCCTGTCTTGTGCCACATCACACCAGTCACTTTCCGGGATCCCCGCCACGGTCAGGTCAGATCTAGCGACATCCCGCCATCTCTTCCTGGGACCATGACTGGGGCGCCGCGACGCACACACACACGCATGCAAAGTCACGATCATGGAACGAACAGCAACAACACTGTGAAGAACACAACGTCTGAATGTACGTATCCATCAGCATTGGGTGGAGATAGGGGAAAGAAAAGAAAACCAGCACAAACGGACCAACAGGGTCTTGTAAAGAGGAAGATGTAAACGTAATACTGCGCCTGCACAGGTTTCAATGTAACAAACTGCGAAAGATAAGATGACGGAAGAAAAAGGAATTGAAAGTGATCAAGAGATCACCTTTTTTTCCCAATGTGATACTTTTAACTGATGATATCCTTGAAGCAGACCAGCTGCTCTCCATGACAACATTGCCTTGTTACATCCGACAGACAGACAGACCAGAGCAAATTAGAGAGAATGAAACAACAAGGCCCGGGGAGCAGAGAGCAGTTTGGGGGTGGAAGGCACACGAGAGAATATCGAACAAAAATAAGCCACGGCTACATCATAGTAGCAGATAAAACACGGTATGTTCGCCGCCTTTGTACAGGAGATGGAAGCTCAGATGAATGTATGCATGGATCATGGATAAAACACAACAGAACTCAACAGTTTTGTTAGCGGATAAAGAGTGCTGCATAGGACGGCGAGGATCACCTTCGATGGTGAGTATTGCGCACGCGAGCACCGGTGACTCGAGCCGTCAAACGAAGTACGCCTCCAGCGCAGCCATCTTGTCCTTGGGCTTGTTGGAGCGGCGCTTGTGTCCGCCACCGCCGCGGCGTTTTCCGCCGCCGCCTCTCCTGTGCATGGGGTGCTTGGCGACGGCGTGCTCCCAGCGGACGAGCGAGGAGAGCAGCGCGTCGCAGAACATGCAGGCCACGCGCTTGGTCTCGCCGTCGCCCAGCGGCGTCTTGTCCTTGTGGAACTGGACGGAGAGGAGCTTGGCGTCGCACACCTCGCACAGCGCGTCCTCGCACACGGTAACGGAGAAGGCGTCGGCGCACAGGTGCAGCAGCACGTTGCACGCCACCGTGTTGCAGAACATCTTCCACTTGGGCCCGGAGTTGGGGTCGATGACGAGCGAGCCGTCCTCGCACTCGTCGCACGCCGCCACCGCCAGCTTGGGCAGCGCGAGCGCGCACGTGGGGTGGTAGCACTGGATGCAGGACGAGGCGCGCTTCATGCCCGGGAACGGCGGATGACTGTAGCAGTAAGGGCACAGCGAGTAGGTCTTGCCACGGCCGCCGGCCGACCACAGCACCAGCTCAAAGTTGTCCAGCGGGCACTTGATCTCCTTGTTCAGCTTGATGGAGCCGTTGGGCGGCAGGGCGTGCGTCTCGTCGCACTGTGCGCAGTACAAGCGCTGCGGCTTGGCAGAGATGTACTTCATGTAGCGCATGCACTTGCCGCAGCGCGACAGCGGGCGCCCGCTCTCGGCCAGTTTGGAGAACGTCACCTCGAACAGCTGATCCATGCCGGCGATCTGTGCCACAAAGTACTGGAACTTGGCGCGGAACGTGGCCAGCGTGTGCTCCAGTACGGCGTCAAAGTCGGCCTGGCCGGCGGCGATCAGGTTGAGCTGCTTCTCGATGGCGCCTCTCATGTTGGCCTGCACCAGGTCGCGGTCGATCTTCTGGTAGCCATGCACCAGTACGATGCCGAGCGGCGTAGGCTGCAGGCGTCGGCCGGCCGTCACGGTCACGTAGTTACGCTGGCAGATGTTGTTGATGTGCACGGGGATGCTGGCGTCGGTGCCGATACCGTGCTGCTCCATGAGCGAGATGAGCTCCGACTCGGTGAGGTAATCCGGCGGGCTCGTCTGTCCGTCTGCCACGCGCACATCCTTGACGGGGAGCTGCGCACCGCTGGCCAGATCCGGCACGGTCTCGTCGTCGCGGATAGCGTGGCTGGGCAGCAGTGCCGTGAAGCCCGGCTTGATCACCTTCTTGCCCGTCATGCTAAACAGCTCGCCGGCGATGCGCAGCTCGAGCGTGGTGGCGGCATAGCGACAGTCCGCGCTGACCGACGCCAGGAAGTGGGCGACCACGTACTGGTAGAGTCTCCATGCGTCGCCGCCCAGTTCCTCCTCGCCGGCCGCACGCAGTGGCGTGATGGGCGGATGGTCGCCCACGTCGTGTCCACCGCGCGCGTGACCTCCGCCGCTCGACAGGAGATCGCGCACCGCTTCGCCCATGCCGCGTACCTGCACGACAAACAGCAACAACGGGCAAGCATACCGTAAAGTCGTGTACAAACTTTGCAGGCTTCTATATGAGACCGGCTTCTATACAAGACAGGTATTTTCTATGCATGTCAACACTAAAATCAGGCTTATGTGCCGACAGCGCACCTCGAAAAATCAGGCTTGTGTTCAAAACAGGCTTTTATACAAGACACTACGGTACATATTCGGTAGCAACACACAGCACATGACAGGTTTCAGTGTCGTGACTTTCGTAAGTATCGACGACCACAGCATTGCCACTTTGCCAGCGGCTTCTCTGCTACGAAAGGTGTGTGTGAAGGGGGGGGGGGGGGGGGGGGGGCGGAAGGTGGCCGCATATCACAATTGCTTGTAATTAAAAAAAAACACTCATCAACTCATCCCATTGTTTCGAACCTGAAGAACATCACCCTATCTCAAAAAGACTTGTTGCGCAATGCGTGAGCACTTGATTTTCTATATTTTTGCACTTTTTGTCGCGTGATGCCATGACAACCTTGGTTCAAATCGAGCAGTGGACCGACGGGAGTGTTCACAAAATATTAGGGGTGAAACAATTATACCGAATATTCGAGTACTCGCTCGTTTTTTTTTCTCAAAAATAATCGTACTCGGAATAAATCAGAGTACATGTACGCATTTACCACAGAAATCTGAAGTTTCAGAGCAGTAGTCGGCAGATATTGATGTGTAGACTGTGTGGTGAACATTCGTACACGAATAGAGAGAGCCCAAATGACCCAACCAATATACCCGAGAAAAATGACTGCCGCTCGGTTCAATCAGGGTTGTATCATGTGGTTTTAAGGCTCTTGGTGTGCAATTGTTAGGAGGTGAAGAATACTCGAATATTCGATCAGAGAAAATCAGAGTACTCGAACTCGGGATCTCAGTGCTAACTTTCACCCCTACAAAATATACGAGTTGGACGCGAGAAAGGAAAGTGGTAAGGCGGGTAAAAGTAAGGTTTCTTAGATTTGCGCGGCTGCTTTGTGACAGATACGCTTGGCTCCAAAGCTGGTTTCCGAGCTTATAAGACTTCGGCTCTAGCTCATTGTTTTCCTTGCCGCAGTAGCTTTCCAGGGAAATAAAGACCATGAAATTTGGAGCATGGACGCCGAAGTTACGGACTCTTAGAGGTCTCATGTTTTCAGTAAAATGACCTGTTCTTATTGGTCCTTAGTGGGCCAATTAAAGGATTAATCCAGCACCCTCCGCGATCCAGCAGAAATGTGCCTAACGGATGCCGCCGGTCTAGAACGGTCTGACTGTAGCCGAACTCTGTGCTAGGAAATGGAGGTAAGTTGTAATGGAGCTGCACTCAAAAAGAAGTGCTGAAACGAGCGTATCTATAACAAACGAGCAAGCCATCGAGCGAGCTAACAAGTTTCATTGTTGTGGCAAATACGATTTTTAACCCTTTATTACCGGATTACTTGCACAGCATGCACCAGAATTACGAATTTCAGCACAATTTCCAACTTCACCAGGTCATAACTTTGGTCTCCTTCACTTGATTTTCACAATCTAGGGCTCGTTGGAAAGCTCTTGGCGAGAGCAACGCCAGGGTACCAAGCTCCATTATCCAGGCGCCACAAATCAGGCGCAGTAACACAGCAAAGTCGTCTCCAAGCCTGATATGCAAGCAAATTCGTCCCATCAACGCCATTCCACTCTCCTTCATCGCAGAACGCTCAAATTTGTTTGAGACGATTCAAACTTCAGCCAACTACGTCATTATCATGTGCTTAGTCGCTCAAAGAGCACACGAAAAGGGATTTTCCCCAAAAATGGCGAAGTGATCGATCAAAAATTTGAATTTGCCGAGATGAGAATACGGCGCGCGATATCTCTGGCATCCGACATCGTAACTCTTCGGCGATTGTTGCATTGGATAGCTTGGAGTTTCCGCTACCAAATAGACCTTTCGATTGTTGAATTCGCACAAGAAATGATGGAGTTACAATGATATTGCTGGCTTACAGACTTTCGATCATATATGATCGAAAGTCTGCAGGCCGGTAATAAAGGGTTAAATATTTTTTTCCAAGTTCGATTTTTTTCAGCTGGTTCAAATTATCACCGCCGGCATTTGGGGTTGCTGCTGCTTCACTTCGGACTGCTATTTGGTGTTGAGATGTCTTTTCAGCGCCGTCTTTGCCTTTGAAAGAATAGACCGTTTTTTTTCAAAGATTGCAAGTAGCCCTCTTCTTCGCTGCATCGCAGGAGAAAACTTCCAAACAACTGAACGCAACTTTCACTCGAATGGAGAGTTTACAGAAGCATGTCCTGTGACAGGTCAGCAGATGCGGAACAAGACATGAATGGAGTCCACCAAAGCTGCAACGACAACTGAAACAACTCAGTGTTGACATGTCGTGCAGGTATACAGTCACTGTAACTGCGAGTGATTTTCACTTTGCGCGGGACTGGACTCTCGATCGACCAGGGAGTCGTAAAATATTCTACGACTCCCCGGTCGACATGCACTGCCATGTGTACGGAGTACGGTATACGTTAGTGCAAACGAGCTGGCCGCACAAACGAGCCGAGTTTCTGGCGAGCGAGCTAACGAGTACCCAGTGAGATCGTTTCAACACTACTCAAAAGTCAAAGGACATCAATCTAGCAATAGTACCCACCCGCTCCAGTGGTCGAATAGCTGCCTTCAAGTCAAATGTGCTCGAGTACGATGTGGTCTCTGTTCGCGGGTAGCTGATGTAGCCCTGCGTGTAGAGACGCTCAGCCACCATCATTGTCGTGGATGGACCAATGCCCAAACCTGTACGTCATACACACACGAATAGATACAGCACACACACGCATGCACATACACGCACACACACGCACACATTGCTGGTTTGGTGACGATGTCCTAAGACTCGTGAGCACCCTGTGAAGAAAGTGACGATTGTGTGGAGCTTCCTTTCCGAGGCGTGCAACGACACCAAAAACCCTGGTGACAACATCGTCTTACATCACGCCATGTATTGGAGCCAGGACAAACTCTATCATAAATTCTCTAGTGAAGAAACACTACAAACTCTACCATACATTCTCTAATGAAGAAAAATTACTGGAGAAAAAAGAAAAAAAAAGAATTGAGTAGATATGCTGTTTGGTGCCACAGGAAAGTGAGGAGAAGAATGTGAAGAAAAACAAAGTGTGCCTGATAGGTGGGTATGTGTTGAGAGTAGCAACGTTGGTGAAAGGTGTTGGGAGAAAGGCAGGGAGGGAAGTGGAAGGCCGTGTCTTGTCTTTGTGTAAATGAATGTGGTAGCGCCACCTAGAAATAGAATGAAGAGTAGCTGGAGCTATGATTGTGAACTCAAAGATGAGGACAAATATTTGCAAAGTATGAAGTATGTTGGTGCTAAAAGAGACTGCGATGTTGTACATACTGGCACAATGTTTGGTGTATGTGTGTGCTAGCTGGTTGCACTATAAATAAAAATCCAATCCAATCCAATCCAATTGTACTGTCCTCATCTTTGGCTTCGCATGTTTGGCTCCAGCTACACATCATTCTATTTCTAGGTCGCTCTAATATATTCACACACAGACACAGCTCTCTACTTCTCTCCCACCCTTCCTCCCATCACTTTTCACCAGTGCTGCTGCTCTCCACACATACACACCTATCTGGCACATTTCGTTTTCCTTCACACTCTTCTGATCATTTCCCTACAGCACCAAACAGCATATCTACTCAATTCTTTGGTTGTTTGCGTCTAGTTTTCTTCTGTTCACTATGATGATGTGCCATGCCCAAAAGTTTGGTGAGCCTGAAGTGTCATATGCAGCGGAGAGCCCAACTTTGCATGCTTGGATTGAAGAAAGGTAATGTAAAAATCCTCAGCACTCAAAACTGAAGCGCATGTCTTAATAAGTTGGAGTAAGTACAAGTCAGCCAGCCAGCCAGTCTGGTGCAAAGAGTGTGCCAAAGCATGTCAGCACTCGCATTCGGGTGCTGCAGATTGTGGCCCTCGCTGCAGACCTGATGGATGCATGTACAAACAGTGGGGTGTTGCTCATGTGCTTGACAACCTGCTGACAGTTAACTCAGGCCCCCAAAACCTGGCTACCCACTGGCAGCACCAAGCATACATGTTAAAACGGTGTAACTTCACTCTTCCGCAACGGTTGGATAGCCCCCCCCCCCCCCTTCCTGCATAGCACCGTACGGGGAAATCCCATCCTCACCCACTGCAAGAGGAATCTTATCCTCACCCACTGCAAGAGGAATCCCATCCTCGACCACTGAAAGGAGAAATCCCATCCTCAACCACTGCAGGGTAAAAACACATACGGGGGATGGTCATGCTCGCAATGCTGCCTGATTGCTGCTACGCTGCTTACCTGCACTGGCCACGCGCAGCATCTCAACGGTGTTGAGCGCCACCGGCCGTTGTTTGACCTTCTCGCGCCGCTGCACGCTGAGCACGGTGGCGGAACTCTCGGCACGCACCACGCCCGCAAACATCTGCACCGCCTCGCGGTCAAACATGCGGCCTCGCTCCCAGTCGAGCGAGAGCACGCGATGCTCGCCGCACTGCACGCGCACGTCCAGGCGCCAGAACGCCTCCGGCTTGAACGTCTGAATGCTGTCGTGCCGCTCCACGCAGAACGCCAGCGTGGGCGTCTGGCACGGCCCGAATGAGATCAGAGTGCTGTCCAGGTCTCCGTACTTGCCCTGGAAGAAGCGCGTCTGGTAGCGCGTGAACGCGCAGCCGATACGCAGGTCCAGCTCCTGGCGCGCGTCCACGGCGCGCGCCTCGTTCTCGTTCGGCCGCGCCAGGTTCTGCATGGCCTGGCGGATCTCCGTGTCTGTGATCGCCGAGAAGCGCGCACGGTACACGGACGACATGCGCCCGCCGCCGTTCATCGACCGCTTCACGGCGTTGATCACCTCGAAGCAGATGTTCTCGCCTTCCTTGTCGCAGTCGAGCCAGAGAACCAGGTAGTCGACGCCGCGCGCCTCCTGCGCCAGAAACCGTTCCATGTTCAGGTCGGGACTGGCCTCTTTCTTCTCCGTCGGCGCGGAGAACAGCTCCACCGGATCCACCTTGTCCCAGTTGTTGAACCGCGCCTCGAAGTCCAGCGAGAGCACGTGACCGCACACCGACGTCATCTTGAAGTAGACAGGCTCGCCATGAAATTTGCCAGTATACTCATGAACCTGGCAGGCCCGACAGCTGCTCTTGCGCGACGTACTCTGGCCATGGGAGAGAATTTTAGCCAAGGAAGTAGCCAGCGACGGCTTCTCCGCCACCATTAGCACAGTCTTCATGTTTATTCCACAATGAAAATTATCAACGCGATAATCAATAATAGACCATACAATTTACTATTCGATTCACTCAGCTTTCGATGAAGGCTCTGAGCTTCGCAACATGCTGCTCGACAACGTCGACAGCAAGACTAACGTTGCAAGAGATGCTCCTCAAGCAAACCAGAGGTGTTTCGTTTCATTTGGACAACAATGCCAATGAGCAATACAGAAACAAAAACAAACAGTGCACTACTAGTGGGAGACTGAATTCATTTCAAAAAATTACTTTCACAATAATTTTTTCAAGTCTTTCCCTCTTCATCCTTCTCTTTTCCATGGAAACCCGGGAAGCTTCAAAGATGCTTGTTTTTTTCAAAAAAAAAATAGTGTCGTGTTTTGCAAACTCGAAGACAAAGTTAGAAAGCACAAACATTGTCGTTCCAGGTGTGATGCTCCAAGGCCGGGGAGCGTTTGGACTGCTTCTCAGACATTATAGGTCAGGTAGCATTTGGTGATGTCGGAACAAACTGCTGAGGATGATTCTCCACATGGGGATGCGGTGGTGGCTGATCAGAGTGCAATATCGCACACCGACGCCATGGAGACATTTCGCCTTGGTGTTTCGCGGCTGATCGCGTCGGACCCGGCCCTGTCCTATCTACCCGGAGACGTGGTGCTGGAAGAAGCTCGCCTGCAGCTAGCCCTGCACCAGGGCAAGGCGGTGACGGTGTTTCTGCGCAAACTGGACGACAGCACTGTGCCAATTCCGGTGATGCAAGGCTCCAGGGTGATCGACCTGAAGCGCTCCATTCGCCTACACCTGGGGTCGCAGCTGCGACGCGCCAACAGAACTATGCCGGTAAGCTGGAGGCACGTTTGGAAGTCCTATCACTTGGCCATCGGTCAGACCAAGCTCAGTGACGACAACGAACTGCTGCTGAACTATGGCGTAGGCAACCGGTCTGAAGTCTCTTTCATCAAGAAGCTGCGACAAGAGAGCAAGGGAAAGCGTGTGAGAGTGCGAAACGACGGATAGACACGTGCGTGTGCTGGGATGAGGAGCAACGCAGTTCAAGGTTTATTCAATACCAATGCCAGACGAATTACAATCCTCGGGGCTTGGACGATGATGATTACCGAAGCACCTGTTGGCATATTGATGACTGACGTATCATCGATACCCTGCTGCTTTGAAACAGGGTGCTGCAGCACCAGCAAATTCTACACCAACCACTCTGTATGGGTTGGTGTATCATAGACTGTGGCGAAACTGACAGGCAGGGCACTACGTTTCTTTGCCCCTGCCGAATGGGCCACGCTGAACCAGCGCCAATCTGCTCGCAAGACAAGCAAATCAGCGGCATTGTCCAGTCCAGTGAACGGCCAGGCTCACGTACAGTCACTGACTGCATGGTGTTGCTGTGGGTGGATGCTCACGGTGTCACTGTGAGTGGATACTGCCATCAGTAGCAAGAGCAGGGTCCTGCCGACCATCAACAGTCACAACCAGGTGGCTGTGTATACATGGAGTAGTATTTTTTGGACTCAATAGTCGTACACGAGCGTGGCGAAGTCACCGGTGGAGGTCATGTCAAAGGACGCTCTCGCTTGTACGTGCATATCGGAAGTACTAGTACCATCCAGGTCACTGAGGTGTATTGCACACTCCTGTACCGATTCTATGCTCTTGCATACCTTGCTCATCCACGCTCGTGCATACATCTACCCGCGTGGCACCAAGGCACACAGCCGTTGTCGATAGCCACTAATAGACTGTGCATAGCATGTCCAAAGTTAGTTTTCTGTTTTGCTGCCAATGCTATGTATGTCTGTGTGAGTCCATGCTTTGCCAATGAGCTGCATGTCTGCTGTGAAAATGCACTGCGGTATGTGTGTGTGTGTGTGTGTATGAGTGTATGAGTGACTCAGTCTATACTGTACCAATGCACTACGGTACGTGTATGTCTGTGTGAGTCCATGCTTTGCCAATGCCAATGTACTGCATGTGTCTGCTGCTGTGTAAATGCACTACGGCATGTACTGTGGCAGTGCACGTCTATGCTGCTCACTGGCACACTAGTTACAGCTATGCTCTTATTTTCAAGGGGGAAACCAGAGAATTTGTTCTACCTCCACCACGAGCGCTCTCTGGCCAACCTCGGCCACTGCTTACCCTCATGTTCTCAAGAAACCAGAGTTTTTTTTAATTTTTAGAGAGGATTTATCCGCATATTATGTGTTGATAAAATTTAGTAGGAAATAATTGAAAAATTATGCGCAATAATCTGCTGTAGACTGCTTCATAAATCCACTCGGTCTCTAGAGTGCAGATAACTACTGGGTTAAAGTCAACAAATATTCGTCGCATATTTATTTTCGGCTATTGTCGGCCTGGTCATGTTTGGCCGAAAATGTGTTGCGACCGAAATTCTCTTTTGCAAGGCTCAGTGTGACAGTGTATACAAGCGGCAGCAGTACAGGCCGAAAATGTGATGCGGTCGAAAAGGGCTTTAGCCCTGGGAGGCCGCAGTTTGAATAGGCCGACAATTTGTATACTCACAGTAGGCTGTGTCAACACAACACGGGTTCGCCATCACATCATAAGAAAAGAAACTCGAAAATTTCGTAAGATCAACCTCAAGCCTGGTGGTACGGAAATAAATGCATGTGCATGTACATGTACATGCGCGAGGACAGCAAGGCCTGTACCCATATGTAGCCTGAAATGAAAGTGGAATTTAATAATAGGTCCGGCCCAGTTAGTACATAAATCGTGTGTAGTAAAATACGAATGTATAAATAAAAAAGGGCACGTGGGTACGAGTAAATCAGTAAAATACTTCAAGTACAAATAATAATTATCATTATGTATTTTATGTAATCCCCAGCGCAATTGTTGATACCCCCACCATACTCCAACTTCTTCAGTGCAACACAAAATTCGCTAGTTGCTTTCACGGCTTGAGAGACATAGTGAACAGCTTGTAGTCGGTATTGGAGTGGATCTTCTCCGCTGCAACAACTAGAAGAGCTCCGCACACGGCCGCAGCGGCAACACAAGTGCTCTTGCCGTCCACCAGACCCGCAGGCTGCTGCAGTGGCACCACGTCCGGCTCACTGAACGCGTTGCCGGTGCCAAAGTGCAATCTGGTGGTTGCCTGGCGCCGGCGCAGATCAGCGGCGAAGATGACGCCGTCGCCCAGCGGCACAATCTGCTCGCTGTGCTTGACTGTGTGCGTGTCAAACTTTACCCAGCCACTGACGCTGGCTGTCGGGTCCAGCACAAAGTGCATGATAGGATCCGAAGGAGCCGAGCTTCGGCCGAGCCGCAAACCGAACACGTGAACCTGGCCATCGGTGCACGAGACCACGCGGGCGTCGTGTACGATGTCCGGAAGAAGCGGCCATCTGCTCAGCGCCGCGTCGTCGTCATAGCTGAACGTGGCCATCCGCGCCAGGCCCACGACCAGCCTCGACGGATCCAGCCAGCCCGCATCGTCGCTGTGCGGGTGACTGCAGCCGGAGGACCACTTGCCGGAGGACATGCTGTACAGGTGGCGATAACGACAGCGAACCGCTCCGTCTACGACACGCTGCTCGAGACTCTGGTCGAAGACGACGATCTCGTCGTGCGTGGCGAGCACGAGCGGAGAATGCAAACTGTACGGACACTTGCATACCATTGTCAACTCGCGTTCCACGTCGTCGACACGGAACAGGGCGTGAGTACCGTCTCTCTGCCGCGCCACGGCAAACACGTTCTCTCTGTTGCTAGCCATGGCACTGATTATCGTGTTTGCCGGCACGGCCAGTGAAGTCAGCTCACCGAGGTCCGCTGCAGTGCTGATGAGGACACTCTGCTCGCTGCCCGTAGCGCACAAGTAGACCTGCTTGTTGCGCTCCGCGATCAGCCAGCGACACCGGCGTGGCAGGCGACGACCAGACATGCTGCGACGTTGTATCCACTGCAGCATGGTAAGTAAGTAAGTGGAGCACACGGATAGCAAACATACAAGATATGACACACTGTTGTTGTTTGTTATTTTGTGTACGTCGTGTGTACGTCGTGTTGGTGCATGCGCGTGTTGCCGTGGTGCGAAACGCAGTCTTCGTCTTGAGTTCGTCATGTCTTCACATGTGTCTACACACGTGTTTCCGTCGTCTTGTCATAAATGTAGTCTTTCAAATGTACCGTATATTCTCTATTATAAGCACAGGTCTCCATTACTAGCACAGTCTCTAATACTAGCACACTGAGAGCACCTTTCGAAACATTATAAGCACAGTCTCTATTATTAGCACGGTCTTGGTGGAAATCAATGCTGCATGCATGATATCTAGCATGTATTTCTTCTTGCTCTGTATGGATGTATTGGTTGAAAAAATAAAAGCACGGTCTCCAATATAAGCGCGGTCTCCCATATAAGCACAGGGTAGAGGGGTGTTGAAAATATATAAGCACGGCGCTTATAATAGAGAATATACGGTAATTGTCTCGTCCACTGTATAAGTGCGGAGATGGCACGGGGCTGGTAGCCAGATTGAGGAAATCCAGCTACAACAATACCACTAAGCACATCCGGAGCGTACCTTCTTGAGTCCCGCTGGTGGGACGGCAGGCAAGGTACCTTGAAGAACAATACAATCATGTAGGTTATTTTTACTCGTGAGCGGGTGAGAGGGGGGCGTGGATGTAGAGCGGTGTGTTGTGTAAGTTTGAAACCATTGTCAATCGGAGGACTTTCACGGGGTGTGGCAGAGCATTGAAGGGTCTCGTCAGAAAGAGGGAGCTTCTTGACAAGTTCTTGGCACCCCAGGTAAAAGAAGCTAAACAGTATGGGCAGACCGTGCATCATACCCCTTCAACAACCCAAACCAGTAGGTAAGCTCTACCCATTGCTGGTGCTAATCACATGCGATGATCATATCCCCTCCACCCCCCCCCCCCCTCTCGCTCTCTCAAATGTTGAAAACGTACCTCTCGTTGCGCGAGGACATCCCGTGCAAACGTCTCACTGATGGCAGTAGTCATGCGTGTGACTGGTGACAGCTGCGAGGACTGCAGAGCAGAAAAAGCAAACGACACAGGTAGAAACCGTATACAACTTGTACATAGAAGGAATTTCCTCCGCCTGAAGTATGACAAATACATGTAAATTCGGGAAAAAATGATATTATGTTGTTGTTGCTGTGGCTGTTGTTGTTGACGTCACGTGACGCCAAGTTGAGACTCCTTCCCTCCCTCTTCCCTTTGGCTCACAGGGATGTGACTTTTATGGTCTAAACTCAAATCTGCACATCCACTACGTCCGGTCACTAACCTGTGGGGATCGTTCTGCCATGCCAGCAATGCCAGCAATGCAGCTCACTTGTGATAATCCAGCTGGCTCTTGATGGCCACGCAATGCTGCAGAGCTGCCACCCGCTGATGTGGTGTCGGCGGCGGGTGGTAGTGATTGATGCACTCTGCTGCTGCTGCTGCTGCTGGATGGTACTGCCACGGTAGCATTCCGGACAACGTCGGTGCCGACCTCGGCCGGCTGCTGCTGCTGTGACGGGGCTGTCCCATCCGCCTGGTGGACTCTAGCGTGCTGGGATACATCTCGCACGTGCGGCTGATGCTGAGGTTGCCTCCGCAGCAGCTGGGATTGCTTGTCCTGTTCCTGTCGCACTACACTCAACGTGCACGCCAGGTTTTTATTGTCCACCTCCCAGTTTGCCATGCTCTCCTGAACGGTGGCCGTCACACCCACCATCTCGTTCACCACCGCCTCGTGACCGGCCTTCAGCTCGCTCAGCTGAGCGCTCACGTGCGCAAGAGCCTGCTTCTGCTGGACGAGGACTTGCTGAACGGACTCGTTCGTGCGGACGAGTTGCTGGTCGGCTCTGCTGCGGTGGGCGTCAGCCGCTTCCTGCGAGTCAGCGACGGAACGTCGAAGTTGCTCGACGTCTCCGTGCACACTGCTGATCTTAGTATCGTGCTGCGACTGCTGTGCAATTGCCTGTGCTATCAGCATGCTGTTCTGCCGGGTGACGTCGGCGAGGGACGCAATCTGCTCCTGCATGGTGGATAGCGCCCGCTGAATGCTTGCCCCGCTGTGGACGACAGGGTCGTCGGCATTCTCCTCCGGCTGTGCTGCCGAGTCGACTGCCCTCTTTGCCGCGGCTGCAGAAGCCTGCAAGCCAGCAAAGCAACACACAGAGTGCCCACGGAGGTGCAGGTTTGGATTGTCTTTGTACTTATGGTCCCATTTATGGAGGCCCGGTGGAACTGGTCCGGTTGGTCAGCCCCAGGCGCGTGCCCCGTATGGGTTCCTGGGTGCCCAGAACCCCCCCCTTTTTCGCTCAAAATGCAGGATTTTGCTTCATTTTTTGAAAATTTTCCTGAGGGAGGCCCCCTTGAAGGGCACCCGCGCACGCGCCCACCCGCACACGCGCCTGAGCCCCCACTTTGTTCGGTAACCAACACCTTCCTACTGCCGAGGAGGTCATGTGTACATGCTATATCATGTACATATAGAAAGTATGAAAGAGTAAAATTTTGTTGACAGGACCTGTCAACAACTGTTCCGCCAGTTCTGAGATAGGGATTCTATTCTGCACAGGCCCTTGCCTACATCGAGAGAGTGTTCAGCCGCATGCATGATACCGTGTATAACCGGCTGCATGAGCTGCGTGATACTGTGAGTAAGCAAATGTGAGAGCGCTATCCCGTCATCCGCACGCAGGGGCGTCAGACACGCTACAATCACTACGGTATTGACCGTACCACTCTTCGCCCCAGGTACCCTGTGAATCAATACCAGGCACTGATTTAGACTCGAAATTTCGAATTTGTTCAGAGAAGGCAGGAGTATACTGTACTTCAAGTGTCTGACCGTACCACCCGAAAATATCTTCTGACGCCCTTGGCACTGCTAGATATCCTACCTACATGTACATGTACATTCAGTGTGCATCCCATAGTATAATGTATGCACCATACATTATACCATGGGATGTAAAGTACTTTCTTCTGTCCACGACTGTAACAGGATAACAAGCAGTCAGAAAGTGCGATTACAGGACACAACAGCCGACGAGCTGAGACATTCAACGAGCAATGCTTCGTAACTCGTTCCCGTGTGATATAGAATCATAGAACATTATTTAACAGGGCCGTCGGACACGCTACGGTCACTACGGTATATACCGCACCAGTCTTTATCCAAGGTACCCCGTGAATCAATAAAATGCACTCAGCTGGGCTCTAAATTTCGAAATATTTCAGAGGAGCCACCCAACCCCACGAGTAAATTGTATTTCAGGTGGCTGATCGTACCACCCTAAAATAATACCTTCCGACGCCCCTGCCTCTGTATCAGATAAAAAGAAACCAATAGCTTCAAGCTTACCGTAGTTGTCCAACAGTAATATTCTGTAGAACCGGAAAGTTTAACGACCGAAACTGGAACTTTTTTGTAATTTTGTCATGACAATGTGCAGAGAGTTTAACGATGGCTACCTGGCCACCCAGAACATGCATCAATGTATGCGCATCTTTACACAGACATCTCGAACCGTGTTCAGGATAACGTTTCTTCAAATAACGAAAACCAATGGACCGTATGCGTGTTAAAACAAAATGGCGTCACGATTTATTGAAAGTGGTATAGTTGGTGGTACGAGCGTTCAAACCCATTTGAACTTCATACTGTTCGTCTTCTTTTTGACATGCTCTCTTTCCATCGTCCTTAGCTTTTGTTTGTTGAGAGCTGTTTTGGCTTTCTCCTATACCTCTGGGGGATGCCAAGTGATGGTTTTGAGAGGCTGGCGATGGCTGTGAGCGAGAGTTTGCCGATCGGCGTCGTCCTCGCTATAGCGATGAAAATACTAGTTACTGCGCACCTGGCAGATATCACAACACGTCGGAGCGTCCAGGAGCAAAGGAATCTTGGGTTTTCACTGGAATCTAGTTCCTCCAGCATCATGTAGCCCACCGTCGGTGAACATGGTGAAGGGCCGTCCAGAAAGGTCGAACCTGGTCTTCTGCAGCATCGCGCAGTCCTGCGAGGCACACTGAATACGCCTGTCATGTATTCTACAAATAAAAATCACGAAGTAGTGGACTTTATAGTGATGAGTCTATCCTGTATGCTGCAAAAGACGCAGGAAATGTGACTGGTGTCCGTACACTGGACGCCAATATCATCCCAGTCTTCTCCTGCATGATCTGTTTGACATTGAAATACCGGTATGCAGTGGGTCGACATTGGCCTGGTTTGGCAGCTATCTGCCTGGGTGGATGTAGCAGGTTTGAATTGGCGCGTCGTCCAGTCCGACATTTTCTTGTAACTGTGGAGTACCGGCAGGGTTTGAGAGGTTGCTCGTGCTGTGAACACATCTCTACTGCCTGTCTCGTCCTGGAAGTGCCGCTCGCCGCTTCCTTGCTCTACAGTCACGCCGTTATTTCGCTTTGTTTCGTGGTGCAGCTCAAAACCTGCCCAAACAACTGTGAGCTCGCAACATGGTATGAACAAATTGCACCACTCATGCTGGTTAACTAAAACCGGGATAGTCGAGTAAGCGAGTTCACTCCCTGGGCCATGGCAAGATCTGTTCAGCGCGGGCTATTCCAACCTCCAAGTGCATAGTCACCGATCGATCCATGCGATGGTGGTGGACCTACAAAGAGCCAAGGTCTACGAGTACTACTATTGGATGCTGTCTACATGCAGTCAACAAAATCAAAGTACCTTAGTATGCCCCAGAATAGGGCATGTGCATCTATAACAGGACACAACAGGGGTTCTGGCGGCACCTGTCAAACAAGCAGTAGCGACTAGTGCCAGCTACCTATTGGCAGTATTGGAGGCTAGCCGCTACAGTCTTGTCACTGGAGATAATTATTATGTTCACTGTTTAGACTGAGCACAATCAATGAGGCCCAATCAATCTGCCCAATGTGTGTTCTGTTCCACCTAATTATAACGTTCCATCGCATCAACCCTACTACACGCACATGTTGTCACTCTAGCATGACTTGTGTTATTATTGTTTATTTTGATTCGCACGATAAATAGAGCACAATAAACGTTAACTTGACCGAAGGATAAAGGCGACTGCAGATAGAGGAACACATCGAGGTACAGGTACCGGCATCAATACAGTATCAGAGAGAAACAAACAAAAATGAGAGGTACGCAGAAAAAACTCTCGTAAGCCCAAGGGGAAGTGGTTGATGAGGGATGAATGCACTCTCCACGCTCATCTACACTGTTTGTGGAAATGCACACATACATACAAAAATATACAACATAGCAATAGCATGCACAGCACCGAACAATTTCATGTTCACACATGCTAGCACAGACCTGAACATTAGTACCAAAAGCCGATACAGACAATATCCCCATACACACAGACGCACACACACACAATGTCCCATGTATGCGCCCGTGGCGAGAAAAGCACGCAAATCTACAAATGCACTGGATGTGAACCCACAGATTTTCTCTTATAGCAACGATAGCGGATCTGATTCTGAATGAAACACACACACACACACACACACACACACACACACACACACAATACAATCATTGAATGCCCATCCGCAGATGATGGCAGGTCCTGAAAGAACAGGCAGTGTTCCAGTAATGGGGAACAGAACTTCAAGTGGCGAGTGAGGTATACACACACACACGTGCGTGCACGGGCATACACTAAAGTATTCAGAAATAGAATCGACATTGTAGTATTCATTGGTTGGGGAATGGAAAGGAAAATAAAACGTTGCTGTAGGTTATTGTTGTAAGGACACTGGGAGCACAACAGAAAGGAAAGCAACTTGCTTTGAAGCAAAGAAAGTTATTATTCCACGGATCTCAGAAGGAAGGAACGTTCCAGAATGCTGCACTGGCAACAGGCGGCCTGCATGTGCGCGGCCCCTGCAGTCGGTCCAGCTGCCGGCCTTGCAGTGCTGAAAAGAATGTGCAGTACAGCATGTCACATAGTATCGCAGCCTGGACAAATAGGCGCTGGGAAGTCCTAGTTATGTGCTCACCTACACCACGATGCACCAATCTTCTGAGCTACTTTGGCAACAACTTTGTCCACTTGAGACTCCCATGGGCTGAGCCAGTTGTTGAGGGCTGCACCAAGGTGGACGGCAATGACCGCTGATGGCAAGGCAATCCATGACACACAGTCACTAGGGCATCGTCAACATGGCGCTGAGGCTGGATCGATAAAATCAATCTTTAGGCTGTCGCGGCGTTGACAACGAGGCCGCTGTCTCGAAGCTAGTCAGTCAGCCTGGTCACCGCCATTGACGAACCAGTCGCCACCGCCAGCAGTGGCGGTAGGTTGTGACAAGTGTGGTGCAATATTGTCAGCAAATTCAGTACTTAGGATAAGATGAGTGACAAAGGGAACGTTGTGTTTGATAATATTGAAGTGAACAGGGATGATCACAAACCCTGCGCGTACTCCACCGTGAGTTACAAGAAAATTCCGGACTGGACGACGAGCAAACGCCAACCTGCTACATCCAACCTGCTACATCCAACCAGGCAGATACTATTACGATAGCTGCCAAACCAGGTCAATGCCGACCTACTGGATAATGTCAATGTCAAACAGATCCAGCAGGAGAAGACTGGGGTGTTGGCGTCCAGTCACTGAGTGTACAGACACCAGTCACATTTCCTGTGTCTTTTGCAGCATACAGGCTGAGACTCATCACTGTAGAGTCCACTACTTCATGAGTTTTATTTGTACAATACATGGCAGGCGTACACGGTGTGCCTCGCAGGACTGTGAGGTGCTGCAGAAGACCAGTTTCGACCTTTCTGGACCGCCATTCACCGACGGTGGGCTACACGATGCTGGAGGAACTAGATTCCAGTGAAAACCCAAGATTCCTTTGCTCCTGGACGCTCCGACGTGTTGTGATATCTGCCAGGTGCGCAGTAACTAGTATTTTCATCGCTACAGCGAGGACGACGCCGATCGGCAAACTCTCGCTCACAGCCATCACCAGCCTCTCAAAACCATCACTTGGCATCCCCCAGAGGTACAGGAGAAAGCCAAAACAGCTCACAACAAACAACAGCTAAGGACGATGGAAAGAGAGCATGTCAAAAAGAAGACGAACAGTATGAAGTTCAAATGGTTTTGAACACTCGTACCACCAACTATACCACTTTCAATAAATCGTGACGCCATTTTGTTTTAACATGAATATCGCGGATTGGTCGTTAAAACGTTAGACTTTGTGATTCGTTAGACTTTCCGGTTTTACAGTAGCTAACACAGCGTGGTGTCAGAACGTGCAACAGTTAGCACAGTACTGGCACGTGGGCTAATTGTGCAAACTGGCCAGCAACTGTGCTATCCGTGCTGCCTGACATGTTGCTATCACTGCTTTGACATTGCTGTACCATAGTCCCGCGGTGCGGCTGTTTGATTTCATGCCCTGTATCGACGGTTTCACTGTGTACTTGGCGCCACTCGCGCTCTCTTAGGTGTCATTTCTGTTGCTGCTCTGACTGCCTAAAAGCCAGATACCGATATAAAGACTTGTTTGCTAATGCCCGTATCGCCAATGTACCAGCTTTGAAGAGTAATGGTGCAAAAGGCCTTGTCAAAGTTTCAAGTCGAACTTCACTTTAGTGCTCCGTGTGCTAGTTGGGTTTCATCTGACAAAACATTCTATTGACAATGTTGTCTATAATAACCCTACAGTACTGTCTGTCGCCGAAGAACTGGGGGGGGGGGGTCCAGCCTCCTACAGTCCTAGCCTAGACTGTTCTTATTTTCATGTATTACAGTCTATGGGCAGTTGAGTCAGTCCAGGCGCGTGCCCCGTATGGGTTCCTGGGTGCCCGGAACCCCCCCCCCTTTTTCGCTCAAAATGCAGGATTTTGCTTCATTTTTTGAAATTTTTCACGAGGAGGCCCCCGGAACCCCCCCCCCCCCTTTAAAGGGCACCGGCGCACGCGCTCGGTCACCGTGTATGCTTTGGTATACTGTGCTTCATGAAATTCTAGCCTGGCTGTTCTTCGGCGCCCGACAGTACTGTAGCCACAAGTTGTGCTAACCGACAGTTCCACTCTTTGATGTTACTTAGCACAAGCACATTCCACGTTTGGGAGGCTGTTGGCGCTGGGACATTCAAGACGTCATGGAGCGAAAAGTCACGTTGCTGAAGGTCAATACCGATTGCCAGCAAAATGTGCTAACTGTTAAGCTGTGTTCACAATTGGCGCGTATACGCGGTACGCTTGCGGTTCATGCGTGCCCAAACGCGCGCTCAGGCTTTCACAAAAAACAGCAATCCGAGTCGTATTTAGTGTGTGCGACACCTTCGAGTACTAATTTTTTTACCCCGCCAGTCAAGGTGACTGGCATGTACGCTGGTACGCGCCTGATACGCGCTGAACATTCCAACATTTTGGAAGTTCCATTTCGGCGCGTTTCCGTACGCATGGCGTCCCAAAAGCCAGCAAAAATACGCACAAACGCGTGGTTTCACGCGTACACGCGCCAGTTGTGAACACAGCTTAACATGGTCCCACTCCCCACTATGTTTTTTTTCACAGTGTACCCGAGCCTCTTGTACGGGCAAAATACACACAAGCGCAACCTCAACATGCAGGAAATGAGCTGAAATGACACTGCTAAGTATGTAATGTTGCCTATAAATATGACTGCTGGATAAGTACGGTTAGCTTGTAAACGATTGGGCCTCTCTAGCTCTATCTGATGATGTGAATTATTTGCACTATGGGCAATTCCTGGTCCCTGTGAACGACCCCCCCCCCCCTCCCTGCCCCGGCCCTATCCTGCACCCCCCCCCCCTCTGCCCCGGTCCTATCCTGCACCCCCCCTCCCTGCTAGCTTATCCTGCACCCCCCCCCCCTCCCTGCCCCGGCCCTATCCTGCACCCCCTCCCTGCCCCGGCCCTATCCTGCACCCCCCCCCCCCCTCCCTGCCCCGGTCCTATCCTGCACCCCCCTCCCCCTGCCCCGGTCCTACCCTGTACCCCCCTGCCCCGGTCCTATCCTGTAGTACATACCTTCTGTATTGCACTGTACTGCTTCAAGCATACAGAAATCGTAGTGTGTGCTTGCTCCGCCGTAGGTCGTCGACTCGGATCATCGTTCAAGCATGATAGGATCAGCAAGCGCAGTGGGTGCTCCGCAGGTAGCAACGATAAATCACCATCGCGCCGCTCCGTCTCCGGAATTGGATGTTTGCCACCTCCTGGCAGCCGCTCGTGTCGTGCCTCACTAGGCTGCGGCTCCTTGCGGGTTACCATGCTGTTGGCCAGGACGCCGAACGAGAACATGTCCACCTCCAGTCCGTACGCACTGCCCTCGTCCAGCGCCTCAGGCGGCATGTAGAACCGAGTACCCGGACAGCGCGTGGGGATACTCTGCGAGAACTCCTCGTTGATCAGCCGTGCTAGACCGACGTCGGCGATTTTCGCATGTCCGTCCGTGCCCAGCAGCACGTTCTGTGGCTTCAAATCTCGATGGATAATGCGCTTCCAGTGCAGGTACATCAGGCCGGCCGCAACGTCCCTGAGAACCGTCACCGTGCACTCGAAATCCTCCCCAGAGTCCCCTCGCATCATGCACTCGGCCACGCTGCCCTTCATGCGTTCCATGAGCAGGCACGGGCTGCCGTTCGGCGCACGGCCCGCGCCGAGGAACTGCACGATACGCGGATGCGTCAGGTTCTTCAGCTCCACGCACTCGCTACCGAAGCGACGTAGGAACTCGTCTCGGCCATGATTGCCAGGCCGGATAAGTGCCTCATGCAGGACTTTCACAGCGGCTGGACTGCCCTGGAAATCAATTTCGTACACCACGCCGTCCGACCCAATGCCTATGTTGCCCTGGTTCATATCAAACTGGACGTCGCCCAGCCAAGCATGCTGTGGCACGCCAAGCAGTTCGCGTAACCGCTCCGCCATTGCTGCGAGCAGTTGCGTACACGCTCTGTCCCACAGCCGAGTACTATCTGCCAGATAAAATGCTACTCATTCTTCGGATCTTCTTCTGGAAACTCAGAAAACAAGATAACATTCATCAAGAAGAAAGTCAGTCACCCAAGACCATCGGCATCGGCGGATCGGGTCTGTATGATTGATGGACCGCGACCAGGCAACGCTACCTCACGTGCCAGAAACACGTGCATGCAACGGATGCACGGATGCAAACGGCCTCACAAATCAAACAAAGTATAAAGTTGTTCTCGTAGCTGGTTATCAGTTGTAAATGTTGTGTCATGTTGCACTGTATCACCTCTTGCTTTGTGGCTGCACTCAGTTATAGACGTTAGCACTATGTTTGACACCCATTATGTAATGCTGTAGCACTTCCTTTGTTGTTCACACTTTTAATTAATTATGCTGTTATAGAATGTTCTATTTTTGTACACAGTACCCTCAGTTCCGATACTATTCACTGATGAACGGAACACGAAAATCGATTTTGAATAACATGAAAATCCTTAAAAATTCCATGAACTCGTTGTTGTCTGGCCATGTCTGCATCGATTATACTCCTAATTGCACTAATAAAAATAACTATTAGTTTTTTTTTGCTAGCATTCATGCATGTAGAGTGTCTACTACTGTACTAGTGAGTAGTGTCATCATGGTCATAGCGGCAGCTACTACTACTAGTGAGTAGTGAGTCTGTCTGTCGAGTGTCGTGAACATGGTGAAGCTTTTCAAGCATCGAGACGGCCTACTGCATGCACTGGACCATAGTTTCGGTGACCATGGTGACGAAATGGGAGGTGGCACGCATGTACTCTTGGAGGTGGGCATACTGAGTCTGTAGAACGGGTAATTATTATTTTAGCAACGTAAAAAACCCTAGCGAATTTAGCGATCGACTCATTTTCGCTAAAGTTTCAAGTCGCTAATCCGTTGAGACATTAGTAGTGCACTGGTGATCCATGAGTAAAATCGCTGCAAATCGCTAAAATAAAACGTCGCTAACCGGTTGACAATGGGAAAACGCTAAAATTAATAGTCGCTAAAATTACCCGTTCTACAGTATGCGCATCCGGTATCCGGATCCCACACAACAACAAAAAAACAAGCACTAGCTATACTGTAAACTGCCTAGTATTCGCGACGGATTACTGTTCGCTATTTTCACGAGAAGAGCGTAACGCGAACATTAACCATCGTGAAATCTAACTTCAACAATGGGTGGATGTACGTGGCCCCAGTGCTTCGCGAACTTTTGCCATCGCAAACTCGCTGGATCTGAGAAATCGCGAAACTTTAGTGACGCGAATATTGGGCTTTACAATACATGTAAAACATACCCTGACGTGACCTTGGTGAGTCTGAGATTGGTGACTGTGCTCGATACAATCATGTACCCGCCGCGGCCCGTATACCACGCACAGATACAATGATTATGTAGACACAATCAGGCGCGTGCTCCGGTGCCCTTCAAGGGGGGCCTCCCTGCGGGAAAATTTTCAAAAAATGAAGCAAAATCCTGCATTTTGAGCGGAAAAAATGGGGTTCCGGGCACCCAGGAACCCATACGGGGCACGCGCCTGACAATTACAAGGCCGAGACTGAGAGTACACTGCTGCAGAGCACAGCCAATACAATGCACTGTTATAGCTTGTATAAAAGCCGCGGCTTCTATGACTTTCTTGGTGAAAATACAAGACAGGTATTTCTATGTATGTCAACACTAAAACCAGGCTTATGTGTGATTTGATGGGCCCAAAATTGCGGCTTTTATACAAGACTTTACGGTACATGTACAGTCATGTACCTACATGTGGTATTTACACCAAGTTTCACGCCAAAAGCAAAGACCAAGAGTCCAGAAAGAAGTTCTTCATGGGATCATGGACTCTCTGCCTTTCAGTGATAGCCAGACAACAGCCGCGTACTGCACATGTGCAACGAATATTGCTCAGAAGCAGGGAGTAGTATAATACCGGCATTTACTGCTACCTGCTTAGAATTGCATGTACAGGGCAAGGGGGTCTACATGATTGTATACAACTCCCTGGTGTAGGGTTACCGTCCTTGCGTCGTGCGGACTGGCACCATAACTACACAACTATAGTGCCGGGATTGAAGAGGGTGTGGGAGGGGCAGCCGAAAAAGAAGCACAATTTCAAAGGGGATCGGGGATCGGAAGGTACCTTTCAAGTTTGAAAGGATGAGAAACACAGCCAGCAAAAACGACAGCAGGCATCAGGGAGTAGTACAATGCTGTGGTATTGTATCACTCCCTGGTAGACTGAACATGCACAACACAGTATCACACAACAGAGAGCAAGAGAGGAAGCTATGTTGCGACTCCGAGTTTCAAGTGCACAGTCTTTCCATAAGACGGGGTATAAGCTCAAGGAAGGGTTGAGAAGAATGAAGACAAAAAGTCCGTGACTGACTGACAAGCAATGGCACAAGCAAACCTTACTGGAGATGGGAGGCAGGGGGGGGGGGGGAGCGTGATGGTGGTGACGGTTGGAGCAAATACAATGAAGGCAGGCGGCAGGGTGGAGGGTGTGCTGCAGGGGACATACTGTAATAAGGTGCAGCGGACATAATAAGGTGCAGGGAAACAGGGAAGCCGGGGAGTGGTGGGACATGGACAGGAGGGTGCTGGTAAAAGAGTAAGCAAGTAGGTCAGCCAGGTGGGGACGGCTGGTTAGGTTGATTATATAATAGAGTACTAGTAATGGTAGAGGTGCAGCGATAACATTGGGTTGGGGACCTGGGGAAGGAAATGGAGATAGAGTGGGATCAGGGAAGGATATACGGGAGATGGGTGATGGGAAGGGCTGGGGAAGGGGCAGGGAAGGGGTGCTGGGTTCGGGAGAGGAAATAAGGGAGGGGGGCAGGGCTGGGTGCAGCAGGAATTGGAGAGGTGATGGGAATAGGTGCAGGGCCGGGGTAGGGTGGAGGGTAGGGGTGCAGGGACAGGGCGGGGGAGAAGGGCCGGGGTAGGGGTGCAGGGACAAGGCGGGGAGAGGGCTGGGTAGGGTGCAGGGGTAGGGGTGCAGGGACAAGGCGGGGAGAGGGCTGGGTAGGGGTGCAGGGACAGGGTGCGGGAGAAGGGCGGGAGTAAGGTGCAGGGACAGGGCAGGGGAGGTAACAGGGAGATAAGTGGCTGGTAGCAGAATAGCTATGAGGAATCGGGATGGAATAGATAGTACTGTGCAGGGAGCGGGGATCAGCTGAAACAGAACGTGAGCCATTGGAAGCTAGGCGGGTGCAATACAGTCAGAGTACTGGTGCAATGGGGGGCTGCAGCTGGGTGCAGGGAAGAAGAAAACTATAAAACATGAGGCTAGACCAGGCGAGAAAGGAATGGCAATGGAAAGACAGGTTGAGGGAGAGCACGAATACGGGGTGTGGGAACACGGGGTGCGGGAGTACAGGTCTACTACATCGGGAATGGCAACATACATGGTGTGCGGGAATGGAAAAAAGGCCGCGAAGCCAGAGTACACATGTGCTGAGGGGGTACATGCCAGGCATTGATCAGGGCGGGCAACGGAAGAGGAAATCGGAAAGGCAGTACAACGAAGGGGAGTCCACCAGTAGAAAGGCTGCAAGGCAATGGTAGAGGACAGGCACGGAGCTGGGGAGTCGGGGCAGGGAAGATAGGAGCGAGCGGGAGCCAGTAGGCACAGAGGAGAGTGGTAGCCTTCAAGAGAAGGTGGAAGAATGGGCCTTTGAGATGGAGGAAGAAACAGCTTAAGGAAAGCATGCAGCATGCAAGAAAGAGAAAGGGATGAGCTTGTTTCTGAGGAGTGTATGTGGAGAGGGGAGGGGGGGGGGGGAGAGAGAGAGAGAGAGAGAGTGTGTGTGAGAGAGAGAGAGAGAGAGAGAGAGAGAGAGAGAGAGAGAGATGGAAAGAGAAAGAGAGTCCGACTAAGACAGACAGACAGACATAGATAGATTGATAGAGAGAGAGAGAGAGAGAGAGATAGAACGGTAGCGCCGAACGCATCAAGTTGAAGTATCATTCGTCAGACTCCATGCTTGATAGACTACGAAGTGCCAGGGAGGCCAACCGAGACACGGCCACGTGACGAGGAGTTTGACCAAAGCCGAGACTAGTATCACAATGTGTTGAGTGCTGGTATAGCTCCTCTAGTATGTTCTCATCCGACTCGGGTTGTTGACAGGCCGCGTCGACAATGCCGATAAGCGTAGACGGGAGGCGCTGCAGTGAACACCAGCAACGGTGCAGATAGCCGTACGGGGCTATTGCACGTGATGCCGCCGACGGCGCTTTCCAGCGGCTATCGGAGCGTGCGGCATGGGTATTTGTGGTCGGTTCTGCCCTGCGCGCGTCCGACGCCGTTCACAGCAACGCATTCTGGCTGGTCACGCTGCCCCTGGGTGAGTTCAGCGCGTCTCCACAGTCTAGTTGCTTGGTCACGGAGTAGGGGTTGTCGCCATCGCGTTCCTGCTGCTCCGCTTCATCCAGTGCAGTGCAGAAGTCCTCCAGGTCCTCAAGGATGTCCTGGTCAGTCGAGCTGATTTCAATCTCACCGTACTGCACTGCGGCACTTGTGTCATCGCTCGCACGCCCCGGCGCGGCGCCATTGCCGCCAGCCGGTGCCAGGCAGTGTGGTGTGCTGTCTCGTCGATCACCGAGCAGCCCCACCTCACTGGAGACGCTCGCGCGCTGCTGGTTCGACACGCCCTCCAGCGGCTCGGCCAAGTCGTCGGCGCCGCTGTGCAGCGTGGGCACTTTGCGCCCGGGATCGGCATTGTCAAGCGATGAAGTGCGGCCTGTGCTGTAGTATGCCGGCGTACCCAAAGTGTCCAGCTCGTATCCGGGCATTGCACCAGACTCACTCAGGTCGATTTCACACGACATGTTTGTGAACTGCTGTCTCACAGTCGTCTTCCTCTTCACCACACCACCGCCCTTCTTGCCAGTCGACGGAGCTCGGGCAGCCTTGTTGTGAGAGGTTGCCGCTCTGGAGGCGTCGGCCATTGCCGACGAGATGTCGCCATCCAATTCACACGACGCGGTGGTCAGCTGTTGGCTAACTGAGGTGGAACTCGTTTTCACAGCCATCGACGTCTTCGTCCGGCCCGCTGGTCCGCTGACGGTGTCGACGACAGGGTTCAAGTACGGTCCGGAGTCGGAGCTGGCCTGGCTCTGCAGCTCCTGCACGTTCTTCTGGCTTGCTACCGAGGTGACGTGCGGGTTGGCTACTCGCTTAGACTTGTCGTTCTCTGCCACATCCGATGCTGGTGTGGCTACGGGTGTTGGAGGACACAAACAACAGCGTACAGAAATGCGCGCACACGGTCACACACAGGCACATGACCACACGCACACAGGCATAAATTTGCATACGCACAACACAGTGAACATCGACTCTCCAATCTACCTCAGTTACATCGAATTCACCGCGCTCATCAGCAACGTTTGACAGATGCCGCAACTCAAAGGCACTTTCTAAGAGGACACATTTTACGTGTTCATGTAAGACTTAGTCAGGTTTCCCACCAGATCGAAAGCAGGATTCACAGAACCTTTTTTTTTGCAAATACGATGCTTAAGCTACTGTAAAAAAATAAATTTTTCACGGTTCGCGTGAGACTCGGCTGGAAACCGAGTTTTCCGCATCCGTAGGAACGCCACCACCCTTCAAGGATCAAGGCGCAGATGCAGCTCCTAAAGCGGTGGGAGGTAAGCCAACAGATATTCGGCGCAGAACTATTTTCGGCTATTTTCGGACAGGGCATTTTGGCCGAAATTTTGTTGTGGCAGAAATTTAGTTTTACAAAGTTCAGCATGACAGTGTAGACAGGCAAGAGCTGTACAGGCCGAAGTGCCTCTCAGAACTGGGAGGCCGAAGTGCCTCTCAGAACTGGGAGGCCGAGCATGAAAGGGGAAGTTCACCCTAAAATGAGACCTTCACAACCTGTAGCGAAAAATGCACTGATTAGGCGAGACCAAAATAAAATCGAGATTCCCGGGCAGGACCCATGTGAAATTGGTGCGGGCGGGCGAATATTATTTTTTTTAATTTTTTCCCATGTATGTACATGACCAAATATGTGTGCATGCCATGTTGAACTTTTTTTACAGCATTTTCCGGTAATTTTTATTCAGTTTTTTTTTACAGAAAACAGGTACGCGGTTTACCCGTTCAATTTTCTATAATTCGGCCAACGATGGCCCTGATCTGTACATCTGGGAGTCATACAAGCTGGGGTTTGTGTGACTCCACGTCACAGATCTACTCACACGATCAGTACTGTACATGTATGAACTGTTCAAAAAAAATGGCTTTGGCTCGATTTTGGTGCTGGAGGGCCCGGGAATCTCTATTTTTTTTGGTCTCGCCTTAGGCTGTGTTTACATGAGAAATTTCAACCCGGGTCGAGTTCAGCCCGGGTTGAAAGTCTGTACGATAGACAAAAGAGGTGAGCGTTTACATGAAGACAGTTGACCCGGGTCAAATACTGATATGCCGCCAAAAGTCCACTTCTACAGTCCTCTATGGTCACGTGAATCCGTTCGCGCGAAATTTGCATGTGCAGTGCTGTTCAAACCTGGCGCGAGATACGCACAGAAGTACGTTTGTACGATTTTCTTGACCCGGGTTGGTTTCAACCCTCCCCTTGGGGGGAGGGTTGAAATCAACCCGGGGCGAAATTTCAACCCGGGTCAAGCGCAATGCGTCATGTAAACGCGCCATTCACTTTGTGCACATGGGGGTTGAAATCTGACCCGGGTCGAACTCAACCCGGGTTGAAACGCCTCATGTAAACACAGCCTTACTATGGTGAAGGTCCCAGGCTGATCGGAGCAGCCGTTCCCGAGTTTTACCAGCTTGAAGTTTGCACTAAATTTGGTGACATCATGATGAACTTGCCCGGACTTGGCCGGATTTATGACATCAGAGAGATAGACTTTATAATTTTATGGGAGTAGATGGGAAATTTCAGTATTTCGGCTCTCCATTGTCCCCAAAAGTCGGATGTTTTTCAAACTTCGGTATGAGACATGTGGCACCCTACCGGTATCCCGACTGGAAAATTTCTAGTATGAAATTCGTTGTTCCAGAGAAGCCAGAAAGAATTTGGGGTTTTCCCCATCTGCTCCCATACAAAGTCTATCTCTCTGACGTCACATATCCGGTCTAGTCTGGGCAAGTTAATGATGTCATCATGTCACCAAATTTAGTGCAAACTTCCACAGGTATAACTCGGGAACGGCTGCTCCGATCAACCTGGGACCTTCACCATAGTAATCAGTGCATTTTTCGCTACCAGTTGTGAAGTTTTAATTTTAGGGTGAACTTCCCTAATTTTGTAGACTTATGCATACCTGCCGACCATGCCGGTTTGGCCGGGACCGTTCCGACATCGAGGGTGGTAATATGCACCCAAAAGTGCATTTGCCACATGCCTCACGGCTTCATTTGTATACATTTCCATACCAAGGTATGTCATTGTCCCGATCTCAGGTTGGCAAAGGTTGGCAGGAATGCGCACAGTCTGGGTTGAATGTCAAGCGGTGCAACCGCACACAACTCGAACGCTAGCGTACACAGCATCTTACCTGGGTCTGCGCCGGTCACGAGGTTGAGCAGCCGCATTGCCAAGGGCGCCGCCACCTTCTTGGCCTTCTTCGCCGTTCCTGCAGTGCAGATGAATATGAATTGTTATTTATTTTATTAATTATTATTATATGATAAAAGTCAAAATCGGCACATTCAGTATAGATTTCAGCATTCAATTCATCATGTTTGATCATAATAGAAAGTACTCAACAGCATGCATAGATAAATTTGTCCCTGCATGCTCTAAATTCTTTATTTGGCTGGATTTAGTTCTAATTCTTTTTCCCATCCCGCAGATGATAAGATTAGTGTGATGGCATCTAGCCGATAGCAGAGCAGATTCTACTGATTAGGAGAACAAAAAGGCGGATGACGGCGGCTGAATGCAGATCTACCCACTGCAGCGTATCATTGTCGCGAGTGAAATCTGTTCCACAGACACATACGATACACTAACTGATGACTCTGAAAGGGCCGGCCCTGCGTTGGGCTGAACATGGCTGTCCGGTCATATGATAGGTAATCATACCACTCGATCGGATTGCACTGTACCTTTTGAAAAGCTTCATGCTTAAGTATTGATGAGATTCAAGCAACTGATCACAGAAACTATTGAACGATCGCTAGTTCACGGAGAGAAGTGTTAGCGTTTTTTTCTCGTCAGCTGGATCATGCATAGATGGACAGAGCAATTTGCTGCGATATATATGCCCGAATGTGTGAGGCCACGGAGATAGCGAAATTCTGCAACTTTACAGTTGAGCATTGCACTGACCTTGTCCTTTCTGCACAACATACTGATCAAACTGCTTGACCATCTCCGGTGATCTCCTCTTTGCAACGATATGAGCAATGGCAGCTAGTATTGCTACAGCCATCAGGCCGCAAAAGACGGATAGCGCTTCGATGGCCTTGCGCAACGTTGCGTCTGATATCAAGGCACACACAGAGATCAAAAACACGGATGCACACAAACACATAATAAAGAACCAACACGCGCACACAGAGTCACACACACTCTGATGGGGCGCCATACCGGACGTAGCATCATGCACCGGGATTCTACCATACTGCCAGGACATGCTAAGGGCGTGTTCAGACTATTGAGAACCCCGTCAAACCATGAATGGCGATAAACCGCGAAGGCCATTCGCACAACCGATAAACTAACGTTACCGTTGCGTAAGTTGTGCAGCTCTCGCCGCGGCACTGAGAAGGGATTTTTCCTTTCTTCCAGCCCGAGCACCTTTCTCCACTGCCGGAATGCTGTTTCCGCCGGTAGCGTGCCAGTTACACCATGTGATCAAATCACCTTGGAAACTCTCCCACTTTTTATCGGTAGTCTGAACGTGCCGTAAGATGCTACTGAGGTCACACACTAGCACTACAAATGAACAAGCGATGTATGTATGTATGTATGTATATATGTATATATGTATATATGTATGCATGTATGTATGCATGTATGTATGTATGTATGTACAGTGCTGGCAACCGAAATCCGACCCCCTGAGCGGTGCGCTCACATCGCAAAGAATGTGAACCCACCGCTAGGGGGGTCGGATTTCAGTTGCCAGTACTGTACATGTGCATGGCACTGAATATACACATAATATGAAGTAGCCCGCTCCCCAACCCAGGCCTGGCAATTGAACTTTGCCAATCGGATTGCAGGCCACTGCATGTGTTGGGACGTACCTGTTGCATCGGCAGACTCTCCGGACGATGCAGCCGTCTTCGCCGCTCGCACGGCACGCCATGCTCGGGCGGTGCCGCGAGAGTTCCGCGCCTGGCACGTCACCAGTGTGAGCTCGTCGGTCTGGCGAGACACGTTCAACTGGCTGTGTGTCACACCGTCGGCAGTTTTCTGCAAGCACACCAAGAAGAAGAACACGGGGCGTAGTCTAACTCAGATCACACTGAGCCAATTCTATTTTGTTTCGTATTGTGTGTACTTTTAAAATGTTGAGTCACCTCCACCTGAAGGAGTTTATCAATATCGTCTACGGAAGTGTCCTCGCAATGGTGATGGTTGTGTGCAGGAGGGTCTAGTCGGCTAAAGAGCACAGTGTAATGGTGGAGGTGACGCAACATTTTCTTCAATGGCCGAGAGCTCTGTCGCACCCTGTAATATTGTGTATACTTTATTCACGCAATGTAAAACGGTGGAGACAATGTGCAGCATTTCACATTGCACGAATAAAGTGTACACAAATGTCGATTCAGCTTGTCTTATTGATTGCGGTTGTCAAATTATTGTCTCCTCGCCGTTTGTTTAAATATTGTATTGTATTTTTGACCCAGCAGGAAGTGGTCATCCACCGAAAATCCCACTCTATGCATCCATGATCAAGACGTTTAAAATATACAGAAGCTTAGTTTCAAGTTTTGAATTACTTTCCGGTCGGTCTAATCTAGCCACCTGGCTGACACTACTTTAGGAGCTGCAGCCCCCAGCACTTTGATCCTTGAGGCGGCGGCATTCCTACGGTTGGATGTGGAAATTTAGGGTGCGTTCTTATTTTCTCTACTTTCTTGGAGAAATTTCTACAGGAGTTCGAAGAAACTGGAACAATTAAATTTTAGGAATGGGTCTCGAAGGATTCGGAGATCTTTTGCCGTTTCAAAATGCCAAAGGTCTTGAGTGACACAAATTTAGTACGCACCGTGTGGATAAATCCATAGCAAGAAGAATCTCATAAACAACGCATGACTTTTACAGTAGTTTGCATGCGCTTCTTCCAAATTTCAACCACCTTTTAATTAAGCTAGAAGAGCTTTGGAGAGTCTTCTAAGATTCCGAGAGGATAAAAGAAGTTAAAGAACACTTCTCCAGTTTTTTTCCGAGAGGATTTTAGAATGCGCCAATAGTCTGACCACGTCAAGCCGCAAAAGATGAAGTTATTCTGATTCAAACTTGGGACCGTGGGAAACACTTTCACAAAAAAAACTTTCAGGGTTATAAGCACTCTGTTCATTGGTTATGTAATACGTATAATAGTGTTAGAAAAGAAGATACGCCTCCAGTTTTTCCCCTAAATTATACCGTGTTCCCTGTAGATAACTGTCATGGTTGGATAACTGGACGATCTAAACAATAACAAAATTAGATATAGACAAAAGTGGCCAAAACACTGCTAACAAGAGAGAGAGAGAGAGAGAGAGAGAGAGAGAGAGAGAGAGAGAGAGAGAGAGAGAGAGACAGAGAGAGATAGAGAGAAGAGATACAGATGGATAAACAGAGACAAAGAGAGAGAGAGAGAGAGAGAGAGAGAGAGAGAGAGAGAGAGAGATTGTGGGGGAGAGAGGAGGCAGAGCCCATCAGAACAGAACTGTAAACAGAAGCCGTTTTTTCCGTTGTTACTGGGAACACTGAGTGCGTTCGATTACGCACTTGAATCGATTCATGAATCGATTCAAGTGCATTCAAGTCGTTCGATTTTCATGTCATGAGCCCTGGAATCGATTCGGAATCTATTCACCCTATTCACATGGGGTGATGTGAATAGCGCGAATCGATTCTCGGGCATAATCGAACGCACTCACTGCAGGCACCAGATTAACAGTCAGCAGTGTGGACTATGTACTCACCCACTCCCTGCTGAAGTACACGGCGGTGAGAGACGCGTTGGTCTTGACGTTCACCCATTCAATGCGGAATGGCAAGCGTCCTCTAAAGGAACACTTCAGCAAGGCCGGAGCACCAGGCGCAACGAGTTTCAGTTGGAACACAGGTAAGTTCACCAGCGTAGGAAGGACTGCATATAGACATAGACAGAGATAACAAGGTGCAAGACACGACGTGTGAGATATGTTCAAGCAAAAAGGTCTCAGCAGAAAGCTCAATTTGCTCTTAGAATATTTCGGTCGGCACAAACCTACAAAAAGGCTGAGAAACCAAACAAAAAAATGCAAAACGCCGGTCAGTTCCTTGGTACACAGTCTGACCATGAGAGGATGACTGTGATGACAGGCTTTTCTATGTGAATTCTGCTTGATAGACACTCACCGTTGACGGCTTCTGTAGTGGCACTTGCCTGAGGTCAACGAAGCCCCCAAAGCCAAAACAATGGCGTATCTCTGCACAACCTCAATAAGCGGGGATAACAAGTACTATGCTCTGACTGTGAAGGAATGCTCCCTCTCTGCATGCCATGTATTATACAGAAATCGTTACTTATACTGTCCTATTCAGGCTATTGAGCGTTGAGAATGAGTGAGAATCGTTACCTTTGGTACACGTAAACCAGTCAATTTTGGGAAATCGTTATAATGCGCCTCGTTAGAATGATGGCTTTTACAGTACACGCTGCTGCGCTGCTTTGTACACACTGCATTGCATCGCTGACACGTGCACCTTTTCGTGCTGATGAGTACACCACTTCGCCATTGCCGAGCCACCGTGCTCACAGCAGAGACTTCTGTGTGTGTTATTGTTGTGAAGTGGACCACAAAGACACGCTGCTGCGCTGCTTTGTACACACTGCATTGCATCGCTGACACGTGCACCTTTTCGTGCTGATGAGTACACCACTTTTTGTGCTGAAGAGTGCACCAATTTCTGAATATGATTCCTTTGTAAGTTGTCATTTGTTAGTTGTCTTGTCGCCTTCTCGTCGCAGGAACTCAATAATACTCTCTCTCTCTCTCTCTCTCTCTCTCTGGACCCAGCACCAGCAGCAACATCAACTCCAACTGCTGACATAGCGTATGACCCGAGCACATACAACCGCATCGGCGCCCTCTTGTAAGGCCACTTCCCATAACCCAGCTGTACTTCAGGGCTGCCACTTTTCCGTCGGAAGAAATCTGAAAGGGGCGCACGAGGTTGTCTCTAGGCCCTTGGCCGGGGCAAAGAAGGCAGGGCTCCCTTTATAACAAAAAGATTTTTTAGGATTCCAAGAGCCTGATAAAAACAGATTACGGCATTTTTATGAGCAATCCTAGTAAAAGTGAAGATTGTTTTTGGTCAGTTTGTCGGAACGCCCCGTACAAATCAGAGTGATTCCGGAAAATCGGAGCAATTTCCAGACCCGGTACAGGTCTTCCCTCGTTAGTAGATAACCTCTGGGCCTTCAACAAAATCATCTTATAGCGAGACTTATTTTGTAACAGGACTGGCAACAAAAGATTCAAGATGCACTGATTCGTACTTATTATGGGGTGCCCTCAACACAGCATAAGTATTCTGCAAGGGCCAAGGGCCGTTATAACGTGTTTAACGAGTTTTATGCAGTAACGGATTACGTTGTGACTGGACCTGTAAGCAGTTGTATGGACCACGTTTCGCCAGGAGATTTCAGAATTCTATTTACTAATGACTCTAGTAATGAGGTTTATGTACTAGCCAGACTTGTCATAACGAGGGAGGACCTCTACGCGTACATCGTAGGCTAAGTGTGACGCTTTCCACCAGTTCGCTTCCATCCCTTTCCCTTCAAATTATGCATACCTTTGTCTAGTACATAAAGTCATAAACCCTGTGAATATAAAGCTTGCTGTCCACAGCATTGGGTAAAACCAATGAATACAGTCATGTACATACTGTACTAGCATTTTTAAAGTCCCAGACTAAGTAACGATGTAAGTATTAACGAGGAACGACCTGTACATGAGAGTATGCGTGTGCCCAGACTCACCATCACAATTGCCATCTTTGGTCTCCAGCACTCCACCAGGACACAGGCAATACGCATTGTCTGACGCGTCTGTGATGCATGTTGCAGCTTTGCTGCAGAGCCTTTTGCCACTGGTGCATTTATCGGATCCTGCAGAACAGACATAAACACACACACACACACACACGTACATTTGTGTTCTCCTCTGCTCATTCTCTCGTTCTCTGTTTCGGTCTGTCCCTCTGTCTCTGTCTCTCATTCTCTCTCTCTCTCTCTCTCTCTCTCTCTCTCTCTCTCTCTCTCTCTCTCTCTCTCTCTCTCTCTCTCTCTCTCTCTCTCTCTCCCCCCTCTCTGTGTATCTCTGTCTCTCTCGTTCGCTCTCTCTCCTCCACTCCTCACTTCCACCTATCATTCGCCACTTTCACGACAGATCAGATATGTTATCCATTCCCACTAGACGGCCGATCAGTTGGTGTCTGATATAAGGGTCATGTGTATGTATGTACAGTTGCTGTCCACAGATTTGTGTATGTATATATGTGTGCGCGCGCGCGCGCGTGTGTGTGTGCGTCTGTGTACGTGTCAGGGTGATAGCCAGAACAAAAGTGAAGGGAAGGGGGGGGGGGGGCAGGATCATTGGACCCAAATGTTTGTGGCTTATACAGCCATTTAGTGCTTCCATTATGGCCCCTTACTTCCAATGACACCAGTAAGCAACGGATCAACTTCCATTCGATGTATTTATTCACTGACCACTGGAACCCGCTATGCGTTTGGTTTTCACTCTTTTCATAAGTGATCATTCTAATATGGAAGGACTCATACAATGCTATGCTACTATAATACGTGTGCTCATCATGCAGCTTATATGTATAAACTGGTGGCGCTCGCACTCTGAAGGGTGGCATGTTCATTTCGAAAGGGGGGGGGGGGTCAAAAAGTGAAGGAGGGTGCAGCACCCGTTATGTCGCTTTGGCGAGCACCCTGCATGTGCGTGTGTGTGCGTATATGCTTGTAGGTGTGAATGTGTGTAGGTGTGCGTGTGTGTATGTGTGCGTGTATGTGTGTATGTATGTGTGTATGCCTGTACGGGACATCCAGCAAAGCAGACCATCTGTCTTCTCACCCTGAACAAGCGATGCAGCACACAGGACAACTGTCAGTGCAGTCAGCCACATCTCTGTAGCCGGCGAGAAAGATACGAACACAGCAACAGGTCACAAGATGTGCTTCAATGCAATAACATGCTATTCGAATATACCCTATACCTGAAGCGCAAGCAATGTAAAGCGGAAGAGCATGCCACACTGGGATGCAAGAGAGAATCCAAAACATTCTCAATTTGTAACTCGGATGTTGAGCCATAATTAATGTAGAAAAGAAAAGGACATATGGATATAGTATCCAGTTACAGTGATGGAGAGTTACTCTTAACTCGTATCCATATGTCCTTTTCTTTTCTACATTCTCAATTTGTCATCCCCTTTATAGATGAAGATTGAGCTTGATTAGGCTACTGTAAAATGAAACGTTAGCCTAGTCCTGGCCGGAAAAACTGGGAAATATCCTATGTTCTGTATTGACCTGCACTCCACAAAGTACTTAGATTGCCACAGGAAATCCCTGCGTTCAGACGTACAACACTAACATGTACATGTATGTTATAAAATAGGTGGGCCGGGTTGGAGGGCAGAATTTGATAATCTAGCTCCCTTGTTTATCCAGCAGAAAATGCCGTTGCAAAAGGTGCCGGATTAGACAGGGACGACTGTACAATCATGCACTGTAAAGCGCGACAAACTTTCGCGGCGCGCAAATTTAGCGTTTTCATAAATTGGGCTGGTTCACGAACAGAAACTTTTGCAATTCTATCTCTTCAGTCGGACCTTGTCCTGTCTACAATCGAATTTTGCGGCGATTTATATTCGCGAATGTGTGATGGTCGCGACAATAGCGAAATTTAATCTCTAGCGAAAGATTCTCACTTCACAGTAGATCCAGCCCCGGGCTTGGCCATGACAAGAGAGTACCTTTCCAGGTGCTCCATTGCGGCTGTGACACATTCAAGAGTTGGACAGCGGAACCACGGAGCGCTGCTCCATGACATGGAGCGGCAACCAGCCTGGGACGGTATCCACAACATTGATGTACTCGTCCTAAACCATGCCGAATATCCGAATAACGGCCTCAGCCCTCGGACCGCTACGGAGAGCAGCAGCACTACCAGCACGTGTACTAGTCTCCTGTCATGTCGCCACACGGAAGACCTGTTGACAAGCGAAGGAAGGGCTAGTAGTTGTACTTTCGCCAAAATAAATACAGCAGCTCAAATCGAATGCTCCTTTTTACCCTCTGCATGAACTATTTTTTTTGCCGCTTTGTATTATTATTAGTAAACCGTTATGTGCACTCTCTCACTTGGAGTCATCGACTCAATCTTTATTATTGTACTGTAAAACTAAAACTAACGAGGCGCATTATAATTATAACGATTTCCCAAAATTGACTGGTTTACGTGTACGAAAGGTAACGATTCTCATATCACTCATTCTCAACCCTCAATAGAGCAGTATTATGTATCGATTTCTGTATAAAATATTAACGATTTCTATTTTAACGACAGATTTCTCCTCGTTAAATCGTTACAATTAGCACTTGGTTATAATTATACATGGCCTTTACCATGTTTACAGTATGTGCATCTTACTGGATGGTGATGTCTTCCGTTCATGTCCTTGGTGACGTGTTACACCTTGAGCTTCGCACATGATGTTGTGGGCCTACAAAATAATAATACAGTGAGTAGGTATTGTAGGCACACGATAAGAATAAAATTGTCAACACAACACGCTTCCAGCACCGGTTCCAAGTCAGTGTTCAAATACATCACCTCAAACTCAACGGAGAGCTAGGCGGATAACCATGATACCGCTGGCCAGAAAATAATGACAGAATTTGGTACTTTTCCGGTCTGTTTCATTCATGTTTGGTATGGGGATAAAGAAATGGAGCTGAATTCAACGAACTGTCTGATTATAAGGGTTTGTATCGTACTACCAATTTCACTGTTTTTCGAGCAGAATCAGCAAATTGTTCGAGCATTATCCGTCAAGGGTGACCTCAAAGCCAAAGCGTGGCAGGCCAAATTGGAAGGAGGAATGTGTAAACATAAACATAATCATTATTTCCTTTCATTATCAGCCGAACCCTGGCTATAATTATGGCTTTGAAAGAATTCAAAAAGGGAGAAATGGCTCTCGCACTGCTGAAATGAAGTCAAATTTAAGCCAGGGTGTGGAAAATGGGCTGCATGGTGCGTTACTAGCAGTGGTCGCCTAACGTAGGAGCAAGATGTATGGGCATCATTATGGTCATGAAGAAACGGCTGCTAAGATGTTTGAACACCCTCATTTTATGAGGGGTGTCTCTAACTGGAGTCTATCTGTCTATATGTCCGTCTGCCTGTCTGTCTGTTCTACACTGCATCCTTCTATCTCTGTCCCCCATACTCTCTACCTCTCGGGTATCTTAAAGATGCCAAAAGAATCGTCGGAATTGCCAATGGCGTCCTTGTTGCTCATTCCGAAAATTTCTATACCATACAGGTACTTGTTTATCAACAACAACTACACTTGAAACGTCTAGTGGTTCACCTACTCACGGTCTTGTCTAGCTCATGAAGTCCAACTCCTGGCTGGTCCCGCCGCCAGGTCCGCGGCAGCTCCGTCAGTGAGCCCCGTCTCTCCTTCACTGAGGCAGACTAGGACACATTGCTACAGGATCTCTGGCAATGGGCACAGAGCAGAAGTGCCAGCTTTGCACAAGCCCTCTCACTGCTACGGCCTGCACTGTTCAACGGCAAATACTCGCGCAATATGCAAGCTGTGTGTGTTGTGCATGGTGACTTGTTGTGGTTCATACTTTCCAGCGCCAAGCAATAGTTCAAGTTCGGAGATCGAGCCGGCAACGGCCTGAAATCCCCGCGGTCTAGTCTGGGAACACCGCGCTTTCAACCAGGGAGTATTTTACTACTCCCTGCTTGGTGTGTGAATCGTTGCGAATTCAAAGCCATTTCGCCACTCAAACCCGGCCAGTCCGATTTTTCGGCTACCGGGAAGTCGAGAAACCGTTTCAAATTCATGTCGCTTTGAACCTTTAAATAAAGCTTTGGCGACGACTCTCGTACAACTTTCGGCTCGGTCAGTTTCTTCAAAAAGTACGAAGAGTTTCAAACAGCGGGCGAGGCGCGATCATTCTTCACCAGGACACACAACCTACAAACAGTGTACGACTCGTACATCACCTCCATGGATCCAGCTCCAGGCACTTGTACAAACCATCTGTTGGTTGTACCAAGAGTACATAAGGTTATGTACTCTTGGTTGTACGAGTGCCTGGCATCTTGCAAGATAAGAGTGCACGGACCAGTTCGAACTGCTGACTCGTTCTCGTACTCTTGCTGATACCAAAAACAAGCCGAGGGCCTAACGTGTTATCAGTGTTATACTGTTATTTCATAATTAATTTTGGTGATGCCTGAAGTATAATTTCGGTCCGACTTTCTATACTGTACCGGTACTGTCACAGCCTGTACTCAACAGATGCAACTTTGTTTTGAGTCCAGGATAGCTTTAAGTCCAGTGGAATTTAGTGATCAGATGTGCTCGTTTATGTCAGACTTCTCTCATCAAGTTCTCTTTTCCGATTCCTCAGGACCTGCCTCTCATCCAGCTACAGGTAGTCGAACGCAAGCAATGTGTCAGACTCAGGTATGGGATTGATTCACCAGGGCTGAGGCGTATAACTATAAGCTCGCACTCTCATCATAGCACTCCGTGTCGCTAGCCGTTCCTCTCTTCCTCAGGCGGTCCTCTTTCATTCCACGCCGGGGAAGCCCCGCCATAGGCTCCCCCAGCCTTTCACACAGCTGTCGAATGTACTAGCAAAGCTAACACAATAAACCATCACCAATGGCTGAAAACAAGAGTGCATGAACGCGGACTCTTGCTGAAAAGCAATGAGGATGAAACATAGCCAGTATTTTGAAATAGGTCAACTTCCTCTTTGCCCACTAGTACCTCTGTGTCATGCTATCTAAGCAGCTAGTAACCAACACAGCACACTCTTGTTCCGACTCCACACGCACACAAGATCTACAGACAACAAAGCAGAAGAAGAAGTGGAATAACGCAGTTCAAGTACTACCTTTTTGGTTTATGTTCTCTTCGTAGTACCAAGAGAACATAAACCAAAAAGGTTTCGATGCAAAAAAGGTTTATGTACTCTTGCTTGGTAGTACTTGAACTAGTCTAGGAGCCAGGGGGTCATCAGAACTGGGCTGTGTGACACCCTGTCCAGGAAGGATTTTTTGACGGATTTGGAATGGCATAACAACCAGTAACTGATCCCTGAAAACCAGAATGTGCCAAAGTTGTCCGTTCAAGAGTTATGGCCTATTCACCAAAATTGCTATGGTTACCATAGCAACGTACATGTAAATTGCCTCTTTATTGCTCAAGAGACGTGCAATATGGGCCAAATAGATAATGAATGGCTGTCAAAGTCATAAGTGAAGATAGAAGTTCCCAAAAATGCCTTCAAAATATTATAAATGTCATCAAAAGTGAATTATTTACTACTGGTGTGATTTGTACATGTACAGTGTACATGGTGTACATTGTACATGTACATGTATTTGGTATCAGTATTACATTGTGTGTAGAGGTAGTATCGCAGTTACTTATCAGTGAGAAATTGCTTTATGGTCACCAGGAGAAGAGCTTGACACTGGCACACAGAAGTACAAAACAAGAACTTATAGAAAAGAAAAAGGACCATGGAACTACAAGCTACGCTACAATATCCACTAACACCACCATTACTTTAAAATCAGCTCATGCGATGACATTGCACGACACTGACCTACGGTACTAACGTTCTACAACTAACTGGCTAACAGCTCTAGCACACTTTGGATGCACACTCCAACAGCCTTCCAACTTGGAAGGTTCTAAGTTATATGATAGCATATGAGGGGAAGGTGATTGTTTAGTAACTGGTGGTGTTCGTGGATATTATAGCGTAGCTTATAGTTCCATGGTCCCTTTTATTTTCTATAAAATTTATCCTTCGCTCTCCATCCGAAAACAAGAACTGTTCAGTATGCTTCACCAACAAGGAATGATTCTGCTCCAGGCCTTGATGTAGAAGGGTGAGTCGTCAGGCAAAGCTGTTGCGGCTCTTCGCTAGTCCTTTTCTCTATCCTCCGGCGACTACATCTGTCAATGAGGCACAACAACAGCTCTTCTGCATGCATGACTCCAGTGGGCTATCCATGAGTCTTCCCCCTTCCAAGACTTCCATAACAACATGTATCTCCGTAGCGCCAAAGCCACCTTCCAGGCAGCTCTTCTGGGAGGCATGTGCTGCTGCTCAGCCTGCTATCCCAGATCCCGCTGACCATAGATGGTGTGCTAACAGGGACAACCTCTCCATCCGCTGGCCATCACAGTTCAAGTTGCAGGTCCAGTGCCTTTGCTGCAGCTTGACAGACATACATTGTAGTCGCTGGAGGATAGAGAAAAGGACCGTAGTAGCGAAGAGCTGCAACAGCTTTGCCTGACGACTCACCCTTCTGCACCAAGGCCAAGGGCAGATTCATTCCTTGTCTGTGAAGCATACTGAACGGTTCTTGTTTTGTACTTCTCTGTGCCAGTGTCAAGCTCTTCTCCTGGTGACCATACAGCAATTTCTCACTGATAAGTAACTGCGATACTACCTCTACATACAATGTAATACTGATACCAAATACATGTACATGTACAATGTACACTGCACATGTACAAATCACACCAGTAGTAAATAATTCACTTTTGATGACATTTATAATATTTTGAAGGCAGTTTTGGGAACTTCTATCTTCACTTATGCCTTTGACAGCCATTCATTATCTATTTGACCCATATTGCATGTCTCTTGAGCTACAAAGAGGCAATTTACATGTACGTTGCTATGGTAACCATGGCAATTTTAGTAAATAGGCCATAACTATTGAACGGACAACTTTGGCACATTCTGGTTTTCAGGGATCAGTTACTGATTGTTATGCCATTCCAAATCCGTCAACAAATCCTTCCTGGACAAGGTGTCACACTAACTCCTTATTCCTTGGACTTTTCCTGACTTGGCTCCTAGACTAAACTGCGTTATTCCACTTCTTCTTCTTTGACGAGACCTACGATGGTTGACAGAGCTGAGCTGTCGGGAGGATGATCAGTATCAAATTCCTTGCCGCTGCTGCTTTGTTGTCGGTAGATCTTGTGTGCGTGTGGAGTGGTGATCGATTTCAAAGGTTGAGCAGTATATCATACTGCTCAACCTTTGAAATCGATCACCCCCCCCCCCCCCCGCGAGTACTAGCAAGAGTTATGTACTCTTGAGTCTTGGTACTCGTAGGCTACCCCTCCACACATCCATGTCCGCCAATGATCGACCTGTGCTGGTACATGTAGCTTCACACTGTTTACCACCACTACACCATGGTACACCATGGTACACTGGTACACGGAGCAGTGCTACCCAGCAGGGAGCCTGGCCTGGTTTCATACTCTCGCTGTTACCCATGCCCATTATAGAGTTATTGACTTTTTGTGCATTTGAACTACACTGTACACTGTATATGCCAAGGTTCTTCCCGTACAAAAAAAGTTAATGTTGTTCGAACTGGCGGCTAAAGTGCTAGTAATTCTGCTATGTATGTCTGGTCCTGGAGCGGTAGGTACACAGCGACAGCACCAGGCCAGGCAGGGAACTGTATCAATCCGGTTTATACAACACTAGCGCTGAACACCCGTGTCGGACTATTGCTGGGGGGGGGGGGGGGGTCGGGTGTGTAGCAGGGGGTCCGCTGGTGAGGCCTCCTGGTGGAGTGGTCAGATGTCCAGTGCTCCCTGAGCTAAAATTAATAATAACTGGTTACGGGCTCGATCTCCATACAGAGTATTTTCTCCCCAACTCCTGCAGCGCTCCTGTAACAAAATTAATTTTAATGTTTGCTGGCTCCAACGCCACACTTCCAAGTCCCAGGATTGTTACATCACAGCGTTGTGCGACTGTACTGTAGTGCTAAAAATGAACACCACTACATCATATTTTGTGTTCTCCCCAGCCTGTTGCCTCATGCTACTCAATGACAAAATAATTAATTTAAAACCGATATCACGTGACTCGTAGACGGTGCATGGCTTGATCAGAATTGATGTCCTTGAGCAGCACTGCACATTCAAGCCGATTGGAATACTGTTCAGGTCTACCATCGTTAGTAGAGTCTACGAGTCGACATCGGTTACAGCTTACAATCAGGGAGTTGTAAAATACCGGTATTCGCAAAAGGTTTCCAGGTTTACAGTAGGGCTCGAACGGCTAACTGCTACACTAACGGTCGGTTTATCGGTTATACAGTAGCCTATAAGCTGCGGCAGTCTGGCGCGTATAGCTAGTTTGACCAGTATTGTACAATATTCTTGGTCAAAAATGTACTCTGCAGACTTACTACTATAAGTAGCAATCCATGCAGCACATGTTGGCATGCTCATTCACGCCTATTCACAGACCAGAAGCATTAACGATGGCATTCAATTGATTCAAATAATTGTCACGGATGGTACTACGTAGTGTGCATGTATGCATGTGTACATACATACACGATAGGTTGATTGCCAAAACTCGGTAAAAAGGCGTACTTCGAAAACTCGAAAAAGTATCCGCGTAACCTTTACACAAACGGTTAGCCTCTATTTTTTCAAAACCGGTCCTAAACCCGGCGGTTAATCGGACTAACTGTTTGAGCCCGAGTTCACAGTACACGATCATCACTATTTTTGTCCATTGCCTGTGCCTGGAAACGTTCAAGAGAAACCGGTGACACCTGTTCAGCTTGCTGCACGTCAGCGAACTTGTTATTTCGCTACTTGACATCCATACCTGCATACAGTACACCTGTAGTTGGGTTTATCCAGACAACGAAGTGACGACGGGCACTTCGGTCTGCCGCTGGGCGCCCTTTGGGCGAGTTTCAGTGGAAATATTACTACTCTTTTGTCACCGTTTCTCAGTGTGGAGATAGTAGTGACTGGATGAACGACGTAGCGAATATCTATGGCCTTTCCCCCCATGAAAATGTATGTGTTTCCGAGTTACGGACAGTGCCCGGTCCTGGACCACCCAGATAAATGAGGCATTAGTGTACTAGCAATAATAAATAATTCCACTTATTCTTGGAATGAGACCAACGGAATTATAATGGATGTCTTGGTCAATCCGGTATGTGAACTCTTGGCATATAAGTTAAGTGGGTGCAATGGGCCAGTGTCAAGAATTCCGACGAGCAAAAATCGCAAGGAATATATAAATGACGACAACGCATAGACAGTGTCTGCCGGGGTGGGAAATTAGCAAACAGGAGAAACGTGGGCCAGGACAGATGGCCAAGCCAAAGCCACGCTGTGAGGCCGGGGGGGGGGGGGGGGGTTACACAAGGGGAAAACCTATTGAAAACGTTGTCTGCAAGCCACAAGAGAGAGAGAGAGAGAGAGAGAGAGAGAGAGAGAGAGAGAGAGAGAGAGAGAGAGAGAGAGAGAGAGAGAGAGAGAGAGAGAGAGAGAGAGAGAGAGAGAGAGAGAGAGAGAGAGAGAGAGAGAGAGAGAGAGAGAGAGGCTGGGGTTGAGAGGCCAAGGAGAAGGCTACACACCTTGCAAAGGCCTTGGGGATAGATACCTGAGCGGCAATTAGGGGGCAAATCAAATTGTGGCATTAGCGATGTAGTACAATTGCAAGCATAAGAAAATGCACGAGTGTTCAACGGGAATAGGAGAATAAAATATAATAACTGAGGAGTAGACGTCATACTTCATAACGGTTTAAACTGTATAGACAGCTGCAGTTGTGTACTGTATTTGTGTGTGCGGCATTGGACTGCTCTCCGCGACAGCAAACATTTGATTACGTCATCAGACTACCTACCAAGAGTTGTTGGCATGGCGACCGAGAAGCAGCCAGCATACCGAGCTGACGGACAAACGCAGCTGTAGAACGCCACGCCGTCCACACGCTACGGGTCGCCCAGCTTTGAAGAGCACAATTTGGTGTTGGTGACGGCGGCTGTGCACAACACAGGTAGTCACGAGTAGTGCTGCGAACGGCTTGGGCCCGGTTTCTCCCTGGCAGCTCACAGCAGGGCGCATTCGCTGGACACGCTCCCCCTGGGCGACGTGTTACTGTAGATACCCGGCAGCGTGCTGCAATTGTCTACGCTTTCCTTCTGCCGCAGCATGCAATGCTGGGCTATGTCCTGCTCGTACAAGTTTTCCTCCTCTACATCGGTCTGGCGGCAGATTTCGATATTGCCATACTCCTCCTCGCCTAGAATGTCGCCCATGTAGATAATTTCTGACGGGTCCTGTGCGGCTGGTCTGGCGATCCGCCCGTTCTCATCGGAGCTTGCGTCAAGGGCGAAAGCAGTGTCACTCAACAGGCCCAACTCGCTGCAAACGCTGCCCCGCGGAGATTTGCCAGCGGCACTGCCCGGCACTGGAGCAGGATCTCTCTCGCCTGGCAGTATCGGCACTATGCGCGACGATGGTGCATCCACGATGCCGTACTCGTCTTCATCAATGGACATGACTTGGCCATTGCCGTACAGCGCTTCATCCTGAGCAGCTGCAGTGGCGGCGCCAGCCGTAACCGGGGTGCTGCAGTTCGACGCATTTGTCTCGCTTCTTTTCACCGACGCACTCTTCTTTCCCTTGGCCGCTGCTGGGATGCTGCCGCTCTTGGCTTCTTTGGCAGCTGGTACCTTTGATGGCACTCTCGATGCTGGCACTGGCGGTGCGTGGCCTGTCCTCGATGCTGGTTCGGGGGCGGCGGCAGAGGCAGTATTTCTTTTCTTCAGCGTGGGTATGTTGTCGTACACTTCGTTGGAGTCGACGCTGTCCTGCTTGATCGACTCCGAGGCCTGTTTAACCGCCGGAGGGCTTCTCTTCTGTGCCGGGATGTTGTCGTAAATTCCGTTGGAGTCCACGCTGTCCTGGTTCTCCACGGCCGGCCCTCGTGCCACCGCTGCATTCTTGCCGGCCAGTATCTGCACAGAGATGTTGTGATTGGAATTGTCGTTGTTGTAGATATCCTCTTCTTCTTGCTGCAGGACAGCGTGAACTGCAGCAGCAGCAGGTGACAAACAAACGAATAAACAAAACTTGCATTATTTGTTGATGCCACCTTCAGTAGGTCCATCAAATAGTAGTGGTATTTGTTTTTTTTCTGGTCACTAGAAAAATCTACCACAAAAACTCGCATGTTGAGCCATAAGTATTCATGTACAAAGAAAGGACCTACATGTTAGTCATAACTCGTACTTCAGTAACTTGTTGGCCCTTCCTGTTCACACAGACAAAGCCTCTCAGTTTAGTTTTAACTTCAACACTTTTGAAGTGTTGTGCAACTTCTTTTTTGAAGAACAGTCTCCAGTGGCCATGCACTTCTAGTCCAGGTATTGTATACAGGGGCGTCGGAAGGTATTTTAGTGTGGCACGGTCAACCATCTGAAGTACATTTTCTCTCGTGGGGGAGTGGTGGCTATTAAAGCGGAAAATTTTGGAAATTTAGATCCCAGATCAGTGTATTGTATGGATTCACAGGGTACCCGGGGAAAAAAGTGGTAAGGTCAATACCATAGTGACCGTACCGTGTCCGACGCCCCTGGTATATCCAAAGCTAAAATAACTGAAAAACACCATAGTGCAGGGTCTTCAGGAACTATAATATTTTTGGTCATATTCAGCAAAAAATGAACCTTAGACCTTTCATAAAAATCGGTGAAAGATTCAGAAAGTGACAGCCTTTCAAATTTTTGTTCACGAGTGCTACCAAAGCTGAACGCAGTCCAATACAAATTCTAAAATTGTATGAGTAGAAAGGAAAAGGACATATGGAAACGAGTTAAGAGTAACTCTCCACCACTTTAACTAGATACTATATACAGTCAGAAAGTGCAACAACTAGGCACAAAACTGACAGAGTACTGAGACATTCGACGTCCTGACACCTAGCTTCAACACATCTCCGTAGCGCTAACCGACAGCCTTCCAACTTGGAAGGTTCAAGGTTATGGAAAGACCAAAGAGGGGAGGAGTGGAGAGTGGTGGAGAGTTACTCTTAACTCGTTTCCATATGTCCTTTTCCTTTCTACTTTTATTATTGGCTCAATATCCGAGTTTTAAAATTGTATGGCGCATATTTTGTGACTCAGTGCCCAGGCGCTTTGACATTCTGAGCCCATGAAGAGGTGAGGTGCTTTTAACAGTCAGGTGGTTAGCCGAATGCCCAGAATTGCACCAATCAAGTCAATGCTCAGTGTCGCCATAAAGTACTTGTAGCCAAGACTACAGTACAGCATCAATATGATTTCCACGTTGGAGACTGAAAACAAAATTGTGCACGCTACACACAAACACACACCATGTACCATGTATACGCCCGTCGCAAGAGATACACGCAAATCCGCCAATGCACTGGATGTGCACCCACAGATTTTCTCTTATAGCAACGATAGCGAACAAGAACTGAATGAGACAGATCAAGACTTGCGCCAGATAACTGTCTAATACACACAACTGGCGAAGCCATGTGAATCACAAACACACACACACACACACACATGCACATGAGGATTCATGATTTCCTGGTGGTATGCACCGCTGTGGTGAACAACGAATGGCGCGTGTGACAAATCTGCAGGTTCGAAGCGCAGCGCCAAGTTCGTTATGGCGCTAGTTGATTATTTATGCACGGTGCCAATTCGCGAATATACAGCATATTCATGATTTTGTAATACCAAAATGTCTTGGCTTTCCTTTGGCTGGCACCAATTGAAGAACAATATCAATTTTTTGACAAATTCAAAATAAGCCACACGGTTTTTTATCTGTGTTTCGCGTCCCCCGTGCGCATGTATTTCACAGCCGGAGTTAAAAAAAACAGAACAATTTTGTTTTGTTTTGAAAATGCAATACAAATTTCATACAAACCCAGAAAACCGGAAAATGTAACCCAAAAGGAAAAAAACCCGAACATGATTGTTACACGTAACTATTATGTTGGCATCAATTAAATATTTTGTTCTATTTATCGCATGATTGTACTCAGCTCACACACATGCATATGTACAGTGCTGGCAACTGAAATCCGACCCCCCCTAGCGGTGCGCTAGCCGCGTTAGCGATTCGTAAGAGACGGTAGGGGGGGTCGGATTTCAGTTGCCAGGACTGTACATGTGTGCGTAATAACCTGGGGCCGCAAGTCACACAATCATCATGCCGCCTGTGTTTGGACCACAAGCATGGCAGAGGGGATACACTCATGTATTCATGTACATGAACAGTGCCGCGTCGCTTCACTGTACACAAATGCAATGCACATACACTGTTTTTTTTGGATGGCTTTATTTTTTTCGCCCTCCCTCATTGATTTCATCGAGGTGACGCGAAACATAGAAAACCCCGCGTGGCCTAAGAGTGGTTTTGCTTCCTTGACCCTTGAGCGTGGTGTTGCTCCTACGCATGGAGAACACTCAGCCTGACTGGATCTCACCCAAACCACAAAAAATCAAACTCCTTTCTATGGTGAAAAAGGAGAAGGACAAAATGTTACGAGTTATGACTAACTGCCCACCAACGCAACCAGATCTTATACAGCCCTTTTCACCATAATTTAATTGGCTCACCATCCGAGTTAAACTCCTTTCTATGTTGGATTCTGTTCACGCCATGTCTTTCAATCACGAAGTTAGTTCCCCGAAGTTTCAACAGCAACCGCTTCCTTCACTGAGATGCATTCCCTCACAGGACAAGCAATTTCTGATTGGTCCGGCCATACCTAGCCTTTCATACAGTTTGAGTATGATATGGCGGGTATACACATGATCTCCTGGGCAGTATATACACGTTTGGTGGCCAAAAAGCTGGTCCGGCCGTGGCCTGACCAACCGTACCGATTCCGCCGGGCCTGCCTCTTACTCACTCTCTTGCAGTGAAGGTGTTTCCCTAACTGTGTTGCCTGTCTCATCACCCCCCCCCCTCCTGCCCCTCCCCCCGCCCCGCCCCCACCCCGATACCAATGTCTTTCTCTGAATTTTCCTTCAATTTGAAATGGAGAGTGCTACAACGGCACGTGAAAATATTTAGAAGCCCAAAAAGATATTTTCAAGATTTGGGTGAGACACGATCAGGCTGAGTTTTACACAACCGTAGAAGCGCCACCATCCTCAAGGATCTATGGCATGGATTCAATGCACAGAATGAGGAATGTTTTTGTTTTTTTAATTTTATTTATGGATTCCCCAAAGGCCGAGGCCTAAGTCGAGGGGGTCTCCGTTCATGGCTTAGGGCCGATTCCCACTACGGTACCGTGAGTGCCGTGCCGTGAGTACCCATGGTGATTTGCTCACGTGAGGGGCAGTTTTGGTGCGAGTTCATTCCGTGGGTCATGCCGTACCGCGCCGTGGAGATTCCGGTGCCGAGGGTCTCTGGGGGGTGGAAATGGCATGCCGTGGTATTCCGTGAGGTCGAATACAGTGTGTACCGTATATTCTCTATTATAAGCACAGGTCTCCATTACTAGCACAGTCTCTAATACTAGCACTCTGTGAGCACCTTTCGAAACATTATAAGCACGGTCTCTATTATAAGCACGGTCTTGTTCGAAATCAATGCTGCATGCATGATATCTAGCATGTATTTCTTCTTGCTCTGTAAGGATTGTATTGGTTGAAAAAATATAAGCGCAGTCTCTAATATAAGCGCGGTCTCCAATACAAGCGCGGGGTAGAGGGGTGTTGAAAAATATAAGCACGGCGCTTATAATAGAGAATATACGGTAGTAGGTATTTTACTACTTCCTGATAGGAAGTTTTTTTCTTTCTTTTGTATTAGTGGTACGAAGTGTTTTCTTGGCTTTTGGCTTTTCGATTGGTTGATTTTGAGCTTTCTCCAATCATCTCCCCCGCTATTTTCCCTCCAGACCAAAGTCAGAAATTGGTAAAAATGGTGATTCGGCCTGCCGACGGAATGCACGGAACGACAGTGCGCAGGTGTAAATCACTCTCAGCTTCAAGCTCATACCGTGGGGTACACGTGACCTACCCAAATCGTCGGCACGGCACTCACGGTACCGTAGTGGGAATCGGCCCTTACTGGGAATATATCTGCAAAATTATAACATATAGATTGAGAAGAGGAAGGGTTATAACAAATGCATACTGTAGAAATCAGCCATACCCAATGTTAGTGGTGGAAGGCCATATCAGCGATCGGACAACGTGCGCGGCTTACCTGGGCCCTTCTTGAGAGGCAGACATGGCTCCGGGTCTGGGTCTGGGTCAGAGGGGACCGGCTGTGCAAATGCTGCTTGTCTTAATTCCTGAGTTCTTTTCTTCAGCTGCTCTACACTTTCCTTCACAATTCCTGTAGCCACGCAAAAAAAGGAAAAGGAAAAAAAGTATGAGAGCTAAGCGTTGCATATGTGTGTGTGTGTGTGTGTGTGTGTGTGTGTGTGTGTGTGTGTGTGTGTGTGTGTGTGTGTGTGTGTGTGTGTGCATGTGTGTGTGTGTGTGTGTGTGTCAGCAAGAACAATGTAAGAATAGAGGAAAAGGTGATAAGACAAAAACAAAAATACCGTAAAGTACCGTTGATCCGCCCCATCTCTAATTCCCGCCCCCTGTCGGTTTTCTACCTGTGAAGCGACTTCGGCGTATACAACGAAAATACGATGTTGAACCGACGCATGCACTGCTGTACACACAATTTGCCAATCCAGGATGAAAATGTGCACAATCCAGCACATCGAGTCTGAACTTCTACGTTGTTGTACATCGTACTGCACTTGACAGCCTTGATCTAATTCCCGCCCCCCTGCCCAAAACCTAGCTGGGAAGCGACATGGCGTGGGGGCGGATCAACGGTACTTTACGGTAAATACAAGCAACGCAAACAAGTTGAGAAAACAATGTAGAGTGCACACAAAGGAAATTTCACTGGTTATTGCAACACAAGTCGAGTAACTTCATTTCAATGACGTCACTGGTTGAAGCGCATTATTGAGCAGAGATTGAGTTGGATAGTATAGCTATGAATTCAAGCAGAAAGCAAATTTCGGTAGAGGTTTCTATTACCAGATTCTGTAACCCCTGCCCCCTGTTTCCATATGATTGTCATCCACTCAGGCCTGCAGACGTTCTGACTGGTAAGCAAGAGCACTCAAATTTCAGAATTTTTCGGTGTTCAATATTTTTGGTATGAGGGCAAAAAGGCCAGGTTAAGTGAACAGAAATCTTAGGTACAGAGAAGCAGATTCCCTATTGGATTATGTGTGTTAGTGTTTGTTCGGTGTATTGAAATTTTAGGTATGAAACAGATGCACCGAAAGTACCGAAAATAAAGTACAACGAAAATTCGTGAAATTATACAGTGCATAAAACCTAGAACGTGCTGCTTGTGACATTTTCTGCATGGGTGTCTGTCACGGCGAAATTAACAAAGAAATTCCGGGATTACATCATAGCTGGTGTTGATAAGCAGCGGGAAGTGGCGTAGTGCGTACAACTGAGCTGCTTGAATCTCGCTTGCACGCACCACATCACTAAAACGATGTAATCCCGGAATTTCGCCGTGACACCAACCCATCCAAACTGCACACTCTGGGTCTCATGTACTCTTGCTGCAAGGCATGCAGCACATTCGCCATGGAAACTACACACGAGACTACACATTCGCCATGGAAACTACACACGAGACGACACATTCGTCATGGAGACTACACACGAGACTACACATTCACCATGGAGACTACACACGAGGCTACACATTCGCCATAGAGACTACACACAAGGCTACACATTCACCATGGAGACTACACACGAGACTACACAATCGCCATGGAGACTACACACGAGACTACACATTCGCCATGGAGACTACACACGAGACGACACATTCGCCATGGAGACTACACACGAGAGGACACATTCGCCATGGAGACTACACACGAGGCGACACATTCGCCATGGAGACTACACACGAGGCTACACATTCACCATGGAGACTACACACGACGCGTAGCCACTCTGTATTGACTTAACCGCCAAGCCAGACCAGCCTCCACGCAGGAGGCAAGAACGATTGCCGGTGCTTGGGTTGACGCAGCGCCAGGAGCTGAGAGCACATCATCAACTTACACAACCTTGCAGCATATCATGATCTCAGTTGAAATGTCTGGCTGCAAACCAAGAAGAGGCACTAGTTGCTCTTGTGGTGCCGTATTTCTCCGAATACAAGTCTTACACCTTTTTACACTAAACTTCTAGGGCAAAGAAGGGGATGTGACTTACAATCGAGAGTGACATCCTGCTTATGTGCATGTATTGAAACAATGTGGTTCAAACCTCAAAGTGGGGGTGCGACTTACAATCGAGTCCGCCTTTATACAATCGGGGAAATACGGTACTTACACAGCGCAATCATAGATCAAGCAGCAGAGAGCCTGACAAGACACTGAACAAGCAGAACTAGTTGTCTGGAATTTATTCCCGTAGCTATGCAGAAGACGTTACTTCAGTAACGTCTGGCGCTAGCCAGGGTCCACACAGCTTTAATTTGGTGTTTGTTTGTGTGTTTGTTTGTTTGTGTCACGCCTGGCGCTATCCCGTATCTGTCCCGTACTGTACCGTACCAGCAAAGACAGCTGGCCACAATATTTTTGTTTGTTTGTGCCATCGACATGTCTGGCGCTATCCCGTACCTGTCCCGTACCATCAAGAGTACGGTACCATGAAGGGAATGAGTATATATGCGAAGTGTATCGGGGGAATGCATTCAGTGCAGTAACATTTTGTGTGGATTTGTGTGCGAGGCCGAGATCCCACTAGCAGGCTGGCTGGGTCGCCTGTCGACCAGCCCGGGAATCGCATGGACGCCGATACCATAATAATTATAACGTATATACAGTCATGTAGATGTATAGCAGGGAGTCATAATATGTAAACGACTCCCTGCTGTATGGGGAGATTTTCTGGAAAGAAATACGAAGTAGGGAGACGAGTAATGCATCAGAATGGATGTTAGTTGCCGTCAGTATAATAATAAGAAGAAGAAGAAGAAGAACGCCCGTGATCGCCAGAGTCAGCGCGCCGGTCCCAGGAAACGTCAGGACAGACATCCCGTCAAGACAGCTGGCCACAGTATTTTTGTTTGTTTGTGCCATCGACATGCCTGGCGCTATCCGGTACCTGTCCCATACCATCAAGAGTACGGTACCATCAAGAGAATGAGTATATATGCGAAGTGTATCGGGGGAATACATTCAGTGCAGTAACATTTTGTGTGGATTTGTGTGCGAGGCCGAGATCCCACTAGCAGGCTGGCTGGGCCGCCTGTCGACCAGCCCGGGAATCGCATGTACGCCGATACCATAATAATTATAACGTATATACAGTCATGTAGATGTATAGCAGGGAGTCATAATAATAATGTAAACGACTCCCTGCTGTATGGGGAGATTTTCTGGAAAGAAATACGAAGTAGGGAGACGAGTAAATGCAATCAGAATGGATGTTAGTTGCCGTCAGTATAGTAATGATAAGAAGAAGAACGCCCGTGATCGGCAGAGTCAGCGCCGGTCCCAGGAAACGTCAGGACAGACATCCCGTCCACTTCAGAACGCCCGTGATCGGCAGGGTCAGCTATGCAGAAGGCGTTACTTCAGTATCTCATTGAAACGTTTTTGCAATACAATGATGTAGCTAATCAAAGGAAAAAGCATTTTCATCAGTTCTAACAACATGCACGATGAGCTAGGCAACAAGCATAGCGCAGGGCCCTGAGCTTCAAAGCTCTCTCGTTTTCGTCTTTTCGTCCCAGGCGTGTTCGGACTACATTAATTTGGTCATGAACTAAATCTTCAACCGGACAAGCTCCCTTGCTTTGGCATTGGACGGAATTATTCACCGGCAAAATGTTCTGCCTGTGCAGCACAAGAGGCATCATGTGTTTTCCAAGACTATAACAAGCCCATACACACCTTGAAGCCTGATACGCATCTGATTCATCTGTTCAATGTGCTCAGGTGACTTCTTCTGGACAACAAGGAAGCTAACGGTGGCGATCAGAGCAATACCCAGTAAAGAGCAGACGGCGGCCAATGCCCCATTTGCAGAATTGCTCAATTTCGTGCCTGGATCACATGCATGTACACATGCACATGTACGTGGAGAGAGAGACAGAAGAGAGAGAGAGAGTGAGATAGAGAGAGAGATAGAGATAGAGAGAGAGAGAGAGAGAGAGAGAGATAGATAGATAGAGAGAGAGAGAGAGAGAGAGAGAGAGAAAGAGAGAGAGAGAGAGAGAGAGAGAAACAGAAGAGAGAGAGGGAGAGAGAGAGAGAAAGAGAGAGAGAGAGAGAGAGAGAGAGAGAGAGAGAGAGAGAGAGAGAGAGAGAGAGAAGAGAAGAGAGAGACCCACACACATGTAGACACAAAGAGACAAACACAATTATATGCAACCACACAGACACGCACGCATGCCTAGTCCTACACAACTAGACATGTAACGTCCGGTACATTGTGTGAGAAAGTACTGAACTCATCAGTAGCTGTATCACACTCCAACCCAGTCCCTTGACGGACAGTGCGGTTGAGTGCCTCAGCGAGCGCTACTAGGATCCATTGTAGCATCAGTGCCAGGCTTGGAGTACAGTCTCTTGGGCTTGTTAGAAACCACGCCACTGGAGTGAGATGACACGGTGGCTAATATGCAATGTTACCTGATCCTGGAGAACATTCACGATATTGGCTGGCGGAAATAGTTTAAAGGATTCTCCCAGGCAGCGTGCTGGGCTTGACATGGTGGCATATACGCAATGCTACCAGAGCCGGACAGACAGCCACGAAATTGTCTGATGGAAATCTCCCAGACAGCACTCTGGCGGAGCACCCCTGGCCTGGTCCGCTGCCTACTGTTCCGACTTCCGATATCCAGTGGCCGTGCTGAGACTGAGGATCCGCTAATCGACGTTCAGGTACATCAAGACCAGCTAGCAATGGGGACTTTCTGGGACATGCCTTGACTCCCTGGTACGAATTGATGCTCAAGGACCAACCCTGAGCAAATGGCAACCAACAACGGCTGTAACTCTCTGGTGGAGTGACAATCGAGTACCAGAAGATCAAACGAACTCAATATTAGCTATCATGGTGTATGCTGTCCTCCTCTCTATGTCCGCAGAGCCAGCATGCTGTGGAGCCGTTTACCATCATCTCCCGCAGCGCTTCCATCACCAATATGCCCGAACGAATCTCTCCGCCAGATGATCACCTATATACTCACTAAGCTGTTGGCGTACCAACTCCTTGACTTTCGGAATGGCTTCGACTGGGATGTGGTATGTATTTCCTGTGTAACCTCTTTGCTTGTTACTAGTGTTTAAACCGAACACGGATTCTTCGAACGAATAATCTATCGAATAATTTCGCCCTCCATCGAACAAATAATCTATATTCTATCATACGCATGATGGCATTTTTCAACACTTTTTCAGCACTTTTTAAGTAGTTTTTTAAATAATTTTTTTGCTGATTATCGGATTTTGTTATGTGGAGGTGCAAAACCGGTTAACCTGTACCGCCAAAAGTACATAACCCCCCAGAGTGTGCAACGCCTGATCCAGCTCTGCATAGGGTCTTGGTCGAAAAGGGACAAAGACCGAAAATCACATTCACTGCATCCATGTTTCCCTCGTATGGAAAGAACAGAAGTACATGTATTACTAGATACCGATAGGAGATTAAACCTTGGAAGAAAAGTGATTGAGAAGAAATACTACGAGCAGATCTACGCAGTGCAAATATCCGATGAGTAGGGTCAGCACTGAGCATAGATGGTTTTTTTTTTTTTTTTTTTTTTTTTTTTTCGATTTCTGATAATTCCTACGACTATTCGATTATTCGTTCACCCCACGAATATTCTAAATTATTCGATTATTCGATTATTCGTTTCAACACTACTTGTTACACCCTTCCTCTATGGCACATACAGTACTATAATAATAATAATAATAATAATAATTTAAAAATTCGACGAGGAGACAATAATTTTAATATGGCAATAAGTAGGACGAGCTGAAGCGACATGTGGACTACTTTATTAACAATGTAAGCGATGGAGACGATGCAAGAAACAACCTAAAGGGTAAGGAAAAATACATGTAAGAAGAAAAAGGGCAATGGAAAAAAAAGATGATTCGAACAAGTTTTCGTACAACACTCTTCAGGAATCACCGTTGTACTAAAGAACAAAATGAGAACAAAGGAAATAATATAGCAATCAAGGTAGGGTGACACGATACAATGACAGCACTAGAATATCGAAGTGCGATTTCTCACAAAAGTGTGCAGAAAACAAGGGTATACAAGTAAGAACTAAGCGTGACAAGTGTGTATCAGCAACAAAAAACAAAAACAAAAAAAGTGAGAACGAATGATAATAATAACAATAATAAACAAGAAGGTGACAAAACACATTTAGGCACAAGTGGCAACAACGTTGCCACACTACACAACAGAACATTATTTGAACAATTTTAGGGTAATAACACTATCTTTCTGGACACACAAATTCGGCTTATGAATGCGCTGACAAACAGCTTCCAAAACTTGTAACTGCAAAAGATAACCATGACGAGCACTTTTTCGAATCATCTTTTTTTCCATTGCCCTTTTTCTTCTTACATGTATTTTTCCTTACCCTTTAGGTTGTTTCTTGCATCGTCTCCATCGCTTACATTGTTAATAAAGTAGTCCACATGTCGCTTCAGCTCGTCCTACTTATTGCCATATTAAAATAATAATAATAATAATAATGTTACGAAGTCTGAAGAAAATGTTGAACGGCCTCTGCTGGGATGACGACTACACCATAGCTCAGTGGTTAGAGCATCGCTGGCTACAAGCGAGGGTCCCTGGTTCGAGTCCTGGTGGTGACAGTCAATTTTTTCTTCAGACTTTTCCCGTTTGTCTCTTTCCCTCAAACCAGTCAATAATAATAATAATAATAATAATAATAATAATAATAATAATAATAATAATAATAATAATAATAATAGTAATAATAATAATAATAATAATAATATTCAAACCTGTGCTGGGCAGGAGGGTGGGGCGGAGGCCGCTGCACATGCCCTGTGTCGCCACTTTGACAGCAGCAACACAGAGGGAGCACTCCTGGTCGATGCTACCAACGCGTTCAACTCCCTGAACCGTGCAGCTATGCTCCACAACATCCACCTACTATGTCCATCAATAGCAACAATTTCGAAAAACTTTTACCGCAGCACAGTACCTCTCCACGTCAGCGGTACGGTCATCTGGTCTGCTGAAGGCACCACGCAAGGCTGCCCACTGGCCATGCCCCTCTACGCTATTGCCATTACGCCACTCGTCACTACCCTCGCCACCGCCCGTATGGACGACTCTCCAGCTGGCACGGTGCATGACCGCGAATCGCCTGAGAGACCAGCCGGCGTCGGTGCGTCCGCTGCTCGACCGGACGCCTCGACCATCCAGCTATGGTATGCCGATGACGCGGGAGCCGCTGGCCTGCTGCGGCGCCTTCGCACCTGGTGGGACCAGATCTGTCAACTTGGCCCAACATTCGGCTACTATCCAAACGCTGCCAAGACTTGGCTGGTTGTCAAGCCCGAGCATCTCGATGCTGCGAACGCTGCATTCGCCGACACCAATGTCCACATCACCACGGAGGGCCGCCCCTACCTGGGTGCTCCTCTGGGCTCGGAAGCCTTCAAGACAACATTTTGCAATGCTCGAGTGGAGGCTTGGGCATCTGAGATGCGTGAGCTGGCGAACGTGGCCGAGGCCGAGCCCCAAGCCGTGTATGCCGCACTGGTCTTTGGGTACCGTCACCGCTGGACATTCCTGATGCGCGTGTCGAGCTGTGCACCAGACGTCTTCGAGCCTCTCGAGTCCTCTCTTCGCTCCGTCTTGTTGCCAGCTCTATTGGGTGTGCCAGTCGTCCCTGCCCCTCTACGCAGCCTTCTTGCTCTGCCTGTGCGTCATGGTGGCCTTGCAGTGCTCAATCCAGTTGAGGCTGCCCCGCAACAGCGGACAGCATCTCTGTCCATCACGAGCAGTCTCCAGCAACTTATCGCGGACCAGTCCTCCCTCTACAGCGTGGACCCAGCAGCCATTTGCGCCGCCAAGGCTGCTGCCAAGCAAGCCCAGTCTGTGACAACCAAGACCGTCCTGCAGACAGCTGGTCCAGAGGCCCTACCACCAATGCTTCTGGAGCACCTCCAGGCCAAGGGAACAGGTGCATGGCTGACCTGTCTTCCTGTTCGCGAGCATGGATACTCCCTCGACCGGCGGTCCTTCGTTGATGCCCTATGCATTCGGTATGGCCTCACCATCCACGGTTCACCTACCGAGTGTCCATGCGGCCAGCCGTTCACCATCGACCACGCAATGATCTGCAAGTTGGGCGGCTATCCCATCCACCGGCACAACCATGTCCGCAACTACCTGGGCCAACTTCTTTCTCAAGTGTCTGAGGATGTGCAGCTGGAGCCACCGCTGCAACCTCTACCGACGGTCCGCACGTTTGACCATGGTCCTGCCCTGCTCACTGCGGACGACGCCAGACCGGACATCAAGGCCAGGGGGTTTTGGTCGGTACAGACTGATGCATTTTTTGATGTAAGGGTGTTCTATCCCAACGCACAGTCGTACCGATCTCGCCCGCTGGCTGAGGTGTTCCAATGGCACGAGCGTCAGAAGCAGTCGGCATACGGTGCCCGGATCCGGGAAGTTGAGCACGCGTCATTCACCCCGATCGTCCTGTCTTCCGCTGGTGCCCTGGCGAAGGAGGCCACCCGGTTCCTGAAGCTGCTCGGAACGAAGCTCTCCACCAAGCTCTCGCAGCCTTATCCCCTCGTGATGGGAAAGCTGCGGACGGACCTGGCTTTCAGCCTTGTCTGCGACTCCGTCCTGATGGTTCGTGGGAGTCGCCGTGCATTCCGTGCACCTGGTCTGGCGGCGGATGTGGATGCTGTTTCTGTGGAGGCCCGCATTCCCGCCACTACGTGACGCTAAGTCCTCCTGGGGTTTGCCGCTCTCCGGTCCTCTTTCATCCCGTTCTCCCCTCTTTTTTGGGGATTCTTTGTAC